ATTTCGCGTTAACTGCCAATTAAGAAATCATTAAAGTGATCTATTGGCCAACGTGTTTGCATACAAAGTGGTAACTATTTGTTTGAATACATAATGATTGCAACACGATTCAATCAAATGCGATAACTCTATGTACTCGTATAAAAAACAGATTGTACGGATAATGGAAAAAAACAAGAGTATAACCTTTATGAGTAACAAAAACCTATATAGCATGGGTGTGAAATATTTCGTAAGAAAGGTTAGGCTTTACCTACATTTTTATTATCTTCCATCCCTTATGAGATAAATTACATACTTACAATAATTGCACATACGAATTTACAATTTAAAGGGTCGCGAAAATAACAATAAATTAATGAAAGTAATGAATTTCTTGTTGAACCAATAGTTTTGACCCCATTCCCCAAAACAATTTAGCCCATCAATCATTTTTCAATGGTTTAAAGTGTTGAATGGTTGTTAAATATGCATTCGCTGGAGGCATTTTTAATTATTACACAATAAACCAAAAGCCAACTCTAACTTTTTTCGTCCTTTTCAAGATTTAAAGTATTAAAATTATTTTTGATTTTTTTCATTTTCTTCCAGTTAAGATTTAATATATTAAAAATACTAAAGATGCCTTATGTTAATAATTATTATGTTAATAATTATTTATGTAATTAATATAGAGTTGGACATTTTAAAAATACTAAAGATACTTTAGATTATTCTGGTTTTAAAATTCATTCATTTATTTACGAAAGAGTTGGAAACCAAAGAAATGAGTCAATTAATTACTCGGCTTTAGTCGAGTTATGCGAAGAAATCGCCGTTTTCCATCCAAATGGCACTCGCCGGCAATGATGACCTGGATCTAAGTGGGCATAGCTGCTATATGGCCGTATATATATGGCTTTGGCCAGTCACTCGGCGGCACTAAGCCACGTTATCTTCTTTCACTTGAGCTTCACCTACATTGGAAGGTGATCAAAAGTGATCATAAATCTTTATAACCTGTATGCGCTGGATTTTCACCAACTGGCCTTTGGAACTCTCCTCTTCTGGATTCTGCAAGTTATTTATTTTTTAAACTAAAAAGTGAATTTCTGCTCTTTAGCCTTCAGCCTCCGCCGACAATTTCCCTCCCCCTTTATTTTTTTATCTTTTTTTTCTGTTTTCCTGTCAGATGACTTTTTTTTGGATTTTGTTTTTTTGCGCGCACTTGGCCTTAATTGCGCATGCGCGCGCACTTTCAATTCCTTTCGCAGCCGCAACAAAGAAAATGAAATAAAAACAAAACAAAATCGTGTGGCAAATTGTGGCCGAGGCAGAAAAATTAGATTTCAAGCGCGGCGATAATGATGCGGCAGAGTAATAATAATTTTTAAGGGGGCTTCAGAGGAGGGGCCATTCCAAATCCAAACGAAAATTGCTCTCAACCTAAAGCAAAGTGCACGGCGAAAAAACCTGGTTTTAATAGCTTGAAATTACCTACCCATCCAATTTTAAGTATTTATGATTTAAATTATTTCTAAAATGTTCACATTTACCCAGATTCTTAACTTTTAAATACTTTAAATTCATGCAAAATATGACTAAATCTCTACATTACCAAAGTATTAATTAATTTAATTTTATATTTTGATCTAGGAAATATTTTAGGTTTTTTTTTAAATCTGAACTATTGTTTTGAAAAATTATTTGACATTTTAACTATTTTTATATTTTATGTACACACTAGACTAGACATTTCCATGAAATCGCTCTATTCCGTCTGAACAAATTAGTGCTTTTCTAGGAAAATAAAGCGATTTAAGGCCAAGTGCAACTGCCCAGCCCAGAAAGCAACTCGGCCAGATTGCCGACCATTATTCCCCCCTAGAAGCCCGGTTCGATTCGGTTCGGTTCGGATAGGTCAAGTATATGGACGACAGTGGTTTTTAGTGCACTTTATGGGCTTTACGAGTGCCGAGTGGCCAGTGTAAAAGGCGCAAAAAATTCAAAACACACAACGAAAGCCCGCGGAGAAGAGAAAAGAGCTCAAAGACAGATACTCGCATATTTCTAGAGGCTGACCAGAGCATGTTTTCATTTTATTCTTTTTTCCCCTTGATGTTTTCTGCTTTTTTATTTTCATTTTACACTTTTTTTCTCCAGTTTTGTATATATTTTGTGTAGTTTTTTTTTTTTTTTTGGTGTTTTTGTCGTTTTGCCAGTGGGGCCAAGCCAACAGGTTCGTTGGTGGAAGTTGGGAAAAAGTCAAACGGCTCAATAATCGAAGACGGCTCAGAGTTTTTGAGTCCGCGGCTCCGAACTCCAACTCTTCGGAGTCCGGATAAATGAGGACAACAACAGCGACAACTTTAATGAGGTTATGCCTAGGTGTGTGTGTGTCCCAGCTGGCACACGGGGAGAAAAAGTGGGCTACTTTCATAGTTCTAATAGAATTTAAATGTCAAATATCTAATGCCATTTTTGAGATTTTATTTACCATTTTTTCGAATTTATATGTTTCTTAGATTTTTAGAGCAATTTTATCTGGTCAAGAATTTTACAAAATTTACTATATATTTCTTAGCAATTAAATAAATACAGATAAAATTATTTTCTCTGCACTAAAATCATTGCAATGCCGAAACAAAATCAGCGAAACATAATAAACCGAAAATCAAGCGAGCAAAAAGCGAAAGAACAACACAAATGGATGGAAATATTTGCTCACCTCTTCCTCCGGTTTAGTGCCTTGTAATTGCTGTTGACTCTTTAGATGTTGTTTTTGTTTACTGTTTGCCCGCTTAATGTGGCTGCATTATTATTTTCAACCGTTGCCGCACAACCAACGGAAAGCCAAAAAAAAACGAAGAAACAAAATTCAATTTGCACAATAAAATTGATTTTACAATGTGTAAAATTCCACAGATTATGCACGAAATGCGTTTGATTTTCACTCAGCCACCACACTCGAAAAAAATGCCCAAACAAACAAACGAAAAAACAAAAAACCGTTGCACGCCTGCGCTTTTCAAAAGTCTTCCCAAGATCCGATCGAAAATCTTTCATCCGCAACGTTGGCCCTCAGTCGTCGACTTTCACGTTCCAGCGCTCGAAGCAAACTGAGCGGCAAAGCGGCAGAATGGCAGCCAGCGGACGTCGACTGCGACTGCGACTGAGGTCCGCCGATCAGAGATGACGTCTTGGCTTTTTCACAGATTTTTGGAAAGAGAAATACACAGATTTTGAGGCTTTAAAGCTCTGCTTTAAAATTATACATATATTATTTAATTAATTTTTTTTTTACAAATTTCTAAATTAATTGTTCGTAACTGATTTCATATTACGTCTTGGCTTTTTCACACATTTTTGGAAAGAAAAACATAAGTTTTTTAAGGTACCAAAGCTCAGATTCGAAATTATTATCTGAATGAGATCTGAAATTTTTATTTTTTATCATTATTTATTTTTATTACCCCTACCTGACACGAAAATAATTTCAATTAAAATGTAGTCCTTAAAAATTTAATACTTTTCCTATTTTTTTTGACTAAGTTAAAGTTAAATTAAGTTACTGATATACAAATTGAATGAAAGGCTTTATTTTGTAAAAGAATACTTTTTTTTTTAAAACGATTAACTACAGGAAACAGTAATTATAATTTTCATTCAGTCTTTAAGCCCGACTTTAGTCACCACTGATTGCGGCCAAATCCGATTGGCAATCATTGTCGCCGTTCTTTCCGGTTTGCTGGCGTTGCCACTGCGCTGCAATTAAGCGGCAGATTCGGATTTTGTATTTCGATTCGGATCCAGACTGGGATTCATATATATCTATATGTATAGTCGAGGCATGGCGACCGCAGCCTAGGTTAATTTCCCTCAATTTTGCGGCTTTTTCGCATATGGGTCGAGTCCATTCCTTACATGCTGAGATACACGGCGAGAAAAGTTTCGGAGTAAAATTGTAATACTGTAAAATAAAATTAGATGCTGTATCTTTTATATTTTAAATATATAATGTAATATTTCAATATAAAATAAATATTTAAAATATATCTAGACAGCTCTTTAAAATTCTTGACAAAAAAAACGGGAAGTAGCAAAAATAACCCAGAACAAAATAACATAAAAATCTAAAAAAAATATTGAAAATTCTGGAAAAAAAAAAACATAAAATTAAGATTTTATAGGCTTAATTTTTTTTATCCGTGTACCCTATAGACCAACCTGAGATACCTGGCTACCTGTTGCACACACACACATTCTGCTAATGGCCGTCCGCAAATTGACCCATAAAATTGTAACGTTGCTTGGGCCATGATAGATTAGCCGTCCATATATCATTGCAGATACATTATCGTAGTGAAGTCGGGGAGTTGGGGTGTCGGTGGATCGGTGAATCGGCAGTCGAGTGCATAAATAACCATCCGTGGCTGTATGTTTGGAGTAGTATGTTCGGAACACCCCGTGTCGATTGAGGCGGCGATCATGTCTGCGATTTGCATGCCGGGAACATCGGTGGATTATGCATCCGAGGCATGCGATTTGATGCGATCGATGATATCCGATCGGATCGGCAATGGCCACAAGGTTATCCCCTCCCTCGGACATCATTAGCTTATTGGTCACGATCGGCCGTAGAAGAAGAGGAGGAAGAACCCACGGGTCACAATCGCACAATCATTCAATTCATAATGATCCTCCCATTGAAATTCCAACAGGTTCTTCTCTTTGAGAATTTGCCATCCCACAAATAACTGCCTTGGCTTCGTAAAAACATGGATTATGTTAAAAATCTTTTAGATTATTTTAAAGATAAGTAAATAAAACAACAAGTTTCTGGAAGCAATTTATTTCGGTTTTTGGCCATTCACAATATCTAGGAATTTTCAAATAAAAAGTTTCAAGGTGCCAGGGGTTCGGATTTAACAAATGTTTTCCAAAAAAATTAATATTTAAATTTTCGGGTGAAATAAATTGTTATAATTTAAATAGAACTGAAATTAATTAATTTCAGCTTTTCACTTTTGCTCCACTTTAATTTCAAAGGTCTTGTAGGTGTACTCCTGGATGACCTTCAGATTTCGGATGATGAATTCCTTGATGGCCTGCACATATTCGGCGGCGGCCAGGATTAGCTTCTTGAAGGCATCGATCACCTTGCCCTCGCCCTCCAGACGACCCTTGAACTTCTCCTCCGACACCTGGGTGATGAATCCCCGGAGACCCAGAGTTTTAGCCTGGGCGAGGGCGAACAGTTGGAAGGCCTCTTTGGGAACTTTGCCGCGGATCTCAAAGTCACAGCCCATGATATCGTCTTTTTTTTCGTTGGCCATTTCGAGTAAATTTTGGTTGCCAAAAAAAGTATATATATTTTTGTTACTGACAAAGCTCGTTGAACTTGAAGGCAAGATCTCAGCACCTCATGACCCTGACTTTGAACTTCCCAGCTCCCCAGATCGTAATTGCGGCCAATTATCGTGTACCACAATCGCTGCAAGAAATCAACCCACAGCACAGGTTTCATTCCCATTAGAAGACTAAGCAAAAAGTATAAGTATTCAAAAAAAAAAGGGGGGGGAGAAAAAATACACACTTTAAAATATATAAAACAAAAGTAAATATAAATCACAAGGCGGTTTCAAGTCTTTGGCGGCATATATGTAACTGTTTCTTTGTATCTCGGCAGCTCCGTATCTTTGCATCTGTATCTGCATCTGCACCAGGCTAAAAGCGATCTATCTCGACTTTATTTTTCCTCGGCTCTTCCGCCAAAACGGGCACCTCCTTCCGACTGCTCACACGTATGGTATATATAATTTTTTCACAGAGTTGTCATGCGGATGATAAGAAATAATTAGAAATTAAATAAATTGCTTAATTATAATAAGCTTGTAGCACGACAACAACAACAACACAGCAGCAGAAAGAAGCAACGATTACGAATAGCCAACACTCTTCCTTAAGAATACCAAAGGTTTAAAATAGGGTTTTGACAGGACATTTGCAATAATGGAAATACTTTTTACTAAAAAGCTCTGTGATGATTGGTTACCGAGATATGGGTAATTAAATCATATCATATCGTATCAAATATATTACAACTTTCCAAGGTTATCTCATCTATTTAGTACTATTATAACAGCTAAGAAAGGAAAGTATCTGGTGGTAATGCCCTCCAGATGGCTGTGGGAACGAAGGGCTTGAAAGTGGAGGAGTTGACAACGGATCGGAATGGAAATTTGAATTTAAATCGCAGACCGCTGGATTTTGCAACAGTTGGCACGTGACGTCAGGTTCAGTTTTTCCCAGAAACTCAGCCCTCCGGCAATTATGGTCCATTATCCCCGCAAAAAGGGGGAGGGGTCCAATTATGGTGATGTAAGACATGGGCAGATGTTGTGAGCTTAGCATATTATAACCACAGATAGCTGGCAAGTATGTATGTGTGTGCATATTATATATATATTTAATGGATTCCTGTAAATAATCTGCGTGCGTTTATCTGAGATTAGCTTAAGACACGTAAGACAACGAGAATACAAAAAAAAAAAAACATTTACATATACAATAGATTCTTGTTTGTTTCTCAACACGAGTTATTCGATTTGTCAAAAAAAAATAATGTAGATACATATATCATATCATTCAGGAACGATCTTTACGTCCGGCAGATGCAGAGGGTGTCCAGAAGGAAGACGGCCGCATTGATGATCATCAGGGAGCCGGCACCGATGGCCTGGCGCTTCCTGTCGGTATTCAGGATGCCGCCGTGCCACTCGTCGATCACCAAAGCTCCGGAGGCCACGAACAGCAGACAGCCGGCCAGCGAGAACAGGGCATTCAGTCGCTTCTCCACCAGGGAGTTGATCACGTGACCTAATAAGAAAATATAGGAAATAAATATATATTTAGGAAGTAATAGGTAATAACTCACCGATCAGCAAAACGCCACAGATAACCGTATAACCTCCAATGGTTCCGGCCACAATCACCGGATGGGAGGACATATTGCCAACCGTCTCGTACAAAACAATGCAGGCAATGGCGATGGCCTAAGTGGGGTGAAAAGAAGATGCAGTAAAGATTAGCAGGGTTAAAGTAAAGTTTTTCATGTAAAAAAAATTGTTCAAATCGGACCATTGATTAAAAAGTAATGAACGAAGAATGTTGTGCGCCTGCAAGCAGTGCAAGCAGTCGTGTTGCTGCAGTGGATTTCTGCTTGTATATCTATAGTGTTCTTTCTTGTTTTAAATATTTTTTACATTTTTATAGGACAAATAAAAAAAAACAAATACAATTCACTTTTAATTAGACTTAGAATTTTAATTTTCATGGCTTAAGGAATAAAACAAATATTTCAAGAGCCCAATATAACGAAAATATCGCCTACGAAGATAGCTCCAGTGGCGAGACTCAGGATGCCGGAGACCAGCAGCACTTCCCTGTCCTCCTGCGACTTGCAGTATCCCAGCCACTGGTCCAGGATAATAACACCCGTGGCCACGAACAGGACAAAGCCGCCGATCGAGAAGAGGATTTCGAGGCGCTTGTCCACACCAGTGCCGCCCACATGTCCTGTGAAATGAATACATCCACTATAACTCTTCAACGGGATCCAATATTTCAGGATTAAACGAATTTACCTGTGGCCAGAATAAAGCAGGTGATAAGGTAGCCGATTAGAGTGCCATAGACCACCATCGCTTGCCTGATAAAGGTCAGATCCGAAATGCTCTCGATCAGCACAATGCTCATGACGATAAAGACCTGGGAGTTAAGAACTCGGTGCTCAGCAAATGTGACGGACAAAAATTCATAGACGGACAAACTCAGAGACAGATACGGACAAACGGACAAGCAGAAAGAAGAAGAAGAAAAGAAAGTGTTGGGAACTATCTATAGATCCAAAACGAATTGACATAAAAATCTTTAAAAAAAAAACAGCGCAATCATTAAATTCTGTAACTGCCTTGTGAAATTAAAAGTCTAAAAATTATTCCAGGCCCAGCAAATATAAACTTTCACTTGCTTCACGTTGCCAAATATTCGTCAGTACTTTTTTCTATCTATATATTCTGTATATCAAACAAAATTAATCACTTTGGGCCAACACTAAAAGCGAACTGATAATTTTAACCGCGCCAAGTACTTAATGGCATTTATTTCTGACCATATGCTACAGTACTGAGTACTCCCTTCTTTGTTTTATGTTTTCTTGCTTGTCTGACAAAAACGACCGGAAGTTCGGCCACAGTGCCAAAAATATTACTAAGAAATCTAGCCAGAAAATATAATATTAAAGTAATTAAAACTATACAGAATTTTTCTTTATTTATTTAAAAATAAACAAAATATTATTTTATAAAAAGTAATGTTTTTCCGAAGGGCTTTCCTTAACAAACAACCATAAATAAAATTCATTCAGTAATTTAATGTGCTTGTCACATCTTCGGCTACCAAAAACCACTTCATATATCACCATAATCACCATAGAGAGTGGCGACAAAAGCCGCGGAATTAATTCGACACCCACACCCCCTTATTTGCTTATCAAATATGAAAATTATTCCGATATTGCCAGGCAGAGCGACAAAATGACAGCGACAGAAGATATACGGGTTTAATGGCGATAAATTGACGAGCCATCGAGGGCCAATACGCAACAGTGGGCCATCGCTAAGTGTGACACACCCGCAATCAATCAATTAGCAGACGACACCGCTAATTGGTTTCGCGGAAAAATTCCGACGTAGGATGCAGGAAAAGAAGGAAAACCCTGTTGACATTGTAATGCAAGGAGGGCTAGTAGTAGGTCATTAGGTCATTAGAAGTCCGGAAAAGGGGGAGAAGGTAAGGTAAACAAATGCCAGTTAGCCATATTCATATCTCTCCTCCCCTCCATAAAATATAATTTGTTTATGGAACTGTTTGGGGTTTGTTTGGTTTTCTAGTTATTTAGGAAGGCACCTCCTGTGTCAATAATTACCTATTGTTTGCCATTTATTTATACCCGGACATTTATCAATATACATTTAGATATTTTTATGTGCGCGGCTTGTTTATTGTTTAATTGCCACGCCCCCCAAAAAAGGAAATCGGAGATGGGGGATTTGGGATTGGAAGTCCCAAAAACGACATTAACACCCAAATAATCGCGATTATTACGCGACTAACGACGCATTTATTTGGGGAACGGGGCCTTATAGATGTTGTTTTCTATCCCATTAGCATTGGAAAAACGCCGACTATGTTTTATTAATTGATTAATAGATTGATTTTATGGCTTTCGGGGAAATCTTGAAGAGGAAGTCATGCTGGTAATTTTTATACATTTTATTAAAATTAATATAATTAAATTATTATATTTTAAACAGACACAAATCTCCTAAAATCCATTAAATTAAAATTACTCATCCCGCTTTTGGCCAACATTTTTTTTTTGCGAATCCTTTTGATGGTTTACAATAAGAAAATAAAATAAACGTTTTCCTCGAATTATCTCAACTATGAAATGTGCTTCCGCATGACTAAGAGTTGTTTACTTCTGATGACCGCCGGCATTATTTACAAATTATATTCTCACCAGTTGATTGGCAAAGTTGCTATACCGCAAATAACTGGGGAAAACCCAGGCCACGCCCCCGAAAAATAAATAAGCCAAAAATAGTCGGACTTTGACAGAAATGAAAAGCCAAAAACCCAGCAAAGCCGTAGATCAATTTTATTTTTTATTTGCAATTGATATTGTTAGTATGGGCCATTCATTATTCGGCCACCTGACATGCCACGCCATTCAGGGAATTTTCGGGGGGCAAGGCGAAAAGCACAAATCAATTAAATACATTTTCAAGAAAACGGTGGATAGGAAAAGCAACAACAACAACAAAATAAACAGCAAATTGTGCGCCTTCCCGATTTGCAGTTAAAGCATTTATTAGCCCGTAAAAATATTTACGAGCCGGGTTGCCGGAATCGAAACGAGGGGTAAATGGTCGAATGTGTTCTTATCTCTCGCTGGTTCCATTTCTATTTGCCTGCCAGCTCACACACCCCAAACAGGAGACAAATATTTGATTTTCACTCTTACCAAAAAAGAAAATATACTAATACAAAATAATATTAATCGAGGTTGCTTTGGCTTTTTTACAGGCAGCTAATAAAGGAACAGCCAGGGCCCAATTAGCCATTCGGCGGGCACTCGATTGTTTACCCAATGCAACCGACCTTTCGGCGAGCGCACATGGCGTATGCGTAATGCGTGCCAGATTTCTCAGCTTTTTCGGCCATGTGCACGATGATGTCATCGTGGTAGCTGCTGTGCCGGGCTGCACTCAAAAAAATGGAGTTCTTCTGGACTTTCACTTAGTTTGAAACAATATATTGATTTAGTTCTGTTTAAAACATATATTTTAGGATACACAATTCTCCTAACCTAATGGATTTTATGCCACAATTTTAATAAAATAACACCTAAACCACTATTTAAATTGATTGAAAGTATTTAATTTTAAATGAATTGTGTTAGCAAATTTGCAGATTTAAACGGTATTTATTGAATTATTTATTTAAAATTTATATATAAATTTATATTATATATTTATATATAAAATGAATTAAATAATTTGCCAAATACCAAAATTCATTTAAAATCTATATCAATTCAATTAATATTGAATTTAGCTCAGTGTGGACTTTGTTTTTTATTTTCTAAGCCAATAGTGATTAGTAAGTGCAATGGGCGAACGGCGAACGTGATTGCACGCCCGCCTTATAGAGAGGGTGTGGCCGGATTGGGATGGACGGACATGATCCGCATTACAATAAATCGAGTGCCCGGCAAGTGGGTCGTCGGATTGCAGTGATGCAATCATCGGAATGAGTGGCAGTTGACTCATTTGCCGGGAGCCTAGCTCAAGATCACTGAATAATGTCAGGCACATTTAGGAATGATGATCTTATATTCCACACATATCTGTATGTATACTTTGAGCAACACCCTTCAACTTGACAAGTGAATAAAGTGAAATTCCTAATATATGTATATTTTTACTTAATATAAGAGGAATGCGAATATTATACCTATATTTTACAATAGAAAATGGAACAAATTTCGATTCCAGTTTGACTGATTGCCGTGATGATTAATTCTTAAAACAAGCAAGAGTCCAAGTTAAACCAGATGTCTCAGCGAAGTAAACAAATATTTGTATATAAACATTCGCTTGCATTTACAATCATCTCTTAGCTTACTCTGCAAAAACACTTTTGTGCAAGAAGATAAGAATTACTTTCAAGAGATGACATTCATAAGTCAACTTCTGACCGATTGTGGAGCATTCAATTGAGTAAATAAAAATATAATTCATTTAATGCGAATTCAATTAATGAAGGCAGGCAGACAACCTTATAGATTAAAATAAATTATGATAAATCGCTTAATATCGTACAATTAATGTGGAGCTTTTTAAATTGATATTTAAGACAAAAGGTATTTTTTTATTATTCTAAACTCCTGTTTGTTTCATTAATAATATATATTGAATGGTAAAAATTAGATTATTTTTTCTTCTGGGTTAGTATTACTCATTTCCATCTATAAGTGCTAAATATGTATTCATATTCCAGCATTATCTTCAGACTGGCTCTCTTTTAAGCTCACAGAATCGTTGCAATGATGTCATTTGTGCTTGGACCAAAAATAAAACCTGGATCATGGGCACGATTATAATAAATTCAAGCCCGGAATTTAAAATTTTCGACATGCAACTACTAAGTTTGACAATTTGCAAGCCAATTACCTTTGAATGGGGATATAAATAAAATAGTTTGGCAGAATAAATTACTATTGAAAAGAATGATCTAATGTCGGCTTGTTTTTTAGCACCTATTAGACCCCTGGGAACCCCAAAAAAAAACTGAAACTCAGGAGGGGGAGAGGTCATGACATCATTGAGCCGAGAGCACGCATTAATCCCCAAAACTACGCACCCAAAAACAAAATTCAGTAAAAGAGTAACAGAAACAATGAAGTCATAGTCATGTTTTGTTGTGGTCCAAAAACCGGTTGCTCTTTTTTTCAAGACCGGGCATTATTTTCGGGGTATGAGAAAGACAACAATAGCAGAAACTCTAGAGACGCAACAGGAAATTGATTGAAATCGGGGAAGCAGAAAGGCAGACGCTCACAAGAAAAGAAAAACATTGTATACAGTCGAAGTTGCAGCTGCCACATATAAAATTTGACTTAAATTCGATGTTTATACGCTTGTCATTTGGTTAAATAAATATTCTTAGTCGAATTATACAATTTTAAAGCCAAAATTTCAGTCCAGAATTTTTAAATAAATATTTTACGGATTTTAAATTCTACAATTTTACTTTATTATTAAAATAGTATTATAATTAATAGTTATTAAATAAAAAAACGAACTCTGACCAGATAATGAAAGGATAAAATGACTAGAATATTAAACTAATATTATAATAAATATTTTTTAGCATAGACATTTAATTTAAATATTTTCCAAGAATTTAGCCAATCATAAATGGCATTAAAAAATACAAAATGCTGATAAGCAGTCACAAATTGTGTTATTTGTAAATAAAAATTCAATCTAGCGGCTTTCCACAGATATCTTTTGATCGTATTTATTTTGGCGTCCTCGAGCTTTCGAGATTTCAAGATACGCGGTATTTTGTAATTCAATTACTCACCAGCTCAATGATTTTCAGCAACAGGCGATTGTTGAACTCCATGGCACTCAATTGAGATTTCGCTTTCGTTGGCTTTAATTTGATCGGATTGGATCAGATCGGATAGTGTCGGATATAATGATAGTGCGCTGGATTCCGGGTGCGTGTTGATTCCACGGCGTACGCAAGTGAACTGAACTGGCCAAGAGCGTCGTCGTCGCTCGCTTCCAAAGCTCCAGAGTGCCGTCGACGTCGACGCGTCGGCGAAGTCAGCGAAGGCAGAGGCGTCACCCAGCCAAAGTTAATGCCCATGTTTACCTTCAAAAAACGCAATTAGCTCGGATTTATGGATACATCCGCCGGCACAAGAGCTAAAAGGATATTTTCTCAGAAAACTAATCGTGTTTTAACTATTTATGATGGATGTTTTTGAATCAAATAGATATAAAGTAAGCGAAATAAATAGATTCCTTTTAAAAAAGTATTTCAAAATATTGCAAATAATTAAAAAAAAAAAATTATAATAATAAATATGTATGTAGAAATTTAAAAAAATATTTTAAGGTTGACTGAACAACATAAATAATATTTTTTTAATTAAAACACTTATCAGTAAAATTATAGGCAATTCTCTGATTAATGAGTCTAATTTGGCTTAACTTTTCCATCACAAATTACAAGTGCATCACGAACAAGTTCCTAAAGCATTAAATATAAACTTTCGTTTTCATAAATTATCTTAAAAACTCTATATTCACTACGAAATTGATTACAATAGATGTGTTTAAAATGTATTTCCTAATCTAGAGTTACTATACAGACGCAGTCCAGAAGATTGACTTAGGAATTATGTAAAAAAAAACAGAGAAAATAATCTGGCAAATCTTGTTCAACCAACTATAGAAGCGCCCACATAGGCCAGTGCTCGCTCCGCCTCAAAGGCAGCCACGTATTGGGGCTCCAGCGTGTTGATGGCCCGCTGGGTGAGCAGGGCGATGTTCTTCGTTTCGCCGTGATCCCGCTCGAAGGCCAGATACTCGACCCAAACGCGCGGCTCTGTCTTGCCGAAGTAGCAGGCCATGAAGTCGTAGCACATGCGCCAGTACTTCAGGCTGGCCGGGTTCTGTATTGGAGTAAAAAGTGAAATTTAAAGGAGAGAGTCTTTCTGGTATACAAGAAAACCTACGTGAACGGCGGCACTGGACTCCAGCTGGACCATTTGGCGGTGCAGCGCCAGCGACATGGGCGGCTGTACGGCCAGCTTGGCGTACTCCTTGCGCGCATCATCAACGGATCTCTCCTGCCACAGATAGCGAAGGTAATCGGAACGCAGATCGCCAAACTCCGGCCACGCCGACTTGCAGGCCAAACCGTAGATCTCGTCCAGCCTGCTGGCGCCCAAAGTGTCCTGCCGCGTGTGATAATACAAAAGGACACTGCGCCACAGCGGCAACGCCTCGCTGCCCATGCTCTTCTGGATCTTCTGGAACATCTCATAGATCAGCGGCTCACTATCGCTCTGGATGTGCGTGGCCAGCAGCAGTTCGTGCATCTCCACAGAGGAATCGGTCTTCAGGGCCTCCGTTAGAATGGTGACAGCCGCCTCCCTTCCACTCGGTGCTGTGCAGAGCATTTTCCTCAATATAGCGTAGTGCTTCACACCCATCATTTGAGAGCGATGGCCCGCTTGCAGGGCATCCGCCAGGCACTGTTGCTTGAGGATGCGCTCTGTCTTGCCGTCGCTGTTTAGGGCCAGCATGGCATCGAGGTACATATTCCAGATCTCCGGCGTTTGCAGCTGCTCCACCGCCGATTTGTAGACCGTCACGCAGAGCTGAATGCGTCGCTTGAGCGAGCGGGCATTCACCGAGCGGGATTTCTTGCTGGCGGGCTCCTCGTCGCTGGTATCCAGTTCCTCGTCCTCCAAGTCGCCCAGATGAAAGCCGCGCAACTCGCGCTGGGCGAGCAGATCCCAAAGGCCCGGTTCGCGGGGGAATTTCTCCTGCATGTCGTCGATAATCAGACGCTGCAGCTTGCCCGTCAGCTCCTGATAATCCTCACAGCTCTCGAGGAGCTTCACAAAGTAGTCCAGCTGCGTGATATTGGCCATGCTGTTGCGGTAGACCGCCTCCACGCGTTCCAGCTTGATGTCCTGCTCGGAGATCGTGTTCTCGTCCAGCGTGCGTTCGTCATTGGCCAGGGCGGCCTCCTTGAGCATAATGTCAAAGAAGCACTTGTTGAGGGTCGGCGAATCCGAGTGGCGCTGCAGACCGCGCAGCAGAATGTCCTTGACGCGGTCGATATTGAGGCGGTTGTACTCGTACAGCCACATGGCGGCATCCACCCAATAGTCCGGAACATCGCCGTGGTACTAGAGTTGTTAGGAATTTATAGTTATAAGTGAGTGAAAGTGAGCAGAGCGGCAAATGCACCCACCAGCAGCATCTTCTCGTAGATGCCGGCCACCTCGACGGGATTGGACTTCTTGCTGAACTTGATCCAGTTGCTCCACAGCCGCCGGTCGTGGGTGAACTTGCCGAGAGCCTCCCTGTACAGACGCATGATCCGCGTGGCTATGGAGGTCTTCAGACCGGTCAGCTTCACGTGCATCTTCTTCTCCTTGTCCTCGATGGTCAGGTGCATGTGCTTCTCGTACAGAATGAACTCCAGGTAGTCGGTGATGCTCTGGTGGCTCTTGTTGATCTTCAGGAACAGGCGTTCCCGCCGCCCGACGATTTCTCTGGAGGATTAAGTTAATGAGTTAAGGTAAAATGCTAGGTGGACCTGGATCACCCACCTGACTTGATCCGCCGTGAATACGCTGTAGTTCTTCATCTGCTCGTACTCCGGCAGCAGGCGCTCCTGCATCTCAGCTATGAACTCGCCCATGTTTGCCTATTTAATGCTTACTAATATAATAAAAATATTGTTTATTTCTTGAGAAACAGGCGCACGTGCAACGCAACGGTCGGTTATCGATTATCGATTGTGGGCGGGCAGTTGTCGATATCGGATAGGGATGGGAATAATAATAAAAAATTCTAACAAAAATAAAATATATTTTAAGGATACGCTTAATAAATTCAGTTCTTAATAGTAATACTTAATCAAACTTAAATTAAAATAAGAAACCTAGATAGAAAATGAATAATATTTGTTACATAAAACCATTATTTCTTTTTCGGTAATTATATATCTTCTATGTAAATTTGTAAAATAAATAAAAACTAATAATTAAACCTACTCTGCTACACCTGCTGTGCCATCGCTAGCGATAGCTGGCCGATAGTTCGCAGCGTAGGAGTTGCCCATCGCCAGGCCATCTTCTTCTTCCACCGCGCAAAATCACGTATAAATAAAAATTTCGTTGGGACGCCGAGAAAATCAAAATAATAGCATCCAAACCCAAACAATGGCCGAATTCTCAGTGGAACGCGTCGAGGACAAGCGGACGGTGAACGGGCGCACCGAGTACTACCTGAAGTGGAAGGGCTATCCGCGCAGCGAGAACACCTGGGAGCCGGTGGAGAATCTCGACTGCCCCGATCTGATAGCCAACTTCGAGGAGTCGCTGAAGAACAACAAGAAGGAGACCAAGAAGCGCCTGTCCACCTCCTCCACGCCGGACTCCATTCGCAGCAAGCGCAAGAGCTTCCTGGAGGACGATGCCGAGGAGCAGAAGAAGCTGATTGGCTTCGAGCGCGGTTTGGAGCCCTCGAAAATCCTGGGCGCCACCGACTCGTCGGGCCATCTGATGTTCCTGATGAAGTGGAAGGGCAGCGACCATGCGGATCTGGTGCCCGCCAAACTGGCCAACATCCGGTGTCCCCAGGTCGTCATCCAGTTCTACGAGGAGCGCCTCACCTGGCACACGGGCAGCGGCAATGGTAATGGCAATGGCAACGGGAACACCGGCAATCTGGCCTCGGGCAGTGTGGGTGGCAGTGGCGCCGGCGACGACACGGCTCCCGGCAGCGTGGGCACCATCGGCGGCGGCAGCAATGCCGGCGAGGGCGGCGACGAGGAGCAGGAGGAGCAGGAACAGGAGGCCGAACCGGCCAGCCCCGCCGGCAGCGTCAGCCAGGACCAGCAGGAGCCACAGGACCAGGACGAGAACGCCAAGCCCGAGGAGAGCAGCGAGCTGGACAATGGCCAGCCGGATGCCGACGACTAGTTGGATTCTAGATGGATACATACACGCCGTCTTAACAATTTCGATCTATACATAATATATACATATTTGGTAGCGTAGCCCGTAAGCTTAACGATCGATGATTAACTGAAGTTCTTGTAGTACATACTTAAGCTATAAGTTGAAATGTGACATTTTTTTTTAAATATCACCCTCTTATTTCGAATCCCCCGAAAAATGTTGTTGGAGGAGCACAAAAATCTCTGTGTAAAATACAATCGACCCGACGAAAGGGGAGCGGCATTAGGGAGCTTAAGTTCGGGAATTCCGACGATCCTCTTAATCCATTTATTTTGTTTGTTTTTTTGTGACCACTGTAAAGTAATAAAGTTTGCACATTTTCAAATTGGCAATCTTTCCCTGCGGAAATCAAAAGACGCCAATTGTGCTGCCCACTTGGCTACTTAATGGCCAGGTTTTTAGCTACTTTTACGAAAGGCAGTTCTTAAGTTCCTTGCAATCCCTCAATTCAGCTCATTTGCCTTAATTCCTTCTCATTTTGAGTTGTTAATTTGTTCGGTTGAAAACAAAAACACTTGTAACTTTGTAGATTGTATGAATAAAAGAGTATAAAAACTTAAATATTGTATATACTTGACGCTTTTATGGAAATCTCTTTAGAAGTTAGCAAAAAGTATATTTTAATATCTACCTTTAAAATTTCTATGTATTTTCCATTGGCAATATAGAGTTTAAATACACATATAATCAATTGAAAAGTGTTTGAATGTGTCTGAATTTTTAGGTTGTGTTTTAAAATGTTTTTTACCTAGAAACAGAAAACCCATATTTAAACATTTAGCTTTTTTTCCGCTCATCTCTGTGACATCGATAGCAGCCGCCTATCGATTGACCCTCGATAGACGCCGGCAAAGTGTAAACCAAAAAATTAAACTTTTTTAATTCCCATTTTTTAATGTAAATAAAAGGAGGAAAAGCTTGAAAAGATGAGCCAAACGAGCTCCATGAAGCTGCTGGGCGCCCGCAACATGTCCTGCATTGTGGAGCGCATGGAGTGGAACAACAAGATGGACCTGATTGCCTACGGAACGGAAAAGGGTGAGCCTCTCAAGAATTGGGATTTGCATAGAAAACAGAGAGATTTATGGGCATTTTCCATTTTTACCCGTTGTATAGGCGAGGTGGTCATCCAGCGGCTCAACTGGCAGAAGATCGTCACCTTTCCCACGCCCGGCGAGGATGTGCGGGTGCGCTCCCTCAGCTGGCAGATGGACGAAACGCTCCTGGCCGTGGGCTACAGCAATGGCAAGGTGGCTCTGCTGGACGCCGAGAGCGAGACGATCATCTCGGGCCTCATCTACGAGGATGACATCAAGAAGGTCTACTTCAGCAAGGCCATCAATGCGCAGGAGAACTTAGGTTACAATCCATCTGGAAAATATAAGAAAATTCCCTTATTAACATCCTTTAATCTTGATTTACAGGCACCTACACCTGCAATGCGAAGGACAAGCACCGCCGGTTCCTGCCCAAACTGCAACCGCTGACCAATATCGATCCCTGTCTGAAAACCCTCGACCAGAAGTCCTTTCCCAAGGGTTCGCCCTGCTTCCTCGTGGTCATCATGCGCAGCGGCAAGGTGCATCTACTGCTGCTCGGCGCCCTGCAGGCGGGCAGCATTGATCTCACCCAGCACATCCTGCATCCGGAGCAGTTCGATGTGTACGATGTGCGGCTAAATGGCGACTTTAATGCCATCTATGCCCTGCTGAGGGACGGCCAGGAGCTGAAGATGCTGCACTTTCACAACCAGGTGCTGCAGGAGTGCATGGCGCCCATGCTGGAGCTGGCCACGCACTGTGCGCACATCCTGGAAACTAAGAAGTAATTATATACTAAGTTATAGGTTGATTATAAGCCATTACTCCCCTTTTAGCTACATAAACGACACACAGCAATGCCTGACGGAGGCCTGGGAGACCGTGCAGCTGGAGATGGACAACAAGCTGACCAAGTACGCCAATTCCCAGCCCTACGGCTTGATCTCGGCCCATTTTTTGGAGCTGCACGTCTTTGGATTCGCTACCTTCGAGGTGGAGGAGTTTCTGTTCGAGTGAGTTTTCCGTTTAAAGCCTGAGCCACTTGCTTATCCTTTCTTCCACTAGAACGCTGTCCGAGAAGGGCTTCAAGAAGATCGCCAACTCGGTGGACTTGAGTCTGAGCAATCTGCAGAGCCTGGTGTTCAAGCAGCTCAATGGATCCGCCATCAACATGTTCTATTTCCTCAACACAATCGCCGGCTTTGGTCGCATGTCGCATTTCTTCGAGTCCCTCATCTCACCCGAGGTGGCCAATGAGGCAATGCGCGCCTGCGGAGCCTTCGTGCTCAAAGTACACGAACTGCAGCGAACGATCGACACTTTGGTGTACGACATGAAGCTCTTTCACGCCTGGATGATATTCACTATACTCCGGCTGTCGCATCAGGAGATTCCCGACGACCTGGTGCTCACCGAGGAGGAGAATATAGCAATGGCCGACTTTCTGTGCGCCATGGAACCCGAGCTGGAGGATCGCAGCGATGATGATGAGGGGGAAGACGATGTGGAGCCGCTTTCCGAGGTGGAACTACCCCAGGCACGCAGCAAATTCAATCTGGAGCGAGTGGGCCAGTATCTGGAGAATGCCTACTTGTCGCAGCCGCACACCCGGGATCCCAGCCAGCTGTGGGAGGAGATGGTGGCGGAGAATGAGTGCCTAAATGACTGCCGGCTGTTCGTCCCGCACGACAAGCAACTCTCGCTCGTCCAGCAGCGCGACAAGATGTTCAATGCCATCGATGCAGTGTTTCACAAGCCAACGGAGAGCATTAGCGGAAGTTTTAAGCTTTCCTCCGCCGTGATTTGCAACGATCTGCCGCCCATGGAACCGGGCGAGGGGCTGGAGGATCGGGAGATAGTGACCTGCAGCTATTACGTGAACGAGGCCGCGCGCAGCGACATGTTGGCCTGCACGATTAGCTGGCAGGAGGCCATGATCCTGGAGGTCAGTCGGGCGGGCGATGGCCTGGTGCGCTGCATGCGCATTCAACTGGAGCCGGGATTGTTCTCCTCGGCCCATGAGGATTTCTACAATCTGCGCTTCGTCGATTTGCAGTTCTACAACGAATCCTCGCTCTCGATTCTCGCCCAGTCCACGAGCGCCGTTTCTGGCATGCGTCCGCACAGCTTCTTTATACAATTCTCGCTGAGTGCGGCGCGCAATCAGTGCACCCAGCATCAAATGGGACCGCTGGTCAAGCTGAAGGAGGCCACCGTGACGCACAGCATCCACGATGTGGTCGATGGGGCCGCCTTTAAGGGTTTGGATGGCCTCTGCGACATGCTGGCCGTCTCGGGCAGCCGGAAAGTGGCCACAGTGCTGTCCGATCGCAAGCGCAAAATGACCATTTTCGAAATGGAGATCGAGGAGGAGGAGGACGACACGGAGATGTCGCAGGCCTCGTTCCTCGAGATCAGCAAGGAGTCGGTGCTGGCCGGGGTCGTGGATTCGGAGAAGCCAGATGGGTAGTTCTTTAGTCTTTATAAATTCAAATGGAATGATAATTATAATTTGATAATTTAAGATCGTGGAACTTGAATTATTCAAATAATTACATATTTCGTTGGTGGAATTTCTGTGTTTTTGAATGGAAACCATATTACAGAGTTCTGTAATTTTGTATTATAATATTTTCTAATATTTTTGCAAAATTTACTGCTTGTATCATTAAAAATTCGATATATATTTAACCGTTACAAAACGATGAAATTAAATTATTCAAATAATTACATATTTCGTTAAAGGAATTTCTGTGTTTTTAAATAGAAACTTTTTTTTCTAATATTTTTGCTAAATTTACTGTTTGTATCATTTAAAAATGTAATATATATTAATTGCTACTAAACGATGAAATTGAGTTAATCAAATAATTACATATTTCGTTAGAGTAATATACGTGTTTTTAAATAGAAACTCTTTATAATACTTTTTTTTTTGCTAAATTTACGGCTAGTATCATTTGAATTCTATATATATTTGACCGCTACAAAACGATGACCATAACTATCGGCACAAGTATCGTCGGCAGGTGGAGAGGACCAAAAACCCCATCCCTAATAGCGTGGCACGAGAATAAAAATAATATAGGCAATGCAGAAAATAAAAGGGAAAACAAAGCCAAAACGGGAGCCTGCAGCCATGGAAGTGGAGGAGAACGAGACGGAGGAGGAGGCGCCCCAGCCGGAGAAGGAGGAGGAGGAGCCCGCCTCCGAGGACGACGATGAAATGGACCTGGCCAACTTCAAAGTGGGTTCCACTTCGTCCGCAAGCGCCGCTCCCGCGAAGAAACGCAAGCGAGGCATCATCTACATATCCAATATTCCCAAGCACATGAACGTGACGCGGCTGAGGGAAATCCTGGCCGAGTACGGGACCATTGGAAGGGTCTACCTGCAGCCGGAGAAGCTGTCAAGTGAGTGGTGTGCGATTGGGGTGTTTAATTTAATCTGGAAACCCCTTTTACAGGTGCCAAGGCCAAGAAGAACAAGCGCAAGCGCTACAACATCCACTTCACCGAGGGCTGGGTGGAGTTCGAGTCGAAGCGGGTGGCCAAGCAGATCGTTCCGCTGCTGAACAACAAGCAGATCTCCACGCGCAAGAAGTCGCAGTTCTACGACTCGCTGTGGAGCATGAAGTACCTGCCGCGCTTCAAGTGGGTCCATCTCACCGAGCGGATGAACTACGAGCAGGCGGTGCACAAGCAGCGCCTCCACACGGAGGTCTCGCAGGCCCGCAAGGAGACGACCTTCTTCCAGAACAATCTCGACAAGAGCGAGTTCTTGAAGAAGCAGGCCAAGAAGGCCAGGAAGGCTGAGAGGGCTGAGAAAGAGGCTGAGTGAGAGCTGAGCCCGCGTTAGACTGTTGTTTCAATACTAGACCGATTGGAAATATACCTAAATTAAGCATAAAAACTGTTTGAATAACTGAGTTCAAATTGACCGCTCCTTTTTTTCTGTTAGTAACCGCTGGCACTTAACAGAATTGTTATCGGTGTTTTAAGAATCTAACATTTGAGAGCGCCATTGCGGATGAAAATGGAAACATTGTTTTAAAAATATCGCGACTTGGAATATTTCGCACATCCCATCCCTACTGCGTCACCCTCAATTTAACAGAATGTTAAGATACAGTGGCAGAGGGGCTAACAGCTCTGCCAATGTATCTTAACATTTCTGCTAAACTAACAGGAGTGAGGGCGCCACTGCGGCCAAAATGGGAACCAGTTTAGTATTTCAGTATTTTATTTTTGGATTAGTATTTTTCAATAAGTGTGTAAGAGTGTTAAGATACAACGTTTTCTTACATTGGCAGAACTGTTACGCCTCTGCCGCTGCTCTGCCAATGTAAGGACGTTGTATCTTAACATTTCTGTTAAATTAACAGGAATGAGAGCGCCAATGCGGCCTAGATGGAAACCAATTTAGTATTTTATTTGTTGATTAGTATTTTTAAAGAAATATTTATTTTTACTCGAAAATATCGGTAAATATTTTTAACCCCCCAATCCCACCACTATCCACCATTTTTCTTTGTAGACTTGTGCGCCCGTGTGGTTTTCGAAAATTCTGTGATCAAAAAGCGACTAATTAAGCATCGAAAATGGTAAATTCAGGACGGGAAATGGAGTTTTTCGCGTGGTTTACGCTGCGCCCGGGCGGCGGCGGGTGAATTCGGGTGGTTTTCATTGATAATTGCGGGCAAATCGGCGTTTTCATTTGCCGGGTGTCTTCGAGCACAAGCCATTTTGGCAGGCGGCTTTGCACGTGAGCTGCGCCTCGGAATGCTTCCCCTTCCAGAAGCTTCTAGAGCCTCCTGATCCGGGTGCTCCGCTCGAAGGAGACCCACTTCTGGAGAAGATCGGCTGTGGAACCTTCCAGACGCATCATTCCACGCCGTTTCTGCGACCGCCGATGAATCACTCGGCGCCGCTCTCTCGCCCTCCATCGTTTTGGCATTTTGGGGGTTAGGTCGAGCCGATATGGCTGCACGGAGAGAAAAACCACAACAATATATATATTCTGCATATTTGCGAGCCACAAAGCCATCTGGTTGGTGATCCCTCCTGGTTTCGCCACCTTGGAGGCCCATCTTGCCCAGAAATGGCAGCATGTTGCATCTCAGTGGGATGCCTGTTAATATTACCATCTTTAATCTATAGATCTTAAATCTAGATAATATTTCTTGTTTTGTTAGAAAGTGTTTAGTTATAAAAGTTAAAGTTCTAATGAGATTTCCCAACTGATGTCATTTTTAGAGAACTCTTTTGTACAAATCTGTTTCTTAAATACTCAGTTTTTGCCAAATATTATAGAGAATTAATATAATACCATCTTTAATCTATAGATCTTAAATCTATATAATATTTCTTGTTTTGTTAGAAAATCTTTAGTTATAATAGTTAAAGTTCTAATGAGATTTTCCAACTGATGTCATCTTTAGAGAATTCTTTTCTACAAATCTGTTTCTTAACGACTCAGTTTTTCCCAAATATTATAGAGAATTAATATAATATAATAATGAGTTATTTTAAAGCTATAAAGAATTAATATAAAACCAGATTTAGTTCTTTCATTACAAATCTTTCATACAAATCTGTTTCTTAAAGACTCAGTTTTTCACAAATATAAAGAAATGATATAAATTAATAATAGTTATTTTTAAAGTTATAAAGAAATAATATAAAATAATATTTAGTTCTTTCATTAGTTATTTTTTAACATATTCGAACTTAGGAACTTGGGCTTCAAACTCTAGAAGAATCTTTCCACACTTTGATGACTAAGACCTGAGTTAAATCTCTAAAAAATCTGGTTTTCAAAAGAATTAAGATGGTAATCGATGGTAATTTCGGTGACTAAGAAAGAAATTTTAAATATTAACTAGATGTTTGATTTATAATTCATTCTTTTGTGAATTGAGAACTCAAACTATTAGTTATTAATGGGTTTTAAAGGTCTGAAATATGTAATCTCCTAAGTAATTATTTTTTTTATAATTAAAACTAATTAAACGATCCTTTTTCCTTGCAGGAGATGTCCTTGAATCCCGTGCGCGTGCTGAAGAATGAGGCGCAGGAGGAGAAGGCCGAGATGGCCCGCCTGTCCTCGTTCATTGGCGCCATCGCCATTGGGGATCTGGTGAAGAGCACCCTGGGCCCCAAGGGCATGGACAAGATCCTGGTGGCCACCGGACGCAATGCCGGCCAGGTGGAGGTGACCAACGATGGAGCGACCATTCTGCGCGCCGTTGGCGTTGATAATCCCGCCGCCAAGATCCTCGTCGATATGTCCCGTGTCCAGGACGAAGAAGTGGGCGATGGCACCACCTCGGTCACTGTTTTGGCCTCGGAACTTCTGCGCGAGGCTGAGAAGCTAGTCGAACAGAAGCTCCATCCGCAGATCATCGTCTCCGGTTGGCGTCAGGCCACCCAGGTGGCCTTGGAGGCTCTCACTGCCGCCGCCCAGGACAACTCGGCCAGCGACGAGAAGTTCCGCAACGATCTGCTGAACATTGCCCGCACCACGCTCTCCTCGAAGATTCTCCACCAGCACAAGGACTTCTTCGCCAATCTCGCCGTGGATGCTGTGATGCGGCTGAAGGGCTCCGGGGAACTCAAGTCGATACAGATAATCAAGAAGTCGGGCGGCACTCTGGGGGATTCCTTCCTCGACGAGGGCTTCCTGCTGGACAAGAAGCCAGGTGTCCACCAGCCACAGCGTGTAGGTTTATATAGTTTATAGTTTATATATAGTTTATACCCTGCTGTCTATTAACGCGTCAAAATGACTGTGAGCTATGTGGATTTGACTTCATATCACAGCCATTTTGACGAGTTTGTTGGCCAGTCGCATTCATCGTTAAAGGAAAAGTTCCAGTGTGTGTTTAAGTATCGATTAGAGCTCTGCTTGAATGGATTCAATTAATTATTTTTAATTTTTTGTTTTTATATGAGTGAATTAATTAGAATTTTGAGTTTAATAGAATTGAATGAATTTGAATTTTGAGTTTAATAGAATTGAATGAAAGAATGGCATGAATTCCAAAATAATTGTGATTAAATCTGCCTGAATTTTATTTACTATGTAGTTAACATTAAAAATTTTCCACTTTTTGTTCTCAAAAGAAAGCACAAATAATATCTGGCAAATTTAAAAAAATCCTAAAAAAATTTAAATTAAATTTTATATGAATTAATTAATTAGTATTTTCAGTTTAAAAGAATTGAATTAATGAATGGCACGAATTCCGAAATAATTTAAACAACAATTTCTTTTGTAGAAGAAAGGGCCATAATTTTGTAATTAAATCTTCCGGAATTTAATTTACTATGCAGTTAACATTGATTTGTTAAAAATGTTGCACTTTTTGTTCTCAAAAGAAAGCACAAATAATATCTGGCAAATTAAAAAAATTCATAAAAATTATTCATTTATTCATTCAATTCGAAATAAATTAGAAAACATTAAATTTATTTCACATAGAATTGAATTAAACAAATCAGAAATTTCATAAAACAAAAATTGAATGATTCACGCAGGGCAGTAGTGTTTAAGTCTCGATCGCAGAACATGATCTCTCATCCCAGTTCTCCACCGCAGATTGAGAATGCCAAAATCCTGATTGCCAACACGCCCATGGACACGGACAAGATCAAGGTGTTCGGCAGCAGCATCAAGGTCGATTCGCTGGCCAAGATCGCCGATTTGGAAATGGCCGAGAAGGAGAAGATGAAGGAAAAGGTGGACAAGATCCTGAAGCATCAGTGCAATGTGTTCATCAACCGCCAGCTGATCTACAACTATCCGGAGCAGCTGTTCGCCGATGCCCAGGTGATGTCCATCGAGCATGCCGACTTCGATGGCATCGAGCGTCTGGCCTACTGCACCGGTGGCGAGATCGTGTCCACCTTCGAGAATCCCTCGCTGGTGAAGCTCGGCGAGTGCGATGTCATTGAGCAGGTGATGATCGGCGAGGACACGCTGCTGCGCTTCAGCGGCGTCAAGCTGGGCGAGGCCTGCACCATTGTGATTCGCGGCGCCACCCAACAGATTCTGGACGAGGCCGATCGCTCGCTGCACGACGCTCTGTGCGTGCTGGCCGCCACCGTCAAGGAGTCGCGCATCATCTTTGGTGGCGGCTGCTCGGAGGCGCTGATGGCCACCGCCGTGCTGAAGAAGGCGGCCGAGACGCCCGGCAAGGAGGCCATCGCCATCGAGGCCTTTGCCCGTGAGTTTGTTTGATGTTTACCGATTGATTTCCTTTTGTAATCTTTTAAATCTCCCTTACAGGCGCCCTGCTGTCGCTGCCCACGGCCATTGCCGACAATGCTGGCTACGATTCGGCCCAGCTGATCTCGGAGCTGCGCGCCGCCCATGCCCAGGGCAAACAGACTCTGGGTCTGGACATGGAGCTGGGCAAGGTGGCCGATGTGCGCGACTTGGGCATCACCGAGTCGTTCGCCGTGAAGCGCCAGGTGCTGATGTCCGCCTCGGAGGCGGCCGAAATGATTCTGCGCGTGGACAACATCATCCGGTGCGCTCCGCGCCGTCGCGTTCCCGACAGGGGCTACTGCTAGGCTGTAGGCTTCTAGCGCTTAAGTATTCTTGTTCTAGGATCCTATTTTTTTTAATTACCAACTCTCGTTTAACATCATCGCTAATCTTATACGTTTTGTTTAAACTAATAACCAACAACCCACACACATTAGCATTTATATCACACACCAACCATTACACGCTATCAAATCGCACACTTTCTCGCTAAATTTGTCCCTTTCGTGTAATCCTTTTACCTAATTGTCAAACAAATTGATATGTTGCAAGCCGAGCTTTTGATTCGATGAGCGGATAATGAGTGCGATCTGCGATCAAACGAAAACATTTCAAAAATGTCTAAACCCCCATCAAACCAAACAAACAAAGAACACAAACTTGTAAATGAATACAATTGTTGTAAACATTTGATGTGCGCAAATTGGAGACCATTAAACAGCAAACAAACAACAAAAAAATGGAATAAATGATATATATTTATGCTTAACAAAACTAAACGAAATGCGTTTTTATTTTGCTTCAAGCAACACGATAAATATTTATACTAAGAAATAATGATGGGAAAGTACCTATTTTTAGCAGTTTTTCAAGCATATTTTAGTCAATTTAAGGCGGACAGCTAAAAGAATGACTGTTTTGAGCAGCTTATGACTTAAGCTAACGATCCCCATCACTTTCTGGGAAATTTATTTTTTGTTCAATTTTCGCTTTTTTGATAAGGGGTTACATCACAATTTTTTGCGAAAAATGACAAAAATTAAAAATTTCTAGGTTTAAATGCCAATCGTTAGGGAATTAAATCACGAGTTCAACAAGGTATGACATCCTATATTTAAACCTTTATTTCCTTTGTTACGGCCAAAAAACTGATTTTTAATCTTTTTTTTTGCGAAAATATTCAATTTTCAAATTTTAATCGGGATTTTTTTTATTTAGTTGGTGTATGACAAAATACAGATATTTGTAAAGAAAAGTCAGGAACATTTTGTAGGTTTTAAATTAGGAAACCGCTCCTCAACCGCTTAAATCTAAGTGAATTAAAAATACAGCCATAATGAACATATTTCCTAACATGTAATAGGTGGATTAGAGATACATTTGGGGTCTTCGTTCCTTTAAATATAGCTATGTTTATTCCATTTCCTATATTACTTGGCAGATCGGCACTGCTTTTGATGTCGCAGGATGTCGATCTTCGTCAGCCGCAAGTCCCTTTTGCAGTTGTCGCAGTAATAGCTGCCAGAGGAGGAGGAGGAGGAGTGGGAGGTTGAGCTTCTGGAAGCCTCCGGTTCTGGGCTATCCGACTTGGGTCTACGGCCCTGCACCTTGCGACCCTTGCATTGGGGTCGATGCACCAGCTGCTCCAGCACATCGAACTCCTCCAGCTCAAAATCGCATCGTGTGCATGTCCATGGCTCTGCTCGGAGTGCCGCATCCATGGCCATTGTCCAGGGCTGTTCCGCCAGGCAGCCGTACACCACGTGCTCGGATACGTTGAGCCCGCCCTTTTCCTCGTTGGCCGTCATGGGATAGTCGCCGGCAAAGGGATTCTCCTTCAGCTCCAGGAGACGAGCCGAGGGGGCCTCGTGTGAGTAAAGCCTCTTGATGTCGGCGGGCAGCAGCCGGCGAATCGCATATGCCACGTCTAGGGCCATGAAGTCGAGAAGCTCGTGCCAGAGCGTGCTGCTACCATCTTTCACTCCTGAAGAAGGGGCTTCCTGTTTGTTATTGAGATCTGGAATTCATAAATTTAAAATTAGCTGATAAGATTAAAAAATAAAATGTTTACATTAATCAATTAATAAATATTTTTTCAAGAAGCTAGTTTTCTGGATTTTTTGGAACTGAACAAATAACTGAGTTAAGTTAAAAAACTAAAAAACCTTTGTTCAGATAATGGTTTGTTATATAATTAGCAACAAATGACAGCGATTAGACTTTTAGTTTTTCCGGAATCGTAAAAACCCTCAAAAAACCTCATTCCAAAATAAGCGAGTTTAAACTTGAAAGACTCCTGCTTGCTAGTTATCGATAAACTGCTATATTTAACGCTCCGATAACAGTGCTGCCAGACATCCTGTCGCCAGAGTTGCCAGACAGAAGCGCAATAACCGATATTTAAGGAGCAAACTTTCAAGTTGCAATTGAAAGAGTTAAAAATCGTTAATTAATAATGTTTCGAGTGCATTGCAACCAGTGCCAGCGTCACCAGGAGGTCGATCCGATCGTGCCCTTTCACTTCACCACCTGCCAGCACGTATTTTGCGCGCCCTGCGTGACCAAATCCCCACCAGAAGCCAAGTGCCCGGTGTGCGGGCGGGTGCTCCAGTCGATAGCGATCAATCGGGACATGCCCATCGGCGTGGCCAACTACTTCGAGGATCCCGCCCGCTTCCTGCAGATCTTCCGCAAGGTCAGCAAGTTCCAGGCCGCCCAGCGGGCCTCGGACAACCTGGGCTTCTATCACCGGCTGCAGCAGTTCGAGAACGACAAGCGCCAGCTGGAGGGCTACGGCAAGATGGAGGCGCACATCAACGCGAAGATCGCAGCGGAGAAGAAGCGGATCGGCCAGCTGCGCCTGTACCTGGAGCAGCACGAGCAGGAGGCCCAGAAGAGGCAGCGACGCACCAGCATGGGCCTGGGCCATCGATCCCCAGCGGATCCCCAGCTCCTCGCCTTCAATGCCGCCGCCGCCGCCTCGAGCACCTCGGCCAGCTCCACGATGGACGAGGCCACCATGCAGAGCTTCTTCCTCAACTCGGACCTGGGCTCCTCCTCGCCAGCGAATCCGTCCCGTCAGTCGCGCAAGAGATCCCACCGCGGCGATCACAAGGATTTTCATCTATAACTACTATTTTTCCTACTCTGCTAAACTTAGGAAGATCCAATGAAAAATGTATATAATATGATATTAATATAATGATATCATACATATATAATATCTTTCTTTTTGAAACTTATAAATATCCTGTGAAATATGTATATTAATATAATGATATCATATATATATAATATCATTTATAATGTCTCTCTTTGCTAAATCATATATATATAATATCATTTATAATATTATCAAAGAATTCAATATTTAATATTTCGTATTTGCTACTCTCGTTACGAAATTTCCGACATATCCTATAAACATCCTATATTTAATATATTGGAATATGTATATCCTTTATGAAGATATTAACTTTGGATATGATATCATAGAATTTAATATTTAATTACTTTCGTTCTTTTCACTCTCGTTGGGAAATTCCCTACATATCCTATAAATATCATATATTTAATACTTTGGAATATGTAAATCCATTATCAAGATATTTACTTTGGAAACAGGGCAGTTTGAAGTCGATTTTTTCATTTGTATTAAGTAACATATGTACGTACATATAATACCTACAATACCTTTGTGAATAAACTACATTTTCAGTTGCAAATTATGTGATTTAAGGTTTAAGCACAGAAAACATTTAAAGCCTGCTTTTAATTTAAGTTGCTGTTGAGAAAGCGGTCCTAAAGAATATATTTCTATCCACTAAATGCTACGAGGGAGTAATCCTAGCTATTTTCCTTGGATAGGCTATACTGAAACTACAGAACTATACAAATTTTGCGAACTTGAGCTGCTAAACTTGTATATTTCATATATTAAGCATATATTAAGCACTCACCCTCCAGTTTGGCGTAGAGCAGGCGGCTCCATCGTCGCCGCAGCTCGATGGCGCGGCTGAGAAGCTCCATTCCACTGCCTGGCATGGGCAGATCCAGTCCCAGCCAGCCGTCGCAGACGATCTGGGTTACGCCGGCGTTCGTGTCGATGGCAAAACTAAAGAGCAGCAGCGTCTGGGCGGCCGGCAGTCGGATGCAGTTGATCAAATAGGGCTTGGCGGTCTCCAGCAGCGACTGGTAGCAGAGCAGCTGGTGGCGTTCGCTGATCGGATGCTTGGGCGTGTAAAAGTCCGGCTTGGCCAGCAGATCGCTGTCGTTCAGCTTGAGCAGCTCGTAGTGCTTGGCAAAGTGGGCATTTGGATGCTGCAGAACGAAGGGCTTGAGTTGCGTGTGAAAGAACTGCTGGCCGCCGCCCTTGCAGTAGTTGAACTCATCGCTGATGGCCAGTTGCGGGTAGAATCCGCTGCCCAGCAGCAGTTTCAGCAGCACAACGTCGCGGTGCCGATCGAGGCGCGCCGAACGCTCCAGCAAAGCCAGCTGGCGGGGATCGAAGCGCAGCCGGAAATCCACGTCGCGCATATCGTCGCCCGGCTCCCCATCCTCCTGATCCTCATCCTCCTCCTGACCGCGGTTACTCTGCTTGAGTAGCTTACGCTGACGCGGCTGCTCGAATCGCTGGCGCCGCTTCATCGCCTTCAGCTGCCGCAGCTCGCCATGCCGCGTGGCTCGCTCGGCGCTGGATCCGCTGGCCGTCGCCGTCGCCACCACCATGCCGCAGCTCTCGAGGATGCGCTGGAACTGCTGGCGCAGCTTGGTCACCTCGTAGAAGCGCTGCTCCTCAATGCCCAGCCGGCGGCACCACTGTCGCGTGCCCTCGCGCCTCATTTTCAGCAGCAGCCACTCGCGGAAGAGACGCACCAAAGTGAAGAGATCACCCTGATCCGACTCCAGTGACTCCCGCTCGCGCACACAACGCTGATCCGTGTGGGCGCGATTCGTCAGCGGATTCTGCACGCTCAGCATGGCGGCCAAAGTGAGCAGCTGCTCCACCTCGGGAAAGACACAGCCCATGAGCAGCATCTTGCCGATGGACAGCTCCACGGGCAAGTTGGCCAGCGAGCTGCCCAGCGGGGTGATCTTCTCCTCCACACTGAGGGCGCACTGGAAGGGTTTACAAATGTTGTATAAAAGTAAACTAATAGCTTAACTAACTAACGTGTTGCTTGAGCGCCAGTATAGTTTGCTCGATGCGCTCCGCCTCGGGCGCCTCGATAAAAGGAAAGACCCTGACGTCGGGCAGTCCCATGGACACCATCTGCAGCAGCATCGTGTCGAGTGGCACGCGGTAGATCTCCGGCGTGGGATAGGCCTCGAAGGCGCTAAACTGATCGGCGGTGTAGAGGCGAAAGCAGACCTGTAATTGCAAAAGGGAAGTTAAGTAAAGGATGCTGGTTTCCCTTAGCTGAGCTTACACCTGGTCCCGTGCGCCCGGCACGTCCTTTGCGCTGCTCCGCCGACGACTTGGACACCCAGAACTCCTTGAGGCGCTGGCCCTTGCAGGCGGCATCGTAGCTCATCTCCTTGACCTTCCCCGAATCGACCACAAATCGCACACCGTCCACGGTTAGCGAGGTTTCTGCGATATTCGTAGACACGATGCACTTGCGCCAGCCCTCGGGCGCATAGTCAAATACCTTGCCCTGCTCCGCGATGGCCTGGCCACTGTGCAGCGGCAGCACGAGCCAGTGCGTCTGCTCGGTGGCGTATTCCTGGACGGCCTCCACAACCGATTCGATTTCGTTGACGCCGCTCACGAAGATCAGCACGTCGCCGCGCTCGCTGGCTGGTTAGAATGGGATTAGATTGATAGATTAGAGAGGGTTTTTATAAAAGGGTATATTGTATTCGTGCAAAAGTATGTAACAGGGAGAAGGAACGCTGAGATCTCGGGAACTACAAAAGCTAGGAAGTTGGGATTACCCACACATATTCTTTGGCTTTCTACGCAGCGCAAGTTGATTTCAGCCGAGGGCCGCGCCCCCTCTAACGCCCACAACGGGTTTTAAAAGGTGCCTGGCGCCTACACCTTTCAAGATTTCAGAAAGGTTAAAAATGCTGTTTTATGGAGTCTATCAATACCTATCGAAATGTAGAAGAAATTTTTCAAATCGGACCATTCGTTAAAAAGTTATGCCCGATCAAAGTTTTCTATCTCTTGTTAGTAGAATAAATTACAGAACTCACTGGGATACTGCTGGTCAATCAGGCTGAGCACCTGGACAAAGGGCGCCGGATCGAGGCGGTTGCTGCCCTGGGAACGCTTCGCCTGGCCCGCCTTGAGTTCCAGCGCCGGTGGCGGCAGGTAGCGCAGCTTGATGGGGAATAGTCGTCCTGGAACCTGCACCAGTTGCGCCCCCTCCTCCCGAAAGTAGCCGTGAAAGAGCTCCACATTGATGGTGGCCGACATGAGGATGAGTTTCAGTTGCGGCCTCGCTCGCAGCAAGCATTTGGTCACCCCCAGCAGGAAGTCGCCAAACAGGTTCCGTTCATGGATCTCATCTAGGATTAGGGCATCGTACTGATCAAGATTGGCGGCCACTGCCAGCTGGCGGAGCAGCAGACCCTCGGTGATGAACAGGATGTTGGTGCGCTGCGTGCGGCTGCGCTCGAAGCGAATCTGGAAGGCCACCCGGCTGCCGTAGTCGTCGAGGAGCTCGTGGGCCACCCGCTTGCACAGGGAAACGCAGGCCAGGCGACGTGGCTGGGTGCAGGCTAAAAAGGCATCAGGGGATTAGGTCAGGATTAGGTAGATAACTAGCCCACTCACCTATGCTGCGGTAGCCAAAGTCGTAGAGGAACTGCGGCACCTGCGTGGACTTGCCGCAGCCCGTATCTCCCGCCACGATGACCACGCGCGATGTGTCCAAAGCCTGGCGCAAATCCCCGCGGAAACGGGCAATGGGCAGGTTGCGCTGCGCCTGGCGCAGCTTTCGGATGCTCTGGAACTTCTCCCGCTGCCGGAAGTCAAGGTAGACCAGCAGGAGGTGCCGGAACTGGGCCTCCAGCTCACCCGTTGCCTCCTGGAGCAGTTCCTCCCTGTCCAGGCGCAGGCCCAAGTGCTTCCCGCGGTGATATGGCCGAGTGCTGGCCAGCTCCGCCTCCGTGAGCAGCGGAGGCAGCACCGGCTGACCCGTGGAGCGCATCATGGCCTCGTATTTGCCCACAAACTTCCAGAAATCCGACTCATTCTCCACCAGACTCCGGCCCGCCTGGCGGCTCTTGGCCTGCAGCAGGCCCGCCAGCTCCGCCTTGCGGTCCAGGAAGCTGAAGTCGACCAGGTTGAGCGGGGCAAGCTGGGCAGCCCCCGTCTTTCCTGATTTCCGGGACATTTTTCACCCGGAGCCGCTTGAATTTATATTTATATTTACACCCACCGATAACGATAACACACGGCTACCGATAACCGAGTCAGCTGTGAGGGGTTCCAGGCTCGATAACAACAAAGTTGGACTACTAACATGGTTTATTTTGCCTAGATTTGTAACAGAAAAGGAGCCCCTACCACATGGCGCGCTGCACCCCGGACAGCTTGTTGTAGTCGGCGAGGTGGCGCCAAACGATGCGGCTCAGCCGGTACTTGTGGACCACTCCGCGCGGCCGTGACGTAAGCGCACAGCGTTCCCGCACCCGGACGAGTGATGAATCCCTGGGAAAGGCTGCAATCTGGGCGTCGGCCAGCTCGCGCAGTTCCGGCGGCAGGATGTCGTTCTTGCGCAGCGAATTGACCCGCAGCCGCTCCACGGCGTGCTCCCCGACGCACTTGCGCCGCTTGACATCGCGGATCATCTTCCAGTCGGCGTACTTGGTGCGCACCTGCTGGAGCTGTTGGGTTGGGATAATGGGATTAGCTAGGGATTCCAGTTAGAGGGCGGGTTACTCACTCCACAGCCGGCTATTTGCACCGACTGGCATACAAAGCCCCCGATCCTGGCCAGAGAATTCATGTTGGTAATTGCTGCCGGTTGCCTTGATCTTCTTCTTCTTCCTCTGCCCCCGATAGACAACTATCGTGACACGGCTATCAATACAAACGATTGTCCCAGCTGTGAATGGCTAAGTGTGTGGCTAAATATTTTTAAACCCAATTGTAGGTTTAATTTTCGACTATAGTGGGATGGCTGAGTAGGCAGTCGTGAATCTTTTATAAAAATACTGGGATTACCAAGGCTCCGCACAAGTTTTAATTAAAGACTCACCCGCTTTACATAACCGCGCGCCTTGGCGTTTCGAAACACTGACTATCGATAGTTGTGCCATTCACGGCGAGACGCGTGCGCCCTAGCGTGCATGTGTATAGGCCGTGCGTGTGTGTGTGTGTGTGAGTGTCTCACGTCGAGTTAGAAATTTGCTCGTGCCCGCAGTTTGCCGTTTGCCGTTTTCGCCTTGTGTGTGGTGTGTCTACTCGAACTGTGCCGCAACTGGATCCGCATCCAGCCCATCCCGTGCAGCCGAAGCAAGTGAGAGCGCTGATCCGCAGCTAAGCACAGGTCCCGCGAGTCGGCGAGGCGACGAAAAATCCCGGAGAAGAGTTAAGCAGCTGAGGAGCAAGCAGGGCAGGAAGAAGAAGAAGAGCCGCCGAAGAAGAAGAAGAAGAAGCAGTCGAAGAAGAGGAGCCCGCAGAGATGCCTTCCAGCGATCCCCTGCCGCCCAAGGAGGGTGCGCTCTTCCGCAAGCTACTAGTAAGCACCCCCTTAAATTATAGCCCCCCCTTAGTACAGTTCCCCCTACCCCTGCCCATCCCCCCTCCTCCCTTTGCCGGCTTCTCCATCCATGTGCTTTTTCTCGCCTGGTCAGGTGGAGTGGCTATTTTTGGCCTCGGAAGGCGAAATGGAGCAGCATCCCGCGGCTGTCGGGGATGTGGAACTCCCTTAACAGGTGCTGCTCCTCGGCCAGTGACTTTCCATCGCTCGAGGCTAGCATAACCTCAAAATTGCTGCTAGGCGGGCTGTGGAAAGTATAACTAATCCCTGCGTTTCTGCTTTTCTTGAATCCCCCCCAGAAATGCTACGAAATGAAGCAATACAAAAACGGCCTGAAGCTGGCCAAGCAGATCCTGTCCAACTACAAGTACACGGAGCACGGCGAGACGCTGGCCATGAAGGGATTGACCCTGAATGGACTGGGACGTCGCGAGGAGGCCTACCATTATGTGCGTCTGGGTCTGCGCAACGATCTGCGCTCCCACGTCTGCTGGCATGTGTATGGGCTGCTCCAGAGGAGCGACAAGAAGTACGACGAGGCCATCAAGTGCTATCGGAATGCCTTGAAGTGGGAGAAGGATAATCTGCAGATCCTCAAGGATCTATCCCTGCTGCAGATCCAAATGCGCGATCTCGAGGGCTACAAGGAGACGCGCCACCACCTGTTCACGCTGCGTCCCTCGCAGCACGCCTCGTGGATTGGGTTCGCCATGAGCTACCACCTGCTGAAGGACTACGACATGGCCAATAGCATCCTGGAGACGTTCAGCCAGTCGCAGACCTCGATTGTAAGTGGCTAACCATTCCCTAGAATCTTATAATTCATCTCTGTATCCCACAGGAGGCCCACGACTACCGCCACTCGGAGCTGCTGCTCTACCAGAACCAGATACTCATCGAATCGGAGCGTCTGCAGCAGGCCGTCGACCATTTGACCAAGTACCAGTCCCAAATTGTCGACAAACTGGCCGTGCGCGAAACGATGGGCGATCTGTACATCAAGCTGCAGCAGCAGGAGAAGGCGGTGCCCATTTTCGAGTCCCTCATCCGCCGCAATCCGGAGAATGTGCTGTACTACGAGCAGTATATGGCCGCCCGCCAGGCCACCGACCCGAGTGCCGTAGTCTCCATCTATCGCGTGTTCCAGGAGCAGTATCCGCGTGCCCTTTGCCCCCGCCGCCTGCCGCTGAACATTGCCATCGGGGCGGAATTCCGCATCGTGGCCGATGAGTACTTGCGTCGCGGCCTGCGCAAGGGTATCCCGCCGCTCTTTGTCAACGTGCGCACGCTGCACCAGATTCCCGAGAAGGCGGCCACCATCGAGGAGCTGACGCTGCAGTATTTCGAGAACCTCACCCGTTCCGGTCACTTCTCGCGCGACGATGCGGATGCCGGGGTGCCCGTCGAGCCGGCCTCGGCGCTCGTCTGGACGGCCCTGTTCCTCGCCCAGCACTACGACTACATGCGCGACACGGACCGCGCCCTGGAGTACATCAATGTGGCCATCGACCATACGCCCACGCTGATCGAGCTGCTGATCACGAAGGGTCGCATCTTCAAGCATGCCGGCGATCCCGTCGAGGCGTACGTATGGCTGGAGGAGGCGCAGAGCATGGACACGGCGGATCGGTGAGTAAATCTGCAGCCTTACCTACTTACAGGGTAAAAAACTTGTGTTAAAAAAAAGTTATTGACTTGTGTGTAAAAAATTGTATTCTACATATGTTAGAAACATAAATAACACTCACATGTGATTTGTGTTATTTACACGACATGTTATTAACACGACATGTTTTTATACACAGCGTGTTTTTAACACAATGAGTTTTTGACATTAAAAAATTCACGGTTTTCCAGATTATAAGAATTCATATATGCTTTGAAATGGTTAGAACTAACAAAAATGTAATTTTCATTTGTGTTAAAAACACAGTGTGTAAAATACACGTCGTGTTAAAAACACATTGAGTAAAAACCATAAGTGAGCTGTGTGTGCTAAATATTATTTTTCACATTTTAACACTTTTGTATTTGCACACAAGTTAAAAATGTTGCTCACACTGTAAAATACAATTTTTCATGTTTTTAACATGTATGTCAATTTCAGAACCCTGCCTAAGTTACTTACTTACCTACTCTTTCCCCGCCTCTTTCAGCTACATCAACTCGAAGTGCGCCAAGTACATGCTGCGCGGCAACATGGTGCAGGAGGCGGAGGAGATCTGCGCCAAGTTCACCCGCGAGGGCGTCTCCGCCATGGACAACCTGAACGAGATGCAGTGCATGTGGTTCCAGACGGAGTGCGCCTTGGCCTACCAGCGCATGGGTCGCTGGGGTGAATCGCTGAAGAAGTGCCACGAGGTGGAGCGACATTTCGCGGAGATTGTCGAGGATCAGTTCGATTTTCACACCTATTGCATGCGCAAAATGACGCTGCGCGCCTACGTGGGACTGCTGCGGCTGGAGGATGTGCTGCGCCAGCATCCCTTCTACTTCAAGGCGGCCAAGTGCGCCATCGAGGTGTACATTCGGCTGTACGACAAGCCGCTCAAGTCGGAGGCGACCATTGAGGAGGCCGACATTGGTATGTAGACTTTTAAAATTAAATTAAATACTTGATATTTGATACTCGATCCACGCAGAGAACCTGCCGCCATCGGAACTGAAGAAGCTGCGCAGCAAACAGCGCAAGGCCAAGAAGAAAGCCGAGCTGGAGAGTGCGCAGGCCGCACAGGCGCAGGTGAAGCGCGAACAGCACCAGAAGTCGAAGCAGCAGGCGAACCAGGAGACCGACCCAGATGCTCCGCAGCTGGACGAACTGGTGGCCGAGAAGCTGGAGCGCACCGACGATCCGCTGGAGAAGGCCATCGATTTCCTGAAGCCGCTGCAACAGCTGGCCAAGGAGCGCATCGAGACGCATCTGCTGGCCTTCGAGGTGTACTACCGCAAGAACAAGCTGCTCCTGATGCTGCAGTCCATTCGGCGTGCTCGCGCCGTCAATCCCGCGCACCCCGAATGCCACAGCTGCATTATACGCTTCGTCAAGTCGCTGCAAATCGCCGCCAAGCGCGAGCCGTTCAATGAGCATGTGCAGCAGGTGCTGGACAAGGCCACCAAAGAACTGATAGGCAGCAAGACGGCCCAGCAGCTGAACGACGAGTTCATTGCCAAGAACAACGCTTCCATACTGCATTTATACGAGGGCGCCCGCAGTCTGTACGAGTTGGACAATAGTAAAAAGGCCGCGGCCATCAAGCTGGTCACTAGCTTCAATCTGACCAAGATCAGGCTGGAGGTCAGTTGTTATTCTACTTATCTATTTGATATCTTTACTCAATCCTCTCCGTTGTTTTGCTTTACTAGGAGGCCACCAAGATCTACACAGCGTTGCGGGACGGCGATGTGTTTGGCGAGTGCGAGGCGGAGGCCGCTCTTTACCAGCAGGCGTGCCACGAACGCTTCCAGTACGCCCGCATCTTTCGCAATGTCGAGGAGCTGGAGGCCCAGCTGCAGGAGAAGGAGGCCGCCAAGCTGCGCGCCGAGGAGGAGCAGCAGCAGTTGATTCACGTTGATTCTAGCGAGCCGCCGGTGGCAGCGGCAGCGTCTTAGGGCCAAACAAGACTGCTACATAGAATACCCGCAACCGCAATCGCAACCGCAAGAAATAGAAACAACCACAACAGCAAGAGCAAGAGATCCGCGGTAACAATAAGGAGGAGCTGAAGCTGACGAGAAACCAACTAACCAACAAACAATATGAACAGGAATAAGCTTAGCTCTATAAACAACGGCAACCACAATAAAATTCACTATTAACAACAATAACAACTGAGCTGGTCTAAAAAGCAAAGCTGAGTTTATCTGATCCCTCGATCGGATGTGCCTTTTTCCCACCACAAACACAACACACCCCTTCACATCCATCCTCATGGCAGATCCACACATATAATATATAAAATACCTTCCGGCCGAAGACAAATCGATGTATGAAACGAATTGCATACCTATAAACCTATATAATTAACCAAGTTGACACTGTTGTAGGATTTTTGAGAAACTGAAATGGAATCAAAACGAACGAACTTTGTTGACAACACTCGCTGCTGGCTTTCTTTTAATAACATTTTATTTTTTATTATTTTTAACGAATGCATTGTATGTACATATAAAGTCGTAATTAATTATACGCAAATCAAAACCTTAATTCTTATCTTGCAGTCGAAAAAACAAAAAAAGAAAATGTAATTTGGATTAATTATTGGAAAAGAAATTCAAACAAATTTTGTATATGGCGCATAATCATATATATTTATGAAAATCGGTGGAATGTTCAGTTTTATTGTAACAACCTTATTTCGAAGGCGACTTGGCGGAGGTCGAGCGAGCTTCCTTGGCCGCCGGAGGAGCAGCCGAGCGATTCTGACGCCAATTCTCTGGCTCTGCCGGCTTCTTCGCCGACGAACCGCTGGGGCGCTCGCGCCAGTTGGTAATCTTCTGCTCCGGCTTCGACTGGAACTGCGAATATTGTCCCGGTTGTCCCGGCTTGGAGCGGTTTGGACCCGGCTTGACGAAGTCCTCCGAAATCTTGGTCTTCATGGTTATGGGGATCCATTCCGAGCTAGCCGCAGTCAAGTAGCGACCGTTGCCGTTGCCATTGCCGGTGGGCTTCTTTCCTTGGTCTTTAGAAAAGAAAAAAAAAGAACAGAAAATTTATAAAAAAATATGGAGCCGAGAAAATTCCGTACCTGTCATCTTCCTTTCGTTTGCTTGAATAGAATGAATGGAGCAGTCCGTGTATGCCAGTAGAAGGGATACGAATGAAAGTAGGGCCAAAAGCAGGGCCTACTGCGATTACCAAAATTAATATCATCGAATCTGTCACATTAAATATCGCACACTATTCATCACGAGCGAGAAAGGAAATCTTTACAATACTTCTAAGGGCTCCTTAACCTACTTATTCCTCAGAAAACCACACTTTCCGAGAATCTACAAAGTAAACCCACTCTAAAATTGAAAAATTGTATACATTTTTAATGTGTCCAACTTTATTTCGATCCAACATCTCTTACAGAGCCAAAAGTTCCTTTATATAATTCATGTACACGACACATATACTATGTATAACATCCAGTAAATCTACCAAGGGTCTTTTCTATATTATATAGGGTCTTTTTTGTAATTTTCAATCGAATTAAATACAAGAGGGGTGTGCGGAAAAAGTCGAGTTTATTACAAAAAAATAATAGAATAAGATGAGTCAGTCTCTCATTTCATTACTAACAAAATCAACAATTTTCGTTGGAAAATACAGTCCTTAAGATGCGGCGCTACTTCGATTGCCTCGCAAAAGACGACTAGGAAATGAAAAATAAGGTATATAAAGGGTCTGTTCTGTTCTAAACAACTTTTTGCATATCGTTAGGTGGGTTTTGAAACTTAGAATACAGAGTTGGGAAATTTCAAGGTTTTCGGGGTTGCTTTGTTTTTTTAAGATCAATTCATTGAGTGGCCTGGAGTCGTCCTTAATGCATTATATATTCCAAATCGAATTTGGCTCCAATGCGAGGAACTCGCTGTTTCCTGGGTTTGATGGCCTGGCAAAAAATATAATAAATATTATAAATAAATTATGAAATTCAGGGGGTAGATATCCTGGCTCACCTGGGATGAAGACGATGATACGGATTCATCCGTTCCGCCTGATTGATTGGCCGCACTAGATTCGGACTGTGATGTCGAGGGCTAAAGGTCGAGAATAATATTAATATTATGTATTTTATTATTAATTATTTATGCCCACCTGAATATTAAGCGTTTGCATCAGCCCAACAGCCTGCTGTTCGTTCGTTGACTTTTCCGGGAGACTAGAACTGCCGGTGGTTTCTGTGGTCTAAGAATACAACAAGATTTAAAATAATAAAGCCAATGCAGCCAATGGATAATCGCTCTCTTACATGTGGCTGTGAATCCTGACGCTTTGCCTTCCTCGGCCGATACGCCTGTATGGGCACAAAGTCTTGGATGGAGGAGTAACGCGGCTGCTGTGGCACATTGTTGATCTCCTGCAGCTGCTGGAATTGCGGCTGATATTGTGACTGCTGTTGCTGTGGATACGGCTGATAGGATGAAGGAGCTACCATCATGCGCACGTTGTTGTTGAAGGAACTCATGCTGCTGCTGCTCTGATTTCCTTTGTTAAATGGAGCAAGTAACACAGCTGCCGGTGGCTGCTGCATTCGCTGTTGCTGCTGCTGCTGCTGCTGCCTTATTTGCTGGTCAACCATCTGCGCTCCCGTGTGAGCACTTCGGTACCACTGCTGGCTCTTGATGCGATCACTCTGCTGCGCCTCCTGCTGCCAGAAGAGCGGTGGCTTGGGTAAGTTCTAGAAATAGAGGTGTTAGAATTAAGGGTAATCTATTTTTTAACCGCAAACTTACAGCAGGCATTTGCCCGGGCAGTGGAGCTGGCGGAGGAGCAGGTTCCTGATCCTTCTTCAAGCCCAGCAGAGACATCAGAGCCAAGGTTTGAGCCTGCGGCGTGGGAGTTGCTGTGGCAGTGGAAGGTGGTGCTGCTTTCACCGGAGGAGGAGCAGCTCCTCCTTGCTGTCGTGCTGGATTCTGACGCCAATTATCCGAGGCAGACTGCGATTTGTTAGCCCTATCCCGCCAGTTGGAGGGCTTCTGCTCCGGCATCTCCCTTTCCAGCTGTCCCGACTGTCCACTCGTCTTCACAAACTCATCGGAGACCTGCGTCTTCATGGTGATGGGCACCCAATTGGAGCCAGCTGCCGTCACATAGCGACTGTTGCTCGCCTTCTGTTGCGACTCCCGCTGTTGCGACTCCCGCTGTTGCGATTCCCGCTGCTGCGAGGTCCTCGTTGCCTGCTGAACACTCTCGTTTTGCTTCTGTGATTGATCTAAATGAAAAGAGCTCTTTAGGAAATGTCTAAAAATTAGTGTTGGGTTGCTCATGAGTGAATGAACAAAAAAGAGTTGCTCACTAAACTGAGTGAGTGAACCTGTTCCTTCGAACTTGTTCTTTATTGTTCACTTGTTCATTTTTGCTTACTTGCTCCTTTTTGTTCACTTGCTCGGTTTTGCTCTCTTACTTTCTCTTTTTTGTTCACTTGCTCAGTTGCTCTTTTGCTGTTTTTGGCTCAAAAAGTATTTTTTTTTTACATTTGTGAGCAAGTGAACAAGTGAACAAGTGAGCAAGTGAACTAGTGAACAAATGAACAAGTGAGCAAACTGAGTGAGTTGACCCACTGTAAAAAAAAGAACAAGTGAACATGTTCACCCAAATGAGCAGTTTTTACCCAACACTACTCTTTATTCAATATCTAAAGATGAATTCAGTGCACCCACCGTTGGTGTAAATGACCACCAGTGCATTTTCGGGCACCTTGTAGACGCGATCCTGGGCGATGCCATGGATATCGTTGCAATTCGGCACCGCCTTGTCGAACAGCACCTCGCAGAAGGTGTCCACCGCATGGACGCACTCCAGGCGCACCGGATTGGGATCAGTGACCGGGTGAATGCCAATCACGGTGCCCTTAATGCCCACCGGCACCATGTAAATGGTGCGAACGATGACGACGCGATCGAAGAGGCGCACCGGGCGACGCGAACGATAGACTTCGGGCAGCGTGACATTTGGTTTTATCAGCAGATGCGGCTTCACCTGCAGCTTGACATCCTTGACAGGCAGCGAGCGCAGCTCATCGACGGCGGCCATCAGCAGCTCCACAGTTTCGCGGCACACGGTCTTCGAGCCACACGAAATGCGCTCCACCTTCATGTGCGGCTGCTGGCGCACCCAATTGGCCAGATCCTCGACGCGATGCTCGCCCACGGCATCCGGAAAGACATCCTGCTCGAACACATACTCGCCGCGATCGTTGCTCACGCCGAAAAAGGCCACCACATCGGGGTAGCGTTCGCAATAATCTCTCATGAGATCGAGGGCCAAACTGGAGTAGAACCACTGGTTGCCCGAGCGGCAGCAGTAGCCGGCACGCTCCTCGTTCTGTCGCGGATACTTCAGCTGCAGGCCGATGTTGTGCTTGGCCACGTTCTCCATTTTCTCGCGTCGCGGACCGAGGACCACCCAAACGGTGCCGGTGAGGCGACCCAAGGCTCGTCCATTGATATTCAGCAGATGGCAGACCTCGTAGGTGTTCAACAGATCCCGATCGCGTTCCTCTTGGAGTGCCCTGGCCTCCTGGACATCCGGTTCGGGCCTCACACGTATGTTAACCTGAATGCGACCGCAACTGTAGGCGAGCAGCGGATCCTGCACCGTTCCCTCGCTGCCGTAGTAAGGATTGCCGATGAAGAAGATCGAGCTGCCGGCGGGAAAGAAATCCTCCACCTTGCGGAACTGCTTGCGCAGGCTTTCCTTCACGGCCAACTCGGCCACGACGCCCTGGGCGGGATAACCGGTGACGGTGCTGCTCCAGGCATCCTTCACCTTGATAACGCCCTTCGCACCAAACTCCGTCGAGCTGCCGGCAAAGGTGCGCACGTAGACGAGCACATCGTAGTTGGCAAACTGAATGCCCATGCGGGTGGTGAAACTGGAAAGGAGAGAGAGGAGGAGTTAGGAGTTAGATAGATTTACTATAAAAAATATATTTAATATTTTCAACATATTTTCTTTACCACAATTAATGTGATTTATCGGTATACCTAAAATTGTTGTATATTTTAGAGCCATGCGTGAATCATTCAATTTTGGTTTTGTCATAGTATGCCATAAAATTTCTGATTTGTTTAATTCAATTCTATGTGAAATAAATTGAGTGTTTCTTTAATTTATTTCGAATTGAGTGAATGAATGAATCATTTTTATGAATTTTTTCAATTTGCTAGATTTTTTTGTGCTTTCTTTTAAACAAACCAATGTTAACTGCTTAGAAAATAAAATTCAGGCAGATTTAATCACAAAATTATGGCTCTTTCTTCTTCAAATGAAATTGTCATTCAATTCTATTAAACTCAAAAATTCTAGTTAATTAATTAATTAATTTAAAACAAAAAATTAATTGAATCCATTCATGCAGGGCTCTAAACTTCACACTCAACTGTTCCTGCAGCGTCTTGCATTCCGAGTCGAAGCGCCGCGATTCGTTTGGGACGATTCCCTCCTCGTCGATGCGACGATCCCGCGTGGCCACGCGCACCACCTTGGCCTTGATGAGATGCGGCCAGCCGATGTGCACCACCTGCTCCAGATACTGACCGGCCACCGCCTCCAGGGTGTCCTCCAGTTGCCGCCGGCGCGGCTTCAGCACCATGTTCTGGTTGCGGCTCACCTGCTCGAACACCTTGACGCGATCGTGGCGCAACTCAAACTGAAAATAGGGGTATAAAGTTAAAGAAAGAGTGGAGAAGAAGCTACGCTAGCTACTCACATCGAAGGGCAGATGCTGCATGGTGGGAAAGCCCGGGAAGAAGACATGCCGCGCCGCATTCGGCAGCTCCACGCAGACGCTGTGCGGCAGATTCAAGGCGATTTCGCGCGACCACTTGGCCACCTCGGTGCAGAAGAGATTGGCCAGTGCCCGCAGCGGCGGCTGCTGTTCCATGGGTCCCTGCGACTCGGTGCTGTGATTGTACAGGTACATGGGACCATGACGATTGCGCTCCCGCTCCTCCTCGGTGAGTAGCGATTCGCAATTACGCATCGCAGCCAGCAGGCGCCGTTCGTCGATGAAGGGAATCAGTACCACCGCCTCCCAGTCGTGCTTCTTGCCATTAAGATCGCTGTCGAACTCCAGCGGATAGAACTCGGCCAGCGGACTGCTGGGCTGCAGCATGAGGTCGTGGTAGGCGACGGGCAGCAGCTTGCAACTGGCCGCCGGGAGCACCGCCAAGAGCTGGGGAAAGGAGGAGGAATTTAGAGGTCATTACTTGATTTAGAGCAGGAAAGGTATATGATCGTACAATATAAAATGGGGCTAATTTGTAGGCCTAAAGCGCTTTTTACCAGCTAGCTTATAGTTTTAGCTTTAATTTAGCATAAGTTCAACGGGCGTTATGACACAGCCAAAGATGTCATAAGGCCCATGGGCTTCTATTATAAACTATACTACAAAATAGCTTAGCAAAAGCATATGATCGTATAAATAATAATATAAAATGAGGCTAATCTGTAGACCTTAACTAGTTAGCTTATAGTTATACCCATTACTCGTAAACTTAAAGGGTAAAGGGTCTGTCTGTATAAACGATGAGATCACAGAAACTACAAATGCCAAAATTGTGGGATTAACAACACATATTCTTGGGCTTTCTATGCAGCGTAAGTTAGTTTCAGCCAATTGCCACGCCCACTCTAAGGACTTTCAAATGTGTTTGGCGCTCACATCGTTGAAGATTCAAAGGTGTCATAAGGCCCGTGGGCCTCTATTACAAACTATATTACAAAATAGCTTAAAAAATATAGCTTAAATACCTGCTGGAATGGAAGGAATGGCGTGCCCAGCTGAAAGTCGATCTGGACCTGCTCGATGTTCTTGAGATCGCTGATGAAGGGGGCATAGTGGAAGGGGTAGTACCAGTCCCAGGACTGAACGCCGCGGTAGTAGTAGTCGAGCACCCATTGCAGCGCATTCACGTAGTGGTGACCCAGCTCATCGAGCAGCTGGCCCTGCGCCTCCCGCTTGAACTTGTTGCGGTAGTAGTTGCGCTTGTAGTTCTTGAACTCGCCCATCAGAGCGGCCTCCTCGTCGCTCCAGTCCTCCTCGCTGTCGTCCTCGTAGAGCTGTGATTACAAAGGGTTATTTAATAGGAAAAACCAAGTGATTTGAGGGGCTCACCTTCATGCTCTCGCTGATCAAGGCCCCCAGATCGGTATCGTAGCTCTCGTTGCCCCTAATATCCGCCACATCCACGTCAAACGCCTCCGTTTTGGCATTCATATACTTCAGGTCGTCGGCATGCTCCTTAAACTGCTCCAGCTCCACCTCGGTCAAGGCGGACATGAAGATCTGCAGGCGGCGCAGGTTGAGCTTGCCGTTCTCGTTGATATTCCCGCCCAGCGAGGGATAAATCCGTATGTAGGTGCGATACAGCAGGGGCAGAGCATTCGAGGAGATGTGCAGGCAGGGCAGATGGGGTATAAAATCGTTGCCCACCATGAAGCCCATCAGCACCCAGTCGTCGATCAGCTGCGCCACGTCCAATTTCTGCTGCGGGGTGCTGAGAGCATCAAATTCCAGCTCCAGATACTCGCGCAGCAGGCCCAAATGGAGGAGAAAGAAGCGCGTTTCCTCCACCGAGGCTCGCTTAATGTTCTTCCCGAACTTCACCTCCTCGCGCAGCACCACAAAGTGCAGTTCGTGGGTGCAGAGGCCCAGAATGATCAGATCGGCGTCCAGGCCGTACAGGCAGTGTCGCGTATTGGGATCAAAGTCCGGCTGGGCCTTCATATACCTGATATAGTCCATGATCTTGTGCTCACCCTCGCCGGGCGTCTCCTGGCCACTGAGGATCACCGTGCAGCGCTGCCACAGCGGATCGGTGGAGATTTTGGTCTTGAGGAAGGCACGCAGCCCGTCCTGCAGCCGCACCATGAACTCGGTGCCGGGCGTAATGCAGTTGCTATCGAAGCGCTCGTGCTCCCGCCTCTCTCCCCGCTGCGCCGCCTTGGCCTCCAGTTGCTCCGCCTCGCGGGCCGAACGGAAGCGCCGGCTGCGCTGCTGGTTCATCTTGGCACGCGGAGCAACCCCATCGACTGCGAGGAAGAAGAGCCTTTGCGGCTTGATCAGATAGAACAGCTTGTCCACGTAGTTGAAGATGTCCTGGAAGATCTGCTGCTCCTCCAGGTGGAAGTGGATGTTGTTATCGTCCGGATGCGAGCAGTTGTGCACGATGCCGTTCATGTCCAGGTACAGGTTGTCGAACTCGGGGATCTACCGGGGGATATTAGTATATAGATATATAGATAGTTTCCTTGATCTAAAATAAATCCCAACTTACGCTGTGCTCCCGCGCCAACTCGCTGAGGCATGGATATCGCTCGCTGATGTAGCGAAAGAACTTGGGCACTCCCATTGTGTCTGCCTGCAACTCCTCCTTGCTGATTACCTGCTGATTTCCCCTCTGTTTTCCTGCCGAATTTCCGTGTGTGCTGTTTGTTTTGTGGCCTTTTTATCAACTAGTCGTATTGATTGGGTAGTATTTGCCAGTAGGCGTGGAGTTGCCACTACGTTTTAACCCCGTGGCAAGGCCAAAGCTAAGTTTGAAAACAGGGATATAATAGAAGCGGTGTTTTCAGCTCCAATCTGCATAGTTGGGGTCTCAAGGTAAACCAGCAAACGCACCAAACTGGCAGCAGTGCAATTCTTGGAAAGCAATAACAGAAAAACGTGTAAACTGCAAGTTTTTTTTAATGAAAATGCTTTTCTTGTTTTTTTTGGGTTGCCACCCCAATTTCTGCGATTTAGGGATGGACTTTCTTTTTGAACGAGAGTTGCCACCCTAATTTGCGGCTTAATCGCACTCAAACTAGCGATGGCACTATCGGACACTATCGATTGCCGCTAGCCGAGACACAAACCAAATAACAGCCCTGGCACAAAACAGCTGTTTTTAGATAAACGCAGTGAAACTAGCGATGGCCCTATCGGACACTATCGATTAACTAGCCGAGACGCAAACCAAAACAAGTCACCCCTGCCACCGAACAGCTGTTTTTTGCCCCACTGCCCAAAAGCGCTTGTGTTCCAAATTTTACGTAATTCGTATATTTTGTATTTTAAAGCCGAATATTGCAAGCAGTCGCCGCAGCCGCCTAGCGAAAATGTCGGCCCTCCGCCAAGTGATGTGCAGAGGCAGCGCCTCGCTGCAGCTGTAAGTGTAACCACCGCCACGGAGCAAGTGCATCCAATGTAATCGTTTGGCGTTTCAGTTATCAGGCCAACAAACTGGTGGCCGCCCGCTGGGCTTCGGCCTCCTCAACCTCGCCAGACGGCGGCCCGCTGGACCCTAAGTTGGCCTTGGCCCGCCCCGAGGAGCTGGAGCAGCGCAACAAGCTGAGCGGCAAGATCTCCGTGCCCACGGCCGTCAATCTGGGCCCCATAACCGGTGTGCCCGAGGAGCACCTGAAGGAGAGACGCGTCCGCATCCACATACCGCCCAAGAACGCCATGCAGAGCGGCACGGACAACATCAATACCTGGCAGATCGAGTTCGACAACCGCGAACGCTGGGAGAATCCCCTCATGGGCTGGGCATCCACGTGAGTAGCTGCTGCTAATCATCGCCAGAAATGTTAGTTATCCCCCTGCTTTCTAGTGGCGATCCGCTGTCCAACATGAACGTGCAGTTCGGCTCCCAGGAGGAGGCCATCAATTACTGCGAACGCAATGGCTGGCGCTGGTATGTCGATGGCGGCGAGAAGCCCAAGAAGGAGCGCGTCAAGAACTACGGCATCAACTTTTCCTGGAACAAGCGCACGCGCGTCTCCACCAAGTAGAAAATTACCACTTTTTTTTTTGCTGTTCTCCTTGCTTTGTTCACTTATCTAAATACTGAATAACCGAATTAAATAGTCGAGTGCAGCAGGCTGGGAAGCAGGCTAATGACCTCCAGTTGCGGTTTGACTAGGAATTAATGATCGGATTTGTATGGATGGTGGTTCCTGTGGCGCTCTTCCCGCCGCCTGTGACCATGGCGATGCTTCTCCGGGCTGCGGCTCCTCTTCCGGCTGCTTGCTGAGTGCCTGTGGCGATCCCTGTGCTCCTTCTCATGCTTTCTGTGCTCCCTGTGCTCCTCCTCCTGCTTCTTGTGTGTCTTCTCCTGCTTCTTGTGCTCCCTGTGCTCCTTCTCCTGCTTTCTGTGCTCCTCCTCCTGCTCCCTGTGCTCCCTATGATCCTTCTCCTGTTTCTTGTGCTCCCTCTCCTGCTGCCACTGCCTCTGCAGCGCCTCCATCTGCAGTTTGACCAACTGGTGCAGCTCCTCGTTGAGCGTGGGCTTGCTTATCCGATGGCGACGCCGCTTCTTCTGCTCCCGCTTCGTCTCGCCCACCAGCTGGGCAAAGGCGGCGTTGTCCTGGAACTCCGGGTGCTTCGCCGTGTGCTGCTGCACGTGCTCGTAGATGAGGAGTCGCTGTTGCTGACTCAGTGCCACCTGCAGGTCTTTGAATGACTGAATGCACCCTGCATCCTTTCCAATAACCTGCTTTAAGGTAGCCTCATCCAATTGGAGTGTAAATGCTGGATTTGTGCAGCAGGAGGCCGGCAATGGCAGTTCCTCCAAGATTTCTGGCTTCTCCTCTGGCATGTGGTTACTGGTGGCCCCCTCACTCCAACCTAAACGCTCGAGGAGATCTCCTAGGCGCCTCCTGCTGGCGGTCACAAAGCCACGCAGCTGCTCCCGATCTTCTCCAGACATTCTAGCACAAGCAACGCCAAAACAATGGAAAACAGTGTTGTGAAGTCCGGGCCAGTGCTGCACAACGCAGCTTGTATTTACAGTTCTTAAGAGAGTTTGGAATAGGATATGGGATATTTCTTTAATCTACGATCTTCAGCTCCAGAAGAGAACGGTGAAGGCCATGATCAGGCAGGCGGCTCCCACCCAGGGCGACTTGCGTTCCCCGATCCTCGCCAGCTTCCAGAAGGTGCCCAGGAAACTGTAGGAGAGGGAGGAGAATTAGTGAGCTGGTGAAGATTATAGATAGATGGAAAGATACCCCGTCTTGTTGCGGTCTATGATGCTGGGGAAGAGGGAGCGCAGGTAGGCACAGGTGCAGATCAGCAGCAGGATGACCGACAGCAGGCTCTGGAAGTTGAACAGGGCGCTCTGTGGGGGGAATAATAGCGGTTTAGGTCTTAAATCTTATGGTATATAAATATCTTAATTCAAACCATGATTTTCGTATTCGATTCGTCGGCAGTGCAACAATAACAAAACGGTAAACTAGTGACGTGCCCAGCTGCTATGCCAAAATCGGGGCCTAGACAACAACTGGTTCGATAACTGGTTCCTTGCTTATTGGAAATTTGGAAGCTATAAGAGATGAATACAAAATAAAGGCAAGAAACTCTTTAAAAATATTATTCGTTTTTATATTTCGGTTTTATATTCTATAGTTTCCATTTCCAGTGGAAACGGTCTATTAGGGCTTGTAAACAATCGATATCACGGCAACCATGTTGCCACATCGATAGCAAAACATCGATATTTCTAAAAAACTGTAATGCATCGATGTTTTCGTCGATGTTTCTCCACCTCTAACGGGAACTTCTAATTCGCTGCGGGTATTTTTTTTGTGTTTGTTGTTACATATAATCCGATCAATTTCGATCGTTCGTTTCGCAAATCAGTGTCCGCTGCTCCCGACCGTCGACATTTTGGCCAATTTCGGGCGGGCGTCATCGAAACGTTCAGTTTGCCTCGCTCTCGCTCCGTTTCGGTTTTTCCGTGCCTCTTTTTTTTGGTCCGTTTTCGTTTCGTTTTCGTTTTCCACTTGGAATCGCGAGGGGATGACGGCAGGGGAGGTGGAGGTGCATCCCCAATCCAATGCAATTGTAGCTGAGCGCGCTCATAAAAATCAAAAGTATATTTAGATATACATGTATATATAATAATCGGATACGTTTTCTCATCGCCCTCGCGCGCGTGTGTGTGTGTGTGTATTTAAATCAGTAATATTGTGTGCGTGTGCCGAGCGCGCAGCGTTTTGTTGTTGAGTGCGAGCGAGACGGCGGCCGGGGAAACAGAGAGAGAAACAGGAACTGCAACAAAAACATTCAGCTGCAACAACAACAAGAACCACATTCAGCAGCAGCTGCAGCAGCGATGACTTCCAGTCGCTGCACTGGCATAGCGGTAAGTTCTTGACTGGAAGCCAAAGCTAAGTAAGCTAAGCCAAGAGTTCCGTTCCGCGCTTCCCTGCATGTGTATTTATGTAAGTACATTACACACTCGCGCGCGTGTGTGTGTGTGTCTGTATCGTTGACGTCGGCTTACAGCGCTGTTAGCTGCTAACAGCACAGCTGCGGCCATTCGCCTAGGTTCAGAGCGCAGTTAACCGGGAGTGGAGTAGTGTCAGTGAAAGAACGTGTGTGTTGAAAGTGTGAAATACATCCCCCAGGAAAGCCGAATTGCAGTGCAGAATCGCCTTGAAGCGAAGGTGAGTTGCGTTTTATACCTTCTTTCAGTGCTTTCCCATGACACATTCACATTCACACATTCTCACCCACCAACGTACGCCCGCAGACAGCAAAACACCACGCACATGCGCACTGCGCAGAGCGGGACACCAATAAAAATAAATGTGGCGCTCTTTATTTTTGTTTTTAGTCTTGCTCTGCTTCCATTCCACTTCGCCTTCTGTATTCGTATTCATCGGGTGCATTAATTGTTATCGGTTTCTCTTCCACCAAAGTCGGTTATCGCTGCGTGTGCTTGGACTTTCAAAACGGTAAACTATTTGGATTTAGTGTTTCTGTTTCAAGCTGTTTATTTGCCGTAGCTGCAGCTGTTGATGAATGAAAGGGGGGAGCATTTACGCAATTGTTTTGTGATTTTTCCCGTGTACGCTGAAAGATTCTCTTTGTGGTTTCGCCGTCTCCCTCGCTCTCTCTCGCTGGCCGGTGTCACACTCGCACATGCACGCACACTACGACAGGCCGCCATTGCTCTGCTGCGCAGCTTTTACAGAGTTGCATTCTGCCGCGCAGTGTTGTTGTTGTTGTTGCTGCTGCCGTGGAGCTTTTTCGCCCCTTGTTTTGTGCCCCTCATTCGTTCGTGCAGATGTTTTGCTATTCCGTTATCGCCTGTCATGCGATATTTAGAACTATCGGTATCGGTTTTAGGGTTCCCATTATCGTCAGCAGAATCATGTTAATTCTAGATTGCGGTTGGATAAAAAATAGGATTTTTAAAAAACATTAAAACTATGCCTTTGGTGTAGAAAATCTGTTGATTCCAGATTCATCCGCAAATTAAAACACAGATTTCTTATTTTCAACTGTCTTTTTGGATGTCTAAAATTAGTTGGCAAACCTACAAAAAAAATTGAACATATAAATTATGAATTAATCAATATCCACGTTTAAACCTTGTTTGTTTTCAGGGCTTTAAAATATACATTCCTAGAGAGATATTTAATTCCGCACTTGATTTGCAAATTTTTTAATTGATATACAAAGTAAAGCTATACACGCTCCCATCCCTATTAGAAGTATATGACCGACGGAAATGCAATGCAAGTTTATCGTGTAATGACACGCACATTGAGATTAAAACAATGTTACAAATCGTGCTATTTGGCAAGCGATCAAAGCCGCTATCAGTTGCAAATAAGTTGAAACTTGGGCATTTTTAAGATTACAGGAACGCCTGATATTACAAATTTTTTTTATTTTTTATTTTTTTTATCTTATTTTTAATAATGTTTTTAAAGATTTTAATCGTCCGTTTGTATGTATGTTAATTTGTAGTTAAGAAATGATTTTAAAAGTGTAACTATTAACATGATCATGGGTGTATGTATGTTTTTTGTTTGTAAAAAAATTGGCCATAAGAAACCACCGTAGGGAAATCCCTATTGTTTTCATGACAGTAAGAGTTATAGGAAATACCCTGGCTCGATATCATTAAAAAGTACATAGAGGAAATCAACGCAACTAAAATGAGTGATGGGGATAGGGGTTTTATAAGAATGTTATCATTCTTTTTTTTTTATAAAATAACTTTTACGTCTTTTAGACTTTGTAACACATTAAGAATCCTTCAGTTATTACACTTTTTTTAATTTGTGGATAAGCTATGGGAAACGGAGGTACTATCAAAAATTGTCAACAAATCAGGGATCAGGTTGGGATATTCCAGGGGCTCTGTTGGCTTGGCCGCTGCTGTTGCGCCATTTACCGCCTTTCGTAATCCCTGCATAGACAAACGGTTCGGATTCGGAATCGGATTTGGATTCGGATTCGGGTTCCGAGTGTGATTACTGCCGTACACCCGCTTTTTGCTTTTCTCTCGGCGATCGAATCGGATCGGATTCGGATTCGGATCGCATGGGATCGTATGGGATCGTATCGTTCGCGTGCCATTTCGTTTCGTTTTCGCAAGTCTGGGGACTGGGGGCTCCAAGCACTTGACTCGCTCCGCTTTTGCGCTTTTTGCTCATTTCGATTTTGTCAAGCGACGTGTGCGGAACTGAACTGAACGGCGGTTGGCGCTTCTCGTTTCTTGTGGTGTTGTTTGTGCCGTGTGCCCCGAGTTCCCAAGTTCCGAGTCAATATCAAAAATCAAAATAAAAATTCGTGTTTTTTTTTTGTATTATTTTTGTTTGCTTTTTTCTGTTATTTGCGATTTGCTGCGTACCAAGAAAATTAGCGTTCTACCAAAAAGAAGCGATCTGTGTTATTTTTTTTTTGCTGCTCTGTTTGTTTGTGGTTTTTGAACAATAACAAATCGCGTGATCGAAATCGAGTTTTCCCAGGAGGGATCAGAAAGAACAAGCAGAACACTGCTTGCTGCATTCCGGGGCGATGGCTCAGTCGACGGCGCTCTATGCCGGCTATAAGTCCCTGAGCCAGAACCAAAACCATAACCATAACCAGATCCAGATCCAAACCCAGAACCCTAACCCCAAGAACCCGGCAACGGATGCGGATTTGACCATGGACTTGAGCCCCCCTCCGTGTATGTATAGTGCAGATCCGTAGTGGTTCTGTTCTCTGACCCTCCCCCATTTCACCCACGTTGCAAATCTTGTGCTCTCGTTTCCATTTCTGCTGACTGGGTTGTCTGGGCTCCTCCGCCGTGTAAACGCAAGATTAGCAGTTTATTAGCACAGTTACGGTGCACTGAGAGACCGGGAACCTAGTCTTATAATCTGATAATCATAATCTCTGCCCACTCTCTTCGCGGGGGATTACACAGCATTGCCATTTACGTCGTTTGTTTATGCGTCGCTTTGCTCTCTCGTCATCATCATCGTAATCGTCATCATTTCGAATCGGCATCCCATCCATCCCCATACCATCGAGATCTCAACTAAAGCGCTTTGTTTTCATTTTCAAATATTCTGCCTGCTATTTTAGTATTTTGTGAATTTCCTTTCCGCCTTTCGGCGCATTGTTGTTACGACTGCTAGTAGTTTAGTTTTCTAGCTTTTTGCGCTATATGTGATGTGCAATACGTCGCCTTCATTTTCTATGATTTGTTTTTCATTTTTCGTTTTTGGGAAACGGGGAACCGGAAAAATACGAGAGATTTGTTCATTTTTTTCGTTCGCTATCCGTCGTATCACCTGACCATTTTGCACCACCCCCCGTAACCAACCAGCCCACTTTGCCACCTCCTTTTGGCGGCCTTGAGGTTCCGTTATTTATAATTCCGTTTGTTTGGGCCCATGGGATGGCACTTGGTACAACTAAAGCTACCGTCTACGGTTTCAGTTTAAAATTCGAATTTCGGGTAACATTTCCGTAGGGTCTCGAGTACTGGCGATTTCCAGATTTCCAGCTATAGGGCATTAACTATCAGGGCTCCACCCCTCGAAAGCTTGGGCGCTTAAAGCTTAATCCCTTTTGAGCCCAGCAGCGCAGCGCACATGGCATTGAAATCGAAAGTTGGGGGCACCAGGGTGTCTCGATTCTTAAAAATCGCACTATTTTTTACTCTAAACAAATATGTACAAATTTACAGGTTTAAATAGGACTATTTGGCCTAGGAAAATCCATAAAAATAGAGTAGAATTTTAAGCTTATTAGCTTATTATTTTCTTTTTAAATTTGTTTTTTCTACTGGGGTACTATATTTTCTCTACAATTTGAATCTTAAGCCTTATATTACAATCAATTAAGTGCCCAGAGATTTAACCTGCAATCGGTTAACCACCCTACTAGAATGGAAACAAAAGCAAGGTGGTCACGAGTCTCAATGGAGCGATTCGCGAAACGCAATTAGAAGCTCGGTCAGGTGGTCTGATCGGTATTTGGGGGGTTGCGCCTACTTTAACCCCTTTGCGATCAAGTCAAACATCTTTGGGCAACAAATGTTGAATTCCGATGAAAAGATTGGAATTTATCCACAGTAACTCACGTTTTATCACCTATTAATGCCAAAATTATGGAATTTAAGTGATAATCTTACAATGTCTGTTCTTAATAAACAAACAGAATTAATGCCTATAAACATTTAGAAAATATTTACCTAATCAGCACATTCTGCAATCAAAGGGGAGATGGCTTGAAATCTTTGAGGAGTACAAAACAAGTCGGATACTTTGAGAGTGAGAGGCGGCGAGAAAAAAGAGCTGTAATGCGAAATGCTTTGATGTCACAAACGAAACCATACCATGTGCCATAAAAGGGGCTGGAGTGACTCGACTCAACGTGACTCACGGCTCGCAGCTAGAAATTGAGTAGCAACAGTGATTTCTTTTTGCCAGTGAGGTGGAAAGTTTTGCAGTTGCCGTTTAGCGTACCAAATTTAGCATCCACCCACGCAGTAGCAATACCAGCAGCATCATCGTCATCGAAATCACTCGCACCTCACATGAACACACGGGCCATGCATCGTAAATTCTCACCTGGAGTTACGGATAAGTCAACAGACCGTTTGGATACTACGCGCCAGTGATCTATAGCTTCGGTGCAGCCAGAGATAAGGGGCTACAAGACCATAATCACTTCTATATTTGCCGATGGACTCTGCTCTTCTATTTAATTTTGTCGCCTTTCTGTTACTTTTTGCACTGTGCCATTCCCATTCCAATTATTTCTGTCTTATCAGGCCCTGTCCGGCCGGACTTTCATGTCACAACGATAATTACACTCGTTGCTGTTGTAGCCGTAGCCCATTGCTGACAATGTGTTGTTATTGGTATTATTTTCGAATTTCGGTAATTCTGATAGTGCGACAGCTGGGGAGATTATCAGCCAGTCGGTGGGAGATTGTACCACATGCGTCCGCATGGTCGCATTTGCCAATTATTGCACTGCTTCGATTACGTTCCTCCGATCCAACCGATGAGTCAGTGGGTAGTCGGCCTATGACGAAGTTGATCGAATTGGAATGCGTCCAATGTGTGAACTTAATCGTATATCTTCTAAACTTTTAATAAAGTGTTTGATCTATACTTTTAATCAAAATATGCTTAAAGAATATACGTATGTATGTTCTGTACAAGATATAAACAACATTGCTTGATATCAATTTGATATTCGCAGTTCAAATAGATAATAACAAGTTGTTTATCTTTTTGACTACAATCTAACTGCGATATCTCCACATTAGTTATGATTACATTCATAAATTCCTTTTGGATACTATAAAAGATACAATGATAAGTTCAACAAAAATATCATTGTAACATTTTAATTTATTTTGCATTTACATAGTTATGTTTGTTTGTGTTCAAAAATAGTAGCGTTATCTATGGTTGCAGATTGAGTAGATTGCAAACAATTTCTGTTTAGATTAGATGTGTTTAAAAAAACGTACTTACGTATATGAATGAGATTAATCTCTGTTAACTGAGCTTAACATCGCGTACTTTATTCTCTTATCAGTAAATAAAAGGAAGATGCTTTTTCAACTGTTTAGAATTCATTAATGAAATCATGATTTAACAGGTAAAGGGGTGGATTTTTGAACCTTTTATTAAACTAAATCAACTAAAAAATGTTTAGAAATAAAATTGTTTTTACTATATTGTTGGAATAGTAATTTTGTCAAGCCCCTAATATAATCAGAGAAACCCATTTATGGTTTTTTGTTTCAGTGAAAAGAAGACTTAGAATAAATCAAACTTAAATAAACAACACTTTAAAATTGAAACCCAACGTTGGTTCCGGCAAATTGATCCGGATTTTAAAACGGGAACAGGTTCTGAGACTCGGATTCCCATCGTTGATAAGAGAGTGCAGTGCAGATCACCGGACACCAATCGAGCTGCACCTAGCGATGCGATGCACGTCCCAAATGCGTGATCATCTATTTGTTTTTGCTGCTCTTGACCTTGGTAGCAGGCCATATGGACCAGTTTAGGAAGCAGCTCTCTTGGGATGTGATGTGATGTGTTCGGTGTAGATCGGATCGATTGCCTCCGTAGGCCAATGACGCACATGTTAGCGACCGAGCGATCTACCTACCCAATCGCAGGGCCTGGAGTCCATAGAGTATAGAATGCATAGCTCAATTGCACCGGGAAACAGCCTTATGGACGAACACGTGAGGTCCGAGTTAAGTGGTCAGGCTTATGAGGTGAACTTTGAGTTCCAATTCCGCCAGGAACCGCAAATAATTTAACGTTTGTATAATATTTTTGTTGTAACTGTTGTAACATCAGGCCATAAATTCGCAACTGTCACTGTTATTGCTCGGATACAGTCAAAGTTCCATAACGTAAACCACAAAAGATAGAGTTGAGGTGATACAGAGTCTTGTATATATAACGGTTTTATGAGGACAGGATTTTTTCTAAAATATAACATCAAAGTTTTATAATTTTTGGCTTAGCTTTTTACATTCTACTGATATTTTCTTGGGATATTCTAAGGACATTTGCAATATAAAGGCTAAGGATAGGATTTTTCTTAAATATTGAAGGAGTATTTTTTAAAAATATTATATGAGTTTATTTTATGGGTTTTTCAATTTTACTGATATTTTACTTGTATTGTAAATATTGTAAGAATCCATGATACAAAGCTCTGCTTAGATGGTTCTCCACCTTGCGAGGCTTGACTGTAGCTGCGCAGTTGGGCAAATGATCGAGTGACTTCTTTTTTCTGAATTGAAACCCAGTCGTTGTCGTCGTTACAGTTACATTCCATTTCGTGTTTCTAGCATTTAGCTATTACCTATTAGCGCCGCCGTCGACGACGCTTGGCTGCTCTGCCTACCGACGCTCGGGGTTCTCAGTTTTCAGTTTTCAGTCTTCAGTTCTCAGCTCCCAGTTCCCAGTTCCAGTTCTCAGAATTCGAATCGGCAATAGTTTTTCAGTGCTCGAGCGTTCAGCGCAGTGTCTGCTTCACCTTTTCGATTCGCTCTATTCCTCGGCTCCTCGACGGATTCAGGTTTCCTCCATCTGTCGATCCAGGTAATAAGTCCACCCTACAACCATTCACTACTTATTGCCGCTCATAAACGCTAATCAATTCGTCCAGTTCCTTCAAGCAACCATACTAAACAAGTATCCATTGCCAGTGGAGGTTTTAGTTTCAGTTCAGCTCGTTTATTTGTTTGTGTCCCATCGGTCTTGGCCAATTCGGCGCTATCAAACATTGAATCAATAACACCTTTCGATGGTCATTGGCCAAATAAAATCGGTAAGGTGTGAGATCCAACTTCGATATTATTTTAAAAACACTTAAATCACTGGATGCATTTGTTTAATTTCCTTTTTACTAGTACCATAGTCTTAAAGTTGGTTAAAATTTGGTAGGAACAGATTAATGATCATATGATTCAAGTTTTAGAAAAAAAATCTTTTATAAAAATACTTCATTAGTTTGGATTTTTGGTAAACTGCTTTTTATAAATATTATAATATTACTTGAAGTCGAATTTTTTATGATAAATAAAATATTTTTTTTTTTTCTACTGGTTGACAAATTGTCTATTTCACGAACTGTTGCTAGTATTTCGCTCATAGCTGTACGATCATGTTGTGCGTCCGTGTTTGAGGAGCGGTAGCTGTGCAATTTTTGGGAGATAGAGATATGGGAGCAGATCACCCTCGGTGCTGTCCAAAGACCGGCTGTTTGTGGGGTTTTGTGGTTTTCGGCGATAAAGGCGGTCACGACGGTGCCTGTAATACTTCTGCCCTGCCTTTATCATTTTTATTAGTGGAGCGGTGGTAAATTTCCATAGGAGAGATGGATCCGGATCCCTTGGTATGAAGGTGGCCGAATGTTTGGCGTAGTATAGTAAAGTGTTGATAGCCGGGGGCAATAATCAGCAGCAGCAGCAACGAATGGATCCATATAGAAATACTCGATACGACGACAAGTAGACCCATAAATATTCCACTTGCTAATGACCGCATTTGAATTCCAAGTGTTGTGGTTCGTGTGTGTGTTTGTTTTCTGTGTTTTCCCCTGTTGGCTGGCTGTTTTAATTGTAGATCATCATCAGATTGCAGATACTACATAAGTAACCGGGGAATTTGGCCGTAATTCCAGGTAGTCCCGCTATAATCAGCTGAGCTGGCAACCCTGCTGCCATCATCGAACTGTGCCGACAAACTATCGATAACGAACGGTGTGAGGAGTAGTCGGTTCGATTGGATTCGATACCGAGAGATTCGTATTCGTCAGCTGTTTTCACTAGTTTCGTTTTGTTTTTAGTGTGTGCTTCGTCTTCTTCGTTTATTAATTGTGCTAATTCCAAACCCGAATCCGCTCTCTCTTTCTCTCGCTCTCTCTCTCTGCGTCGCCCACGCAGCACGCACGTTTTGTGTTTCTGATTCTGTTGCTCTTTCGTGTTTATTCTCATTCTCGGTTTCACTTTCATTCGTCTTCGATCGTCAAGTGCAAATAAGTCAAATATTAGCCATCCCACCACAACACAAATACATGTGCACACCAGCACGAATTTGTATCTATCTATCTTCGCATTTGGTTTGGATACTTCGTAGGTACATCCTAATTCCAAGATATCTTTAATCCCGAACCCTGGAAAAACACAGAAAATCACAGTTTTGTATCTATATATTCGCATTGAAAGATGTATCTTTAGTTCCAAACCCAGGAAAAACTCAGAAAACCACAGTTTTGTATCTATATATTCGCATTTTATTGAGATATTTCGTAGTTACATCCTCATATCCTAAAAGATATACATATCTTTAATCCCGAACCCTGGGAAAACACAGAAAAACACATTTTTGTATCTATCTATTCGCTATTTCGTAGGTACTTCCTCATTTCTTTAAATATATCTTTAATCCCGAACCTTGGAAACACACGATATCGATATCTTTGTTGGATTCATCCTCATCTCCACCGCATTCTTCACATATCCTTCACATATACCATACAATTAAACCCAGTACAACAGCACATTTATGTAAAAATACTCGACTAATTTCATGTCTCGCCACGCCACAACAACAACAACAAATAGCAGCATCATCAGCAGCAATAAAAGCAACAACAGCAGCAGCAGCTGGAACAGCTGATCAGCCCCAAAAGCGCCAAGAAGAAGAACAAGCAGAAGGAGCAGCCAAACAGCCCAATCAAAAACTTTCCTCCAGCAGCGACGACCAGGACGACGACGAGGATCAATTAGGAACATTGCCATTGCCCCTGCATCCCTCCATCAACAAAAGGACACCCGCCCTACGCCCACAGCCTCCTTCAATCCGCTCTGTAAACTCCACCTCCACATCCACCTACACAGACGACCTCTGCAACTGCTGCAACTGCGCGTACTCCAACTCCTCCGCCTCCTCCTCCGCCTCCTCCACATCCTCCTCCTCCTCGTCCAGCGCCTCCGCCGTTGCCAAGCAGCTAGCACGCTCCGCGGCCGCCAGCAGCATCATGGACATGCCGTACAACACCTCGCCGTCGCTACGCGTGCGCACCACCTCGCTGAATCAGCTGAAGAAGACAGCCGATCTGGCCATTGAGAATGAGCTCCATGTCTGCCCGTCGGTGATGTCCGAGGAGCTGCGCAAGTTGCTCCCGCCCACCTCGGAAACGGTGATGACCAAACCCTTTCCCATCCGCGGTGAACGAACCATCGCCGACTGCACCACACCGCATGTGATCGCCATGGTTGGACTGCCGGCACGCGGCAAGACCTTCATCTCCAAGAAGCTGGCGCGTTACCTCAATTGGATCGGGATCGCGACGCGTGTATTCAATTTGGGAGAGTACAGGCGTCATGCGACCACCGCCTACAAGTCACACGAGTTCTTTCGCGCCGACAACGAGGAGGCGATGGCCATCCGCAACCGGTGCGCCAATCAGGCCCTCCACGATTCCTGCGAGTGGCTGCTCAGCGGTCAGGGCAGCATTGCCGTTTTCGATGCCACCAATTCCACTCGCGATCGTCGTCAGTTAATCCATGATATTGTGGTTAAACAGCACGGCTTTCGCCTGTTCTTTGTGGAGTCCATTTGCGATGATCCCGGCATTATTGAGCAGAACATACTGGAGGTTAAGGTCAGTTCACCGGATTACCTCAATATGAACACCGAACTGGTGGTGCGGGACTTTCTGCAGCGCATCGAGCACTACGAGGAGCGGTATCAGCCCATCGACGAGGTCACCGAGTCGCATCTCAGCTTCATGAAGGTCTACAATGCCGGCAAGAAGGTGGTGGTCTACAACAACGAGGGTCATGTCGAATCGCGGATTGTCTACTACCTGATGAACATTCACATAACGCCGCGAACTATCTATTTAACCCGCCATGGCGAAAGCGAGTACAATCTGAGTGGTTTGATTGGAGGGGATTCGAACCTCAGCGCCCGTGGTCATCAGTATGCCAATGCCCTGTCCACATTCATCGCGCAGCAACAGATCGATGGGCTGCGTGTTTGGACCTCCTGGATGAAGCGAGCCATCCAGACGGTGGCCGATGTCAAGGCGCCGCAGGAACGCTGGAAGGCCCTGAACGAAATCGATGCCGGCCACTGTGAGGAGATGACGTACGAGCAGATCAAGGAGAAGTTCCCCGAGGAGTTTAAGGCGCGGGATGTGAACAAGTTTGCCTATCGCTATCCGCGTGGCGAGAGCTACGAGGATCTGGTGGCGCGACTAGAGCCAGTGATTATGGAGCTAGAGCGACAGGGCAATGTGCTGGTCGTTTCCCATCAGGCTGTGCTGCGTTGCCTGTTTGCCTACTTCCTGGACAAGTCGGCCGATGAGTTGCCCTATTTGTACGTGCCACTGCACACGGTCATCAAACTGACGCCAGTGGCCTACGGCTGCAAGGTGGAGCACATTAAGCTGCCCATCGATGCGGTGGACACGCATCGACCGAAGCCCAAGATACCCGGAGATGTCAGTGAGCCCGGACTAGACGGACTGAGTGGCGAGCTGGTGGCTCCCGATGGCGTCGGCAAGGTGCTCATTGTGGGCGACGATGTGGCGACGGCCACGAACGGCAATGGCGGGCGCCAATGACGACGACGCCTCGTGATTCATCCACGGCACCCGCATCAACCACCCCAGAAATCCAAGACAATCTAGAAAAGGCACGGCTGCTGGCTCAAGCTGAACCTGAACCTGCACCTGAATCCCACTCTTAACCCCCCGAATCCCGCACTAATTCTTAACCAATCGCATCCCAAGAACAGCCCACGAAACACGGACAAAGCTGCTACGAGGATGAGGTACTTAATGTGGCATCATCGGAGGACTGCATATGAAATTGTGATTGATCCATTGCGCTGTTTTATTATGTACTTTAATGAACAATTAAATATTTTCAAAATGTTTTACAACATCTACATTGATACAAAACAAAAGGAAAAAAAACAAAACAAAAAATACAAACTTAAATACCTAGATTTAAATATTATACTTGCTTAATTGGATGTGATTTTAGTAACACACGCAGGCGGTGTTGAGTGTTTCCAGCTATATAAACTATCAAGAAAACTATCCCATCACTGTACTGCACACCCTAAAGTGCTTTTATCAGCTTCGTTGTCTATTTTTTGTACCAGTTTTCGGCGAATTTTTGTAGCTAAACTAGTGAGTGGTTAGTGGACTCACGGATTCCGATTCCATTTGCCAACTCTGTAACTGAAAACGAAAACACCTACCCGACACACTTTTTTATATAGCCAAAATGTATATGTTTGCTCGTAAATGTATGTGTGGAAGAAATATTGTAACTACATTAATACTACTGTCAGTCTTAATCAACAATAAATAACGATTTATCAAAAGAACCCGTGCGAATATGCAAATTGTTTCATTATCGTTTAGGCTTAAAAAGTAAAACGAAGGTACACGTAATTTCCAAACTTAAATATAAGATATGAAATTATCTAAAGTCCTCAAAACTACTAAACCAGCTTTTAATGAGAACTTTGCTTAATTCCATATAAATTAAAATATTTGAAATTCGATTTTATGTGGCGACTGTACCAAATTGGCATTTGTAGTTTATCGAAATTTATCGGCCTCTTTACACGATCAGATTTTTGCTTTATATCTCAAATCTGGTAGTGGAACGAGGCATTTTCAAAAACTGGAGATAAATTCTACTTTTGAGCAAAAATTTAATTTTTCCTTGATGGCTTTCAGCTGCCTGGAAGCGTATTGGGATGCCGATGCCTCCTCGTCCTCGTCTGCTAGGATTACGTTTATTACCGCGCAACAACGAACCATCCCAGAGACAGCAAGGATCCAGGAGAAAGACCAGGACTCCTCTAGAACCGGCACAATGCCACGCTTTCGCAACGAGGAGCCGGAGCAGTCGCACTACAGCGATGGCGACGTCGTCTGGGTGAAGATCCACAACACGGAGATCTGGTGGCCCGGCGAAGTGACCCTTTCGCAGGACTTTCGCTTCGTCAACTCCAGCCGACCGCCATTCGCAGTTGTGGCGTTTTTCAATGAAAAAACCTTGTAAGTTGCCGTAAGTTTTATATTGAGAATCGCATATTTTAATTCAAATTTCTTGCACAGCGAGCAAGTGAAATCACCGAAATTGATATACCCCTTTCAATGCGATCACAAGGAGGAGTTCATTAAACGAGGCACCAGTAAGTACAAGAAAAATTAAAGATTTAGAATCTAGTACCGAGGGTAGTAATCCCCAATTTCACAAGTTAATGAGCTTCAAATATTCACAAAATTAAATCAGGCCCTTTGATAAGTTTTTGGGTTAAAAACTATGCTTTTGCATTTATTTATTACTTCGTTAACTGGAGGTTAGCTAACTAAGGGCTTCCTAACGATATCCTAACTAATCACTAACTCTAGACAAATAAGAAATTATTATTGTATTTGGGTTAAATAGTATGCTTTTGTATTTAGTTATTATTTCGCTAACTGGAGGTTAGGTAACTGACTACTTAACCAAGTCTTAACTAATCACTAACTCTAGAGAAATAAGATGTTATTATAAAAAGTGTAAAATTCAAAATGTTGAATTCAATATTATGTAAAAATTGGGTCAAATATTTCTTTTTTGTAAATCAGACGGAAAGTGTTCTGATATTAATATTTAGGTTGTAAGCTGCTCATAACAGTACGCCTTTTTGATTTGGGACCATTTTTGTTCAAATTACAAAAAAAAATCGATTGAGAAAAATTTCAAAATTTTACCAAAAATTAAAACCCTGATTTTTTACCAAAAAATAATAGTATTTTGGTCATAACAATGGAAATAATCATCCAAATATGGAGTGCCATACCTTGTTGAACTCGTAATAAAAAATCCAATAAATCTGCATTTCAACCTGAAAATTTTTAATTTTGTCCATTTTTTGCAAAAAATGATGATGGTACCCCTTATCAAAAATGCGAAAATCGGGTCGAAAATTAATTTTCTCAAATCAGTCGGGAAGTGCACAAATATTAATAATAAGGTAGTTAGCTGCTCAGAACAGTGCGCCTTTTTAATTTGGGACCATTTTTGCCCAAGTTACAGCAAAAAATCTATAAAAAATAAATACATTTTTTACCAAAAATCAAGATTCTGATTTTCCACCCCAAAAAATAGTATTTTGGCCATAAAAATGGTCCAAATATGGAATGTCATACCCCGAAGAACTCGTGATTTCATTTCCAATAAATTGGCATTCAAACAGTTATTTATTTGTACCTACTATTCATTGTTAGTATTTATTGTTTGTGTGAAAGTGAAGCTTTGTCAAGCTTTCTAACGGTGCAAGCGAGCTTTGCTCTTACTTTTCTCACCTGTGAACATGTGTAATCCATGCATTTCCGTTTCCCAATCGCAGAAAAGGCCGATGGGATGCACATGGGCGACAAGTTCAGTGACGATGTGGCGATCGCGGAGTCGCGGTATCGCCGTCACCAGGTCCTCGGCCTGCATGCCGATCGATCGTCGGTGATCGGTGACGGGGGAACCGGAAGCGGCAGCGGAAGCGGAAACGGAGGAGCAGGCGGAAGTGCCCCCCGACCGGACAGCCTCATCAAGGCCTTCCTCTCGAGCAGCAGCAGCATCAGCGGAGGCAGCAGCATGGGACACAACAACAGTGGCCGCAGCAGCAGCGGAGTGCCTTCACCAGCGGGGATTCGAGTGAGTAGTTGGAAGCATTCCAGATGCAAACAGTTATTATACCCGTTACTCGTAGAGTAATTGTATTCGTGCAAAAGTATGTAACAGGGAGATGGAAGCGTTCCCGACCTTATAAAGTTTATATATTCTTGATCCGTCTGGTCCGTCTGTCTGTCCGTATGAACGCTGAGATCTCGGAAACTACAAAAGCTAGAAGGTTGAGATTTCCCACACATATTCTTGGGCTTCCTACGCAGCGCATGTTTATTTCAGCTGAGCGCCACGCCCCCTCTAACGCCCACAATGGCACCTACACCTTTCAAGATTTCAGAAAAGTAACCATGCTGTTTTATGGAGTTTATCAATACCTATCGAAATGTAGAAGAAATTTTTCAAATCAGACCATTCATTAAAAAGTTATGCCCGATCAAAGTTTTCTATCTCCATCTCCCTTGCACTTCCTTTAGCTGAGTAACGGGTATCTGATAGTCTCTCTTGTTAATAATGCCTTATCCCCCCGCACAGCAACAGCAGGCGCCCACTTTCCGCATCATGGACATCGGAGGAGGCGGCGGCTCCTCCGCCAGCGATCCACCTCGCGATCGCACCTTCGACGAGGCCAGCTACGAGTGCAACATGTGCACCTTTCGCACCAACAGCATGAGCGTCCTGCTCATCCATCGGCGTGCCCACTTGGAGTCGAGCAGCAGCTTCAGCAGCAGCAACAGCAATAGCACCAGTACCACCGCCAGCACCAGTCACCAATCCTCGATGCTCTTGAATGTGGGAACCCGCAAGACGCGTGCGGCACGCGCCAGGGCTCACACCACCACCAGCAGCCAGCAGCCCTTCCATCGCAGCTCGGTGCGCTGCCATTCGCGGCACGTCTCCATTGTGGTGGATGCACCGCTGACCAACGAGGAGCAGAAGATGGTGAAGAGCATTGCCAAGCAGACGCTGGCCAGCATCGAAATGGTGGTCCGTCCCGGCGAGGATAGCTCCTCCGCCGCCTCGAATCGTAATAGTAGCAGCTCATCGTCGGTAACGCCGCCCGCGAATCCCCGGGATCCGCGTGGCCAGCAGCGCAGCTCCAATCAACTGCGTGCCACCATGCCCGCCCCACAATCGCCGCCGGCGAAGCAGCGTCGACTTACCCGCTCCATGAGCAGGCGGCAGCGGGGAGGAGGAGAAGCTATCTCCCCACCAGCCGCCACTCCAGAGCTCCTACTGCCTCCTCCGCCAGCGATGCAGACGCCACGCAGAGGAGCTAACAGAAGATGCACTTTGGCTGCCACAGAGCAGCTGCCTTCGATCACCAGGCGGGGTAATCCTCTCCGCAAAACGCTGACCACGGCGCCAGTGGAGAGCAAGGAGAAGTTGGAAAAGCTGGAGAAGGAGAAGCCACCTCGAAGCGCTGGTCGGCGCAAGAGAACCTTCTCCAGGAGTAGAACAGCGATGACTGAGCGAGATCGTCCGCTAATCATCCATTCATCGCCGCCGCCAACGAAAAGGGAAATGGAAACGGCTAAGGAAAAGGCTAAGGTAGTGGAAATGGAAATGGAAGCGGAGCCTGAACTGCCCTCCACTGCCTCGCTAGAGGCTGATCTTCAAGAGAAGCAGCAGAAAGAGAAAGAGAATCTCCCGCAGAGCAGCATCGATGCCTCCAAGCAGCTGCAGTTAAGTTTGATGGCCGAATGGGGCGACGATGAGACGGATGAGTCGCTGGAGGAGCCACCGGTTAATAAGGAGACGGTATTGGAAGCTCCTCCTCCAGCAGAGCAGAAAGCAGAGGAGAATGAGGAGCTAGAGGAGGAGGAACTGGAGGAGCAGCTAGAGAAGACTGATGACTTGGAGGGCATGAAAAAGAAGCGCAGCATTCGCAATATACCAAAGAAGGATCGCCGCGATGTGGTTGTGCAGGAGTTTCAGCCAGAGCTGCCGGAGGATGAGCCCCAAATGGATGTGGAGGAAGAGCAAGAGGAGCCGATTGTCATCCCCGACAGCGATGCCAGCTCCAATGGTAGCGTCGTGTTCGTGGAGGACGAGCCAAGGCAGCGAGGAGGCAGGGCAGGAATACATGCGCATCCCAATGGCAATGGCAACGACAAGGCGGCCACATCCTCATCCTCAGTTAAGGCGGTCGTGCCCTCTTGCTTTGATTTCGAGGAGGAGGAAGAGGAACTGCTGCTGCAGCCGGAGCAGCCGGATGGTCATGGGAATGGCTTGAGCTACAGGCGTCGCACCAATACAAATCGATGCCTCATCGATGTGAATGGAAAATCGCATGCGGAGGAGGAGGAGGAGGAGCGACCAGCGGAGGTGGAGACTGCTGGAGGAGCTGCCCAGGAACTGGACGGTGGCCTCTTCAAGGGCTTTGAAGATTTACAGGAACCAATCGCAGCCGTTGAGACGGAGAAAGTGCCTGAACCGGAGCCCAAATCCCCTGAGAAGCAGGAAGAGCTGCCGGTGGAGCCCGAGGAGGCTGCTCCAAGCGAGGAACCGGCCACCGAGGGCGATCACTTGAGCCTGCCCATCAAGGAGCGTCAGAAGCGCATCTTTAAGTCGCGCAACAAGTCGATTGCGGTTGCAACTCAGGAGGAGGAGGAGGAGGAGGAGGTTACACCGCCACTGCAGGAGGAGCAGGAAGAGCAGGAAGAGAAGCAGGAGCAGCAGGAGGAGGTAGATACCTCGCTTCTCTTCAACGGCGCCAAGAGCCGCAGCAGCAGTGGTGATGCCATGGAGAGCCTGGGCAGCCGGAGCAGAAATAAGCGGCGCAACAAATCCAAGACTGAATCAAACCGTCGACCGGCGAAGCTTACGAACCTCCAGAACCTCCAGAAGGAGCTCCTCCACGAGGAGCTGAGCAACAACAGCAGCAGCAGCAGCGGCAGTAGCAGCAACCAAGCCAGCTCCAGCTCCTCCAGCTCGGACTCCCACTGCAGGCTTTCCCCGGAGCCGAGCTCCAGCAACAGCTGTTCGATAGCCTCGAACATTGCGGTCATTTCGGCGGAGGAGGCACGCGAACTGCAGCGCTCGGCCTCGGGCGCTGGATTGATACATGCGGCCATTGTGGATGCCACACAGCCGGTGCAGCGAGGCGGTGTGCTCATCCTGGAGGACATACGACTGCCCAATTTGTACGAGCCCTTTGGCAGCCTGCAGTCGTCCTCCACGGACAGCAATGGCAGCAGGCAGACGAACTCACAGCAGCCGGAGGATAATGATGAACAGTCGCAGGACACGACGACCGAGGAGCAGCTGGAGAAGAATGAAGAGCAGGAGCAGGTGGTTGAAGAGATTGAGGAAGTTGAGGAGGTTGAGGAGGCTGAAGAAGATGAGGAGGAGGAGCAAATGCCTGATGATGAACCAGCCGAGCAGCCAGAGCAGCATCTAAATCAAGATCAGGAGGAGGAACAGAAGGAGCCACCGGATAACTGGTCACCGGAGCGCCAATCGCCCGCCGAGGAGGAGGTGCGCCTCCTGCCGCAGGCTCGCGAGGTGCTGCTCAAGAAGCGCGAGCAGGAGCTGCTGCGTCAGTACGAGGCTGACTTGGTCAGCGGTCGGAGTGCGGAGAAGTGTCGCCAGGCACGCGCCCGCTGGAGCCGAACGATGCCGCGATCCCCCGAAGAGGAGGAGGAAGAGGCGGCGGCTGCGGAGGAGCTGGAGCTAATGGAGGTGGAGGAGGAGGAGGGTCCTGTCAAGGAGGATGAGGAGCTGCCAGAGGAGGAGGAGCTGCAGCTGCAGCCAATGGAGGAGGAGGAACCGCTAGAGGACACCGAGACCTCCCTGGACGAGCAGCTGGCCGCCGTGGAGCTGGTTCTGCCGGCCACCCTGTTCTCCTCGTCCTCGTCCCGTCGCCCCGCCAGCCACCCGCCAGTCACTCCTGTCCAGTCGCTTCCCCCCTCGACGCAGCCCGCCCGGCATCTCAGCTGCGCCCGCACTTTGAGCGATGCGGACGTGGCCAAGGCCCACCAGCAGCTGGTGGATCTGCGGGAGCAGCAGCGCCTCCGTTCCACCTCCACATCGCCGACGGCGGCGGCTGTGCTGACGCCGCCGGAAACCCTGCTGCAGCAGACCAGCGGGCAACGGAGGACGCGTCGCCGCTCGAGGAATGCGGGCAGCAGCAGTGGTGGTGACCATGTGATGACCATGGAGAGTGGAACCCGCAGCGACGTGGCCGAGGAGTCGTCGTGCGAGACCAAGGATGGTCAGGAGAGCCCCGAGAACGTGAGTTGATCGAAAGATTTCATTTTATTTTACTATGGAAATATAAATATAAAGTAGTAATATCAATTATTTGAATGATTTTCTTAATTTAAAGAAAATATTACAGTTTTCGGTTTATAAATCTATTAAAATTTACTCTCGATTAGTTGTTTTCCACAAAAATTTTATTTATATATTGAAATTAACATGGAAATATAAACATAAAGTAGTAAAATCAATAATTTTAATGTTTTTCATAGTTTAAAGAAGAGTTTTATGATCTTAAAGCAAATAAAAGAATTGTAGAAATTCATAAAAACAAAAATATTATAACAATTTAAAATTTATAAACATTTGAATTAATATAATCTTTAATCTAAGATTTAATAGTGAAAATAAAAGGTTCCTATGAACTTTTTGAGAGTTTTTAGTAGTTTTTCCATAGTAAATAAATCTGAAATATCCTGAACTATCTAGTTTTTCCATTCCAAAGTTAGTATTCGGAAATATATGTTAATTCCTAATGATTTTAATTAAAATAAACAAGATATAAGTGAAAATAAAAGGTTCCCATGAACTTTTAGAGAGTTCTTAGTAGTATTTCCACAGTAAATAAATCTGAAATATCCCTGAACTATGATCATTTGATAATAATAAACCTCTTCCTTTATTTTCAGCCGCCTCAGCTGTGCGCTGGACGCATCTGCGCGGTGATGACTCGCCCGATCCCCGGCTACAGCCACACCTTCATGCTCTGCTCGCTGAACAACAACAACTTCACGCCGCTGAACAACGTGGCTTTGTACCTGGACAACGAGAAGAACCACTTGGTGCCGGTGCCGCGAGAGGCGCTCCTGGAGCCTCCCCGCCTGGCCGATGGCCATCCGCTGTCCGCCGTCTTTGCGGACATTGATTTTCTGGGCGGCGAGGCGGTGGCCCAGGTGGTGGAGCCCTCGGAGGCGGAGGATCTTGGCCAGAGCCAGGATCTCTCGCCGCGCCATCTATCCCCGCAAATGCTGCTCAGCGAGGCAGCGGCGGCGGCGGGCGGCGAGCAGGATGTCGACGCCATGGGCATTATGACGCCCCTCAGCCAGGTGGGAGGCAACATAACGGGAGCCGCCGGCGGTAGCAGCAGCTATGTCAACGAGGAGGAGGAGCTGTCGCTGCACGAAGAGCAGCTGCAGGCCAATGTGCTGCAGCTGAATGTGAACGGCCATCGGCTGGATTTGGATCCCTCGATGCTGTTCAGCATTGCCGAGCAGCCGGACTCGTGCATCGAGGTGAGCGTCACCGAGACGACGGGTGGATCAGGTGGCTCCGGTGGCTCCCAGTTGACTGGAGGAATGAGAGCCGTGCTGCAGGCTCGCGACATTCTGCAGGCGGCGGAGGTTTACCTGCAGGAGCGCGATCTCCAGCTGGTCACGCTGGGCGATGAAGATGAAGCCACCGATGGCGGGCTGCCTGTAACCGCCGGCACGGATCTGCTCTCGCAGGCTTTGGCCAGCGCTGACGACGACGACGAGGATGATGACACGGCGGTGGACTTTGTGAACGCAGCCAACGCTGGCGTTGGCCTGCTCCACATAGACACCCGGACCGGCGGCGCCAGTTTGCTGCATGTGGGTGGCAGCGAGGTGTTCATCTCCCATCCGATGGCTCATCCGCAGAATGTCCATTTGACGCCGCCGATAACGGCCCGCACCAATGAGACAAACGCCCTGCTCGACCAGACGCCCATCATGTCCACGCTGGAGAATCCCAGCAGCAGCATGCAGCTGCGTCGCGTTTCGCCGCTGGTGGAGGGCAATTTGGAGGACAGCCTGGCCGTGATTGGGGTGACGAATGGCAGCGGAGTGCCCACCTCGCTGGAGCTGCCCATTACGGTGACCAATCCGGCGATTGCCTCGCGGATGGCGGCCCCCGTTGCCGACATGCTGCAGTTTGCTCCGTTTCAGTAGGATGAGTAGGAGCAGCACACAGTCCAAGAGCAGATGAACTTGCTTTATTTTTCCTAAGATTAAGAAACCTTTTGTTAGAATAAGTAGAAATGCAGCTAATGCATTTTATGTTGAGTTAGTTAAATTGACAAGATAACAAGAGGATATTTAGTGGCCTAGATTCCTCGACTTGACCTTATCCACATTGCAAATGTAGGATAGAAAAGGAATCCCATTTGCACGTAAAAGATTTAATAACTATTGGTTAGAAGCGAATAAGTAGAGCAAGTGCAATGGAAGCTGTTCGGCACCAAAGGAAAAACCTACGAAGAGTTCACAGGAAGCACATTTATATTTATATTTAACGACCATAAATGACTATACCAATGTGTGTAAGATATGTCAGTCTCTAAGCTAACAGATAAAAGATAACAGATGATGTAAAGTGAGAGAGTGTCCTCGCCCAGAAGAATAAAAAAAGGCAAATGTGCAACAAAGATATATTTTTTTTATTGCCACGGATCGTATTTAAGCAACCTTCTTCTAGTAAGCGTCAAGACAAAGCCTAATTTTAATTGACACCAGTGACTTATTTTGGTTGGTTCGGTTCTGACAAGTTGAATTAATTAAATACGCTGTATTTAACTTTTTTTTTTTTTCGTTTCTCCAAAAAGCAAAACGTTTTGTGTCAAAATTATATGCATTTTCAACGAACGAGAATCTACGCATGTACAGTTTATTTTTTGAAAATACAACCAAATATAAATAAATAAATAAATGTATGGAAAAATAATATTTCTCTTTTATTGATTATGAGGTTTCATGAAAATGAACCGAGTTCTTAGAAAAATCATACAACAATTTCTGTATTTAGTTTGGTTTCCTTTATTGAGTTTTAACAATTGCATGATGATCTTGCATTACAATTCGCTTAATTATTAATAACAATTGCTCTTTTATTCCATAGCATTTGTGTTTGAATAGGTTTCACTTGTGTTCTGTTTCGAATAAAATTATTGTAACCGTTTACACTCTTTTACAACTTTCAACTAGTCTGGCTTCTATTTCACACGTTTATTTATGCCTCGAGCTTGACAAACAAAGGCGCTAAACAAATTAGAAAATTAATAATCAATAAATAATTAAGTTTATCCTTTTGCATACGAATTATATAAAAACAATAATAACTCAAGGTTTTCTTTTGGCTGGATGGCGACAAAAATACTTTACTACCGCAAGTAAAATTGGCAATTTACGAATAACGCGCGTGTTTGGCCTAAGCAAATTAAATAATATACCTAGGTATTCGAACATAAAAATACTTTAGGTAGTGTTTAGGTTAAATCTTTTCTAAATTTTCTCTTGTTTTCGGGGCGAGGGGAATTTTCGGGCAAATAAAATTTGTAAAAGGTTTAAACGTAAGAAACTTTCGGCAAAGTTTTAGTGAGTGTCTGTTGTTCTGGTTCTTCTGTTGTTGTTTCTGCTATTTATTTTTTGGTTTGGGGCGAGTGTTTAATTGCTGTGTTGTTCATACTGCATCCATCATCCTCCCTCTGCACAATATTCCTGGCGGTATTCTCTGCTCTTATGCGTTCCGTTGTTGTTGGCGATACTTTCTAGTTAGTTACTCGCATCTACAGCTTGGCGCAGATCTCGTTCGTGAACTCAGAGCACTTGGCACGGCCGCCGAGATCGCCGGTGAGGTACTTGCTCTCCTTGATCGTCTCGAAGGCGGCACGCTCGATCTTATCGGCGTACGTGTTGAGCTCCATGTGGCGCAGCATCATGACCGCCGAGAGCAGCAGGGCCGTGGGATTGGCCAGATCCTTGCCGGCAATATCGGGAGCGGTTCCGTGCACGGACTCAAACAGGGCACCGTTCAGGCCCATGTTGCCCGAGGGCGTCAGGCCGAGACCGCCCACCAAACCGGCGCACATATCGGACAGAATGTCACCGTACAGATTGGGCATGACCAGCACGTCGTATTTGCCGGGATTCTGCACCATGTTCAGGCACACCGTGTCCAGGTACTTCTCCTCGAACTGAATCTCGGGGAACTTCTGGGCCATGTCGCGGACGCAGCGCAGGAAGAGGCCATCGGACATGCGCCTGTGGGATGGAAATTAGATTGTAGGTAACAGGAAAGGAGGTAGGAAGAGAGCACTTACATAATGTTCGCCTTGTGCACCACGGTGACCTTCTTGCGGTTGTTGTTCTTGGCGTACTGGAAGGCGTACTCGGCCACACGCTTGGAGGCCTCCTCGGTGATCAGCTTGATGCTCTGCACCACGCCATCGACGATCTCGTGCTCGATGCCCGAGTACTCGCCCTCGGTGTTCTCACGAATGGTCACCACATCGACGTCGTCGTAGAGCGTCTTGTAGCCCTCGAGACTGCGGCAGGGACGCACATTGGCGTACAGGTTGAACTCCTTGCGCAGGGCCAGGTTCAGCGAGCGATGTCCCTTGCCCACGGGCGTCATCAGGGGACCCTTCAGGCCGATCTTGTTCGTGTTCACCGAGTCGATGGCCGCCTGTGGGATGCCGAACTTTCCGTCGGGGCCCTAGGATTATAGATGAATTAATATTAATATAAAGTTACAAATTCTTTGTAATCATTTTTATGAGAGTATTCTAGTAGGGCCTCTTAAAGCTATTTTAAAATTATATTTTTGATTTTTTTACACTACCGAAATTTTTTTTAAATGCTGAACAATGCTGTAGATGAATACAAATAGTTATAAAAATGGTAATCAATTTGTAAGATCATAATTTTCGAAAATGTTTATAAAAATTGGAAATTTTTAGCACCTTTGTAAAGGGAAATGGAGCAATTTTGAAGTTTTAAAATTGTTAGTCAAATAATGTACTAAGAAACAAAGATACAACATATATAATAAAATAATATTTAATAAAGTAAAAGTAATAGTAATAGTTTTCATGAAGAGTATTCTAGTAGTGCCCCTTAAAACTACCTTTTTTATTATATTATTGGTTTTTTGACACTACCGAAATTTTCTTTAAGTGCTGAATAATTACAAAAATTGCAATCAATTTGTAAGATCATAATTTTCACAAGTTTTTATAAAAATTAGGCATTTTTAGTAAAGCAATTTTTAAGTTTTAAGATTATTAGTCACATATTGTACTACAAAACAAAAGTACAACATTTAAGAACAGTAAAAGGCATTAAGTTCAAATGTTTGCCAATGGATTTTCAAATCCACCGCCTAAAATGGCCGTAGTTGCCACCTTTTGCAATCCAGGGGGTGCTGAATTTGCAATTTGAACTGGCGCCTTGCCGGGATTACAGATTACGACACTCACCCGGACGGGGGTCACGTCCACGGCCTCCCACTCGATGGGCACGTTGGCGGCGGTGAAGATCTTCTGGACGGCCGCGGAGATCTCGGGTCCGATGCCATCGCCGGGGATCAGGGTGACCTTCTTGGTGCCGGACGAGTAGGATCGGCTGGCGGCGGGAGTCGCGTTGACCTGGAAAAGTAGAGTGAACGGAAAGTGGGTTACACAGATGGCATCTCTGGATGGGGTGCGACCACATCTATATTCTTTATAGAGATTACATAATTTGGCATGCCAAACAACAACAGTTCACTTTTCCCCCCGCGCCAAACATCTCGTCGTGTTGAGGTTAGAGTGCATAAATTATTCCCACGGCGTTGATAAGGCCACGAAATCTGGGCCCAAATCTCGGTAACTGTGTGTTGTTGGGGTTCCTGCTCCATCCCCCCTTCCACCCACCCCTCCCCACCACACACACACACACACAGTTATCGATATCAGCCACGCAACGAGGGAGCGAGAGAGAGAGTGTTATGTAAAGGGAATGCGAATTCTAAGGCTGTTCTCGTTTTCCCCGTTTTTCGCCGGACGGACAGCTGATGTCCTGGGGCGGCGCGGGGGGGATTCCAACCCGAAATCCTGTGTTGGCCATCCTGCCGATCATCTCCAGAACCCGGAAAACCAACCTGGCTCACCGCTGGCGTCGCCGTCGCCGCCGGAGCATCACGCGCAGCAATCAAACCCAGTTGATTAAGCTGCAAGTGTTTTGCGTAATGTGTTGTTGTCAGTAGGTTTGGTTTGTAGATTGGTTGGTTGGTTGGTTGATTGGTTATCGATGGAGCAGATACAGATACAGATAGCAGTTGGCGGATGCAGGGTGAACCAGGATCAGGAACGAGAAACAAAATCGCAATGTTAGTGGTAGTTGGCAGCACGTAATCAACGGCTGTCCTGCGGAATTATTTGTTCGGTCGAAAGGAGCGGGGGGGGAATCGCGACGCGGGGGCTTAACTCTACACGGTTCTTACAATTTTCTGTACGAATCTAGCAGCCATTGCGTTGCCTCGGTTTTTGCACTGGTTCCTGGCGTATATTAATATAGAAAAAAGTCTGTCTTTTTAGTCTGCGCCCGCCGTAGTCGCCACCTTGCGGAAATCTGGCGAATCTGCGGCCTATCGGTCGATATCGATATCGCGGGGGCGGCAGGGTTGCCACCTAGTTCTTGGTGGGGGTGGTTTTAAAAGTGAACGTGAAATGTGCATCCACTGGTCCGCATCAGGTATTTGAACCAGTGTAAACCCGGCTTTACAGCATAACCGACTGTTATCGATAGGTCGTGCGGCCTGGCATCACTGCCCCAGCGCGCAATCGATGTATCGAAGCGGCACCATCGATAGTTTGAGTGTATCCATTGCAACCGTGGCTGCTACAGCCACAGTTTAAATTAACTTTGAGCATTCGCTCGATTTTCAGCCGTATCCTGTCGTCAAACTCCGCGAGTGTGCATTTAAAGGGCCCAAGAAGCCGCTTCGTTTTCGATCTCGAATTGCGGGGCAACTGGCGATACCTGGAGGGCCGTGCGACGAGAACGCCAGGCGAGGGCAAAAAAATCGGATCAACCGACAGACAAAGCTGAACTGCGGTCGTCGCCGACAAAGTGCGCTGTGCACACACGGACGGCCATAGAGAGAATCGGTACGCGAGCGAGTTTTTTTTCGCGTTTCAGTTTGGGTTTCAGTTACCTGCGCGCAACAACCCCATTCTGCCATTCTGCCCTTCGCAGCGGTGCCTGGCTTGCAGTTTCGGGCCAAAAGATTGGTGGACACTGGACAGTGGCCACTGGCTAGTAGCGTTCCGCGTTCACCAGGCCCAGCCTACGTAAGCGGGCGAAAGCAGGCCGTAATCCGTGTGTGTGTGATCCTGGGCCGCCGCCAGAGAACCAGGTGGGCGTCCAGTCCCTCCGAGTCCGTGTCCGATTACGATTCCCCTGCCGATAGCCCGATTTCCCGCATCCATTGGCGTTTCCAAACTCAGCTGGCTTGGCCCTCACCTACACACCTACACACGCGTCACTCACACGCACACTTATGGCTGTATCTGTTTGACAGCGCACTTCTGCGCTCGTTGCGGCCAAAGTGCTACTCGCCCAGCGCACACTCTCGCCGAACGCGCTGAATAGTTTCTTTTTGGCTGGATTTTTCATGATTTTCATTACCGTTTCAGTGCTCGACAAGTGTTTGGTGAACAGCTAGCACCCTGGAGAAGCAAAACAAGCGCGCCCAGCTCATCCGGGACAAGATGGTGTTGGCGGAGCGCAACACCACGGACGTGGTGCGGAACGGTCGTCGGTCGCGCGGTCCCAGTCCCAATACCCACACGCCCGGCGGCGGTGGGGTGGCCAACAATGCCAACAGCCTCGTGGGCGGTGGCGGAGGAGGCGGCGGGAACTCCGGGAACCCGAATGCCAACGAGAAGAACGCCTCCACAGCCGTGCCGGGCGCAGGGACGCCGGAGAGCTCGGACGACGACAACTGTAAGTAGATTCACTAGCTTCTATTTCCTGTTCCTTCCTATATTCACTCCCCTTTTCCCTTTTCCAGCCACCAAGCGCAATGGGAAAAGCAAGGCCAAGCAGTCGGAGTACGAAGGTGAGTTTTCTGGTTCCATCGTAGAATCTCAACTAATCCTCTGCTCATTCCACAGAGAAAATCCGCGTGGGTCGCGACTACCAGGCTGTGTGCCCGCCTTTGGTTCCGGAGGTGGAGCGGAGGCCCGAACAGATGAACGAACGCGCACTCCTCGTCTGGTCGCCCACCAAGGAGATTCCCGATCTGAAATGTACGTTAATGTGTGGGGAAAAGGATGAAAAAGTGCAGAAAACAGCATAGATATTTCTAAACCTCTAAAATAATGAAAAAATCGATATTTGCACAATAACTTATCGATAAAATCGATGTTTTTAGTTGAAGAAATGTCGAAATTTCGATATGGTGGTGCAGAAAACATCATAGATATTTCTCTAACCTCTAAAATAATGAAAATATTGATATTTTCACTAAACTTATCGATAAAATCGATGCTTTTAGTTTGAAAAATGTCGAAATCTCATCCTGTCAACCTAATCCAACTAACCCACCTTGTCACGCCTTCTTGCAGTGGAGGAGTACATCTCGGTGGCCAAGGAGAAGTACGGCTACAACGGCGAACAGGCTCTGGGCATGCTCTTCTGGCACAAGCACGACCTGGAACGGGCCGTCATGGATCTGGCCAACTTCACGCCCTTCCCGGACGAGTGGACCATCGAGGATAAGGTGCTGTTCGAGCAGGCCTTCCAGTTTCACGGGAAGAGCTTCCACCGCATCCGCCAGATGGTGAGTGTACAGCAGCGGGATCCCAAATATAAAATCTAAAACCCCTATCCCAAAAATTCCAACAGCTGCCGGACAAATCAATAGCCAGTTTGGTCAAGTATTACTACTCGTGGAAGAAGACGCGCCATCGCAGCAGCGCCATGGATCGCCAGGAGAAGACCATCAAGGCGGTGGTCAAGGATGGCTCCGAGAACGGCAGCGAGGTGGGCAGCAATGAGGAGTCTGATAACGATGACAAGGTAATTATCAGTTAGAACTAGCTAAGCGAAAAGCCAACAGATCCTTCCCCGCTCCCGCACACACATGAAAACACACACACACACACATACACACACTTCGCTCATCCACACACGATCGCCTCGAACTTCGAAACACACACAGAAACCACATCCAAAAAGAGAGGTCAGCCGACCAAGTAGGCAGCTTTTAACACAAAGAATCGCATAATCTAGGAGTAGAGCTTGAAAAGTATCGACATTTCGATCTTTTGCATACATCGATATTTATCGGAAAAATATTATTTTAAACATAACTATAATAAATTTTTTAGATTTTAACTTTTTCCTTGAACACATCGATATTATCGATACGATATTGTGAACATATCGAAAATATCGATATTTTTCAAGCTCTACTGTTAGGATACGGATTACGGATCACTGATTACGTACGTAGATCTAAGCTAAGACAACTGAAACTTGTTTTTATTGTGCTGCGGTCAGACGATCGCCATTATTTGATCACGATTATCTAGGATTGCCAAGAAATTATATTTAGTTTATCAAATTTTCAACATGTTCCATGAAATATGTTCAAATAATTCGATCGTCTTGCACTGGCTTTATAAGATTGTGAATAGTATATTTCAAAATGTATTTTTTAGTCGCATTAAGTGCAAGCCTGCAGACTTGTGAGTGTAAGACAGGCGCGGAAAGTCGATTATAAAGATAGCAGGCTTCATTTTCAAGACCTCCGTTCCGAAATCCGTAGCCGTCCGCTTTGTAAACCAATAACCTAGTAGTAGCGCCACATAGATCCTTACCCCGACTTGCCAATGGTGTGTAGCTCGGACTGAACCCCTCTAGGGATCTCCTCTCCGCTTTTCAGCCAGCGATGTACGTCGTTTTGAAAGTCTGGTTCGTTATTTTTCAGATAATCGCCGTGCCTGCATACATCTCATAAGTTCTAAAATCATTGCCCACACAAACACAAACGAATACCAAAAACAATAATTGACCAGCATCTGATAAGACTAAAAAATTGATACATTTTCGTTCGAACACAGAGATTGCGCCACACACAAAAAACACACTCGAGAATTATGTATTCCGCAACGTTGGCCTGATTTGATTGATTTGAGCGAGGAGTTTCCCTATACCAAACTCCCGCCGAATCAACGCAAATCAGGTTGACCGAAACCGAAAACTAGACTAAGGCAAAGCTGCAAAAAAGATTGAGTTTGTTCTTTGTTCATACATTTACACCTATATAAATAGTATATACAATCTAAATATATTTTTTTTAAATAATTATAAATAGCATGGTAAATTATTATACGTAAAATAGTAATTTATATTGATTATATTGAGATTGATTAATTTAAAGAATTTTAAATATTAAAGTAAACAATGCAAAACCGAAATTATGTAAATTCATGCATACTTGTATACCGAAGAGTACAGAGTTCCAACTCTATCGACTCTACCAACTCAGCCAACCGACCACAGACGATGATAATCATGATGGATCACACCACCACACCTAATGCTAATCCCAATAAATGCATATCTTGTTTGCGAAAAGATTAAACAAAACCCAAAAACCAACAATTTTCATGTGTTTCTTATTCATAGAGATTCGTTTCGCTACATCTGACATTTTAGTTCGACCATTCCCGACAAATCGTTATCATCATCCATGCACAAACACACAGATCCCCCGCATCCGCAACCGAATTCACAACCTAATCCTAATCCACACCCTCATCCCAAAGAACATAAACACACCCACACAATTTCCAACACTATCTATCCTTTATCTATCGTAATGTATCAGAATTTTGACCTCCCAAGCTACTGTATCCACTTTCGATAACGTGAATGTCCAGCTAAATCTAAATCCATCTGAATATACTCTTAAGTACCAACTAGCACTCGTCTTTCCATTCTAACCCAGAAATGAAACCCTTAAGAGAGAGATTCTACTTGTTGTTTAAGTTCTAGAAGAGTTCCCCATTTTTTTTCTTACTGTTTGCATTGGCATTTCGGGAAGGAAGGATTGGTTGGCCAGGGATTTCAGGGATTTTCGGGGGCTTGGGGGTTCGGTTGTTCGGTTGATGGGATGAGAGAGCGTGGCAAAAACATCGTTTTCAAGTGCGAGCAACAACTACAGCAACAACAACAACAACAGACAACCCGCATACAATCTTGTACTTGTTAAGTGTGTTAAGTTACCAACTGAAACTAAAGCAACAACCCCATACGTTTTTTCTCTTCTCTTTGCATTTACTGTACAAAAATCCAACAATCGAAACGAAACACCATTTAAAACTAAAAAACCCGAATTGTCCGAAAATCAAAAACCCAATCAAAATGCAAAAAAAACCTCAATCAAATCGAATCGAAAATGAAAAAAAATGTACACTCGCAAAAATTGACTTGAATTCGTAATCCCTTTTGCGGATGAAATCTCCTGAAATCTTCAGAAGGGGCAACATGGCAGCAATAGCAACAACAATGCAACCGACAACACCACAAACTCGACAACCAACAACACCACAAATTCCCCCGCAAACACCAATGCCACCAGCAACAGCAACAACAATCACACCAACAGCAACAACGTGGGCAACAACCAGAACAACAACAACGGGGATGAGAACAACCAAGGCGGCGGCGGAAGCAACAACAGCAGCAACAACACGAGCCACAACGATCTGGACACCGATCAGTTGTCCCTCCTCGCAGGAGGAGCAGGAAACGCCGACGAGGTGCTGGGATTTGGCCTTTCTGCCGATGGTGCCACCCCCAATGGGAGCAACAACAACAACAATGGCGAAATTGGAGATCTGCGTCGCGTGGTTGTGGGCGGTTTTTGCAAGATTTGCAACGTGGTCTGCCACGTGCTGCACGATTCACCGCTGGGTCGGATGTGCAAGAGTTGTCACACCCACTGGAGGTACCTATGCCTATACCCATTCCAAACCGACGGAGCTTCTGCTAATGCCAAGTTTTCTCTCTCTATCTCTCTCTTCCCAACCTCCCGACAAACCAACCAAACAACCAATCAACCCACCAAAAAATCCAATCAACTGACCCTCCATTCAATACTCACCACCTATCCACAAACACACATGAAATACTCACTCAAATCCCGGGCTATCCAGGCGCACGGGCAACCGGCGACCCATTTCCGGGCCGGAGAGCAATGCTCCCCGAAGATCCACCCACAATTGCGCCGCCACGGCCGATCGGTCCAAGCGCAAGCCGCCCAAGGGGATGTACATCAACCATGACGACCTGACGGCCCTCGCGAGCTGCAAGAATCCCAGTGTCTACTTGGCGGAACGCGATCGCAAGATCACAGCCCTGATGGCCGAAGTAAGAGCGAGCGAAGAGTAGGGCTAGTGGTTAGTGATAAGTGATTAGTGATTAGTGGTGCCAGTGCTATAGGGAAGTTTAAATTTCAAATACTGGATATACTAGAAAAATTTATAATAATAATAATGTTACTGAAAGTTACAGTAGAAGAGTTCTTGAGGTTTCATCTGCCAGAAAACATTTCACCTAACCATATCCCTAAAAATGGATTCATTCTTTTGGGAAGTTTAAATTTGAGATGCTGGATATAATATAAAAATGTATAACAATAATTATATAACTAAAAGTTACGGGAGAAGAGGCATTTTAAAGTCTTCCAAGATCCATATTAAGGTTCCATCTGCCAGAAAACAATTCATATAACCATATACTATCCCTAAAAATGGTTTTATTCTTTGGGAAGTTTAAATTTGAGATGCTGGATATAATATAAAAATGTATAATAATAATATAACTAAAAGTTACAGGAGAAGAGATATTTTAAGATCCATGTTGAGGTTCCATATATACCAATCCATATACTATCCCTAAAAATGTATTCATTCTTTGGGAAGTTTAAATTTGAGATGCTGGATATGATATATTATAATTATAATATAATACAATAGTAATTTAATAGAAAAGAAGGGACTTTTTAAAAATGTAATAGAGTAGAGGCACAAAATCATAGATAACAGATCATAGAACTCATCCTCTGCACCATATCAAATCCATAACCAAATCCATTCTTTGGAAAGTTTGAATTTGAGATGGTGGATATGATATTTAATAATAATAATTTAATATAGTAGTAATATAACACAGAAGAATACTAGAGTAGACATATAGATAACAGATCGCAGATCTCTTCCAAAGCACCATATCAAATCCATAGCCAAACCATAACCATCACTCACAAGCACAATTACAATCACAACCACAACCACACACAATTATAACTCGGACCCACTGACAATTCTCAATTGAATGCCCATGTCCTGACCCTGCACCCTGACCCATTGCAGATCCAGAAGAATAGGCAGATGATGGAGCAGCTGGACAAGGAGTGCGATGCGATCAACGTCGAGGATGCGGCCTCCACCAAGCCAACGGCGGCGGCGGCGGCCAACAGCGCATCCGAACCCGCTCAGCCACGCATCTCCGCCCGCTGGTCGCCGGACGAGATTCAGGTGGCCCTGTGCGCGATACGCGAGTACGGCAAAAACTATCCTGTCAGTAGTGTTTAACCCTTAAATCATCCAGTATATCAACTGATTTGATTCCCTCCTTCCCAGATCATTGCCAAGCTGGTGACCACCAAGACGGAGGCGCATGTGCGCACCTTTTTTGTGAACAATCGGCGTCGCTACAATCTGGACCAGCTGGTCAAGGAGTACGAGGCTGTCAAGTCTGAGGAGTCGGGCCCCGAGGAGCAGAACAACGAGCCAGCAGCCACCGATGCAACAGCAGCAGCAGCGACTGCAACAGCGGCTGCATCCGCAACAGCAAACGCAGCTGTGGATTCCGCAACCGCAGCGAGCGTAGCATCCACAGAAACCAGCAACAACAGCGGAGGAGTGGTCGAAGCTAGCCAGGAATCGCTGGCCAAGAAGGAGGAGCACAAGAAGCCCGAACCTGCTGCTGCTGCCGGCGAAGCAACGGATGCCACGGTGCCCACCACGGTGGCCTCCACCTCCTCCAGCACAGCCTCTGCTCCGAGCAACAAGTCCAGCAGTGGTACAATCACCATCACCGATGAGTCCGACACGGCCACCAATTCGAGCAGCGATGTGGTGGCCCCGGGAGCGGTGGCTACTGGAAGCGCCACCACTGCTGCTGCGTCCACTGCCAGCTCTGCTCTGCCCGCATCCCAAGCCAAGTCGCAGGGCAGCGAAGAGCCAGCGAGTGGTGCCGTTGCCTCGGGAACTCCTCCGCCGGCAGCCGTTGCTAATCCCCCCAGCAAGCGGGATAGCTCCGTGATGGTGGGTCTTTCTCTATATTAGAAAACCAAAGCCTCTCCTAATCTTTATCTCTGTTTATCCACAGGCCATTGCCGAGCAGCCGCCGGCCAAGAAAATCGCGCTAAGCGGCGGTGTCGAGTTCCTGGGCAAGTGAGGAGACCCCCGATAAATATATACCGGTATATAGGATAGCTTCAAGGAGACGACAGACAGGCTGGGGGTACTCACGTCCAAGGGTGGTGCAGCCTGCTCACCGGATTCCTTATCCGTTCTCTTCTTTTTTTTTTGAATTGTCTTTAAATCTTGGGACGCATTTATTATGTGAAAAGCATCAAGCATCACGGCTTAAACTAGGCTTTTAGAAATTAGTTTCTATTTTCGGGGTAACATTTAGAGGATACCCTGAATTGAGGATTGTACATGCATAAACACGCACGTAATCTTTGACTCTGAAGCAGGCGAAGAAGTCGTACCCAGAAATTTGATTGAGCATAGATAAATTCAGTACTTATTATTTCGGTTGAATAATAGTCGTCTATGAAAACAGATCTTGGAACCATATAAATTACTTATAACTACACCTGGGTACGGCCCTGGTAAATGGGGGAAGAATCTTTCACAACATTTGTATAGGTCAGAGATGATTTTTAATGGGTTTAACGGGTAAGAGGGCACTCTCCTAAGCTTCGTAGGCCACACAAAACTAACGAGTAGTGCACACACAACAGAAAACATTAGATTCGCGGGAGAGTTAGTGCTGATTATGTATGTAACATTATGATAATGAGTTTATACACATGTAAATTATTAACTTAACTGTCGTACGTTTTTTTTTGTCGTGAATAATTTAGCATACAGCCAGGTCCTTGGGACAGGCGTACCCATTATATACAATCTGGAGAATCACCCATCCATCCGGCCTCAATTCAGCCACTTCAGCAACGAGTTTCTGTTAGGCTAAATATAATGTAACTAAAAACACAGTTGGCAACTGGCAACAATTGTATACAACCAGCGCTATTCGTTTAAGAACAAAAAAATCATTAAATATGTACAAGTAATACGACAAAATATTCGGTCATCTTACTAAAAATCCTAGGATCCTAAGAATCTGCCGATTTCGAATTCCCTGTCCCCTTCTTCTTAGTAAAAGTGGTCTGAACAAGAAGTTAGCACATCTCGGATTCGGAACAGTCGGTGTCCAATGAATTGTTAATATTACAAATAAATATAAATATAATTCACAAAACATTTTGTTTGTTAAAGCGATCAATGGAATTACAAAGAAGAATCGACGTGTGCCCAAAAACAACCTTATTTTAGGGAAATATAAAGATTTAATTGGCCTTTAGTTAATTGAAAATTAATGATGCTGGTGATACGACGGACTGGGGATCATGCAGCGCTCGAGGAAGGGGACGCAGGTGATCAGGTAGGCCAGTCGGTTCACCCATCCCGGGATCTTCCGGCCGCAGACGATGCGGGCCAGGCTGTTGGAGAAGTGGTTGCAGTTCTTGCTGGTCAGGTGGTAGCTATTCCCCTGGAACTGCGCCCCCAGCTGCTGGACGATGCGCTCCACCTCGGTGCTGCTGAGATGTGTGTAACCCAGCAGGATGCTCTCCCGGAACCGGAAGTGCTCGCCCAGCTCCGCCTGCCCGTTGCAGGGCCGGATCTCGAAGATGCCCGACATGGCGAACTCGTGGCCGCCGAATCCGTACTCGCGGCCATACAGCTGGACGCCCGAGTGGAAGAAGCCCACGCCCAGCGCCATGGTATAGTCGTTGGTGTCCACCAGATCGTACACGTTGAGCACCACCGGCTCCTTGGGCAGGATCTCATCGCAGCTCCTGCCGCCGGCGCCTCCTCCTCCTCCGCCTCCGCCTCCCAGGCAGGGTAAACTCCTCAGGCGGTTGAAGAACATGCCTTGATATCTCACTTGTCACCACGATCGCCAGCAGATTCGTACAAACTTTGAATTTATTTACATCAACCATAGGATACACAAACGGTTGACAGGAGAAACCGACTGGCAATCCCAGCTGGAAATGTTTATTTTTCTCCCACAAGCGGTATCGAGAAATTGCCACGTCATTCCCCAAATTTCAGCTTCAAATTTGCAGGTTCAAGACAAATTTCTTGGTTTTTGATACCAGGCGAACAGAATCAGCAGAAGGTCGCTGCTGATAATTCTGACTTGGCTCACATAACGGTTATTCTTTCAAGATGGCTGCCTGGAAGCCAGCTATTGACCAATCAGAGTCGAGCTTACTAGAAGACAACCGTTAGTTTAAAAGGAAATCGCAAATTAGGGATGGGCAACCACGCTGTTCTTGTGTTCGTGCCACGAATTTGGCACGACAGGCACGAGGTTGTATGGAGCGTGCCGAAAAAGGTCCATCTCTAAGTAAGAGCGTATTAAACGAACCGTACACCTGCTATCGTTTCAGTTCGCCTGGTATCTGAAATTCAGAAATTGCTTCGTCGCCCTACAAATAAGACCAAATTTCAGCTTAAAATTTGCAGTTTCAAGACACATTTCTTGGTTTTTGATACCAGGCGAACAGAATTAGCTGTAGGTCGCTGCTGATAATTCTAACTTGGCTCACATAACGGTTATTTTTGCTTGGAAGGCAGCCATTAACCAATAGGAGCATACTTGTATAATGACGTCACAGGGATTCACCATTGCCTGCAGCCACCTACTAAAAGCTATGTGCGCCTGGTACTTCAAAACTAGAAATTCGAAAGAATTGGCCGATCTGGCGGGCCAAATTGGCCACAACTCGGCCCCAAATTTACCGTAATCTTCGACTTTCTGATTTTTAACACCAGGCGAACAGAATCAGCAGAAAAGTAGTAGGTCGATGCTGATTTTTGTGACTTCTCTCACATAACGGATCTTTTTTTCAAGATGGCGGATGGAAGCCAGCTATTGACCAATAGGAGCATACTTCTATGGTGACGTCACAGGAACTCTCTATTGCCTGCAGCGACCTACTATTAATTCTGTTCGCCTGGTACTTCGAAACTAGAAATTCGAGAGAATTGGCCGATCTGGCGGACCCAAATGGCCACAACTCGTCCCCAAATTTACCGTAATCCTCGACTTGTGCGTTTCAAGACACATTTCTTGATTTTTGACACCAGGCGAACAGAATCAGCAGAAAAGTAGTAGGTCGCTGCTGATATTTCTGACTTTGCTCACATAACTGTGCTTTTTCAAGATGGCTGGCTGGACATTGACCAATAGGAGCATACTTAAAAATGACGTCACAGGAATTTCGCATTACCTGCAGCAACCTACTAAAAATTCTGTTCGCCTGGTACTTAGAATCTACAGATTCGAGAGAATTAGCCGATCTGGGGAACCAATTTGATCACAACTCGGCCCCAAATTTACCGCAATCTTCGACTTGTGCGTTTCAAGACAGATTTTCTGATTTTTAACACCAGGCGAACAGAATCAGCAGAAAAGTAGTAGGTCGCTGCTGATTTTTGTGACTTCTCTCACATAACGGTTCTTTTTTTAAGATGGCGGCTGGAAGCCAGCTATTGACCAATTGGAGCGAAGCTTACTAGAAGACAACCGTTAGTTGAAAGGAAAGCCCGAATTAGGGATGGGCAACCACGCTGTTCTTGTGTTCGGGCTACGAATTGGGCACGATAGTCACGAGTTTGTATGGAGCGTGCTGCAGAAAAGCCATCCCTAAGTGGGAGTGGAATAAACTGATCAGCTGATCGTCGGACACCTGCTACTCGCTTCTGTTCGCCTGGTATCTGAAATCCAAGAATCCAACCATTTCGCCAAGAAAAATGTTGCCTAATGCTTCATTATTTTGGCCTTAACAATGGGAATACTGATCCAAGTATGGAGTGTCGTACCTCGTTGAACTCGTAATTATATCACTAATCGATTGGCATTCAAATCTGGACATTTTAATTTTTGTCAATTTTTCGCCAAAAATGATGATGGTACCCCTTATCGAAAATGCGAAAATTGGTTCGAAAATTAATTTTCTCAAATCAGTTGGAAAGTGCACTGATATTAATAATAAGGTTGTTAGCTGCTCAGAACAGTGCGCCTTTTTGATTTGGGACCATTTTTGACCAAGTTACAGCAGAAAATCCATTAGAAAAAATCAAATTTTTACCAAAAATCAAGATTCTGATTTTCCACCCCAAAAAAAACCGTATTTTGGCCAGAACAATGGAAACAATGGTCCAAGTATGGAATGTCATACCTCGTTAAGCTCGTAATTAAATTCCCAATCGATTGCCATTTCATTTCATTTAAATTTTGTCACCTTATTTTGCTTTAAAAATAAATACATCATAAGGCATTTCTATAACTTTGTTTTTAATATTTTTATTATTTCCATTTTTGCTGTGTCTGGCATAATTTGTTAAACATGCGTCTTGTAGTTTTCGTTTGGCTTGTTTGTTTTTTCGTATTTAAATATATATAGGTGATGTATTTTATTGGTTTCATTTAGTATTATTATTAAATATAACTCGTTAATGCATTGCTTAGCTAAAAAAAATCATCTTATAATTAGTTCGACACACCTTGAATTAGTTAGAAAGTTTGTAGTGTAATTCGTTTGGGTTTGGCTTGGTTTCCTGTGCATTTCGGCTCTATGAATGGTCAGATGGAGGGGGTAGATGGGGCTTTTTGGGATTTTGGGAGGAGGGGAGGAGCTACAATGTACGTCGTATGTTTGAGTAAGCTATGTTTAATGTATAGTGAGCAGGCAATGAAAAGTCGGTAGAAGCAACCAAAGAGTTGCGTAGGAGTAGATCCGATCAGATCAGACTGGGGGGCTAAGCAACCTGACTTATGCTATCGCTAGTACATATTTTAGTATATTTATTTAAATTTATATATACGCATGATTTATGCCTTTACTTTTACTTTACTTTTTATAATGCCACGATAAAATCTCAATACACAATTTGCTTAGATACTATGACTAGTTGCCTATTACAATATCATCCGATCTTCCGCTTGTATTTGTTTAGCTCCGACACTCTGCCCCTCTTATTCGATTTGGATCGCGATGGTCCAATAAAAAAAAAAAGATTTGAAAAAAAAACACAGAATAATATATCAACAAGTCTTATGAGTAAGTCCCGCCCAGACAATGAACTTTCGCTCCCGAACTCAAAGCGATGCTACGATCTATCTGCACATCCGTGGGTTCCGGGTTCCGGGTTCTGGGTTCTGGAAACTAATGACTGGTATATATACTATGTACATATATACAACGATATATGCATAGGATATAGACAGAGATTTCAATTTGTGTGTGGATGTTATAGGATGTGTTACGCTCGACGCTTGACGCTTGACGCACTCGCCCTTAAAACACCGCACCTTAAATGCCAATTAAGGTGCGATCTTTTAAAAGAAGTCGTCAAAGGTTTTTGATTATGTCTGGTATTGCAGCATTGGGGCTGACAGGTTGGGATGATGCGACGAGTTCATCCGCAGGGCGGACAGACTCTTGTTGTACCACTCGTCCTCCGGGGACATTCCTGCAAAAAGAGAGAAGAAAGTAAATCGATTAATTTGAATTCTTCTAGACGCCCCGCATTTCCGTACTACGGAAGCTCCCGGCAATGGAATGACCACCTGGACCCACACATGACTTTCTCCTTTTCTTTTCTTGCCGGAAATTCATTTCACTATTCCTTATGGCATCCGGCAGGTCACCTCCAAAAAGTACCCACCCCCCTGCCTCCACCGAATTCTGGGAGTCTTGGGTTTGTTTACGCCTGATTATGACTGAGTAACCCAATCTGCCAAGGCGCCTCCAACGATAAACAACATTGGATTCAAGCAGTCGAGCCGTCGCTTGCAGCGGAAATTTACTTACGAACCTAAGGGATTCGATTTGGAACTTGGAAGCGGAAAATGAGGGGGGACAACCTGAGATTCTCTGGGGAGAAGGCCTCGTTTCGGCCACTCGGAGAATATCGGCGAAGCTCGGAGAAACTCGGGTGTTATAACAGCGATCGTTGAAAGTCCGAAGTTCCGAATCTAGACTTTCGATCCAGACAACCTGCCATTCCAAGTCGAACCGCGGTCAGAAGCGGATGATCAGTAGTGAAAGTGCCAGTGCAAGTGCTAGTGCAAGTAATCCCCGGGTCTCGGTAAGTCCACAGATCCCTACTCACCCATCGAATCCTGACGCACCCCAACGGATCCCATGTTCGTGCTGTGCGCCATGGAGAACGGTTGCGTCATGCCCGGATAGGAGGAGGCGCCCATTTGGAACAGGTCCTGTAAAATAGATTTATAGGAATATTATAGAAACATTATATCAGCAGTATGGGAAGATTAAAACTCACCTGGGGATAGCGGTTCATGGTGTTGTGGTGCGGATACGGTTGGTAGCCCCGCGAGACGCTGTAGCCCTGGATGTTCCTCATCATCCCGTTGCAGGATGGGATCACAGACGGTGCCAGCGCCTTCTGCAGCTGCTTTTCCTGCTTGCGATACTTGGCGCGTCGGTTCTGAAACCAGACCTGCAAAATAAATGTGCTTGAGTCCTGGGTATCCTTTAAGTTTTCCCCCCATTTCTGTTTGCTTAATGATGGAATACGAAGACGGCAGTGCAGATAGAGAGAGCTAAATGAAAAACCCCTCCTCCGATGCCATTTCCCCCCCATTTCCAGCATCCTTGCCTCTGGCTAAGGACGATGCCAACGTCTTATGAGTGAAAAAATCTACTAAATTGAAATTGAAAATAAGTTGACGACGCTGTTTGCTGCGAGGGTCTCTCGGTTCTTGGTTCTCGGTCTCGGTCCTCTATCCTGAGACTCTAAGTGAGTGGGAGCATGGGTATGGGTATGGGTTGCCCTCTCTGTTTAGATATTATTAAAGACGGTCCTCCTCCTTGATGATGCCCCTTCCCTCCTGCCGCCTGCGTCCCTTTTTTCCATGATGGCGAAAAGAAATTGCCAAGATGAAAGCAGGGCCCTTGCACTAGACAACAAGATGGGGATGGAATGGGAGGGTGAGGGCGAGGGTGTGTAGAAATTTCCGACATTTTGGAAGCTGCTCAGCTTGCTTTGAGTTACTTAGTGGGGAGGTAGGTAAGATGTCCTGAAGGGTGGCAAAAGGCAATGGCAAAGGAAAAGCTGTAATGGCGGCACCCAGACTTCAGTCTTGAGTCTTTCGATTTTTTCTCCTTTCATTTTCTTATTTATTTTATCATTATTATTATCTTTGTCCATGACTATGTACACGTACATATCTGTGTTGGGTTGTTGGGAGTGTTGGGTGTTTGCTGGGGTCTTTAAACGAAATGGGGGTTGTTTTCAGCGCCCACTTTATGGCTCGTTCGGTTCGGTTTCGTTTCGTTTCGTTTGGTTGGCTGACTGGCGTTGCCAGCATAAAAATGCTGCCCTGCAAAATAATGCTCTTAACCATCAGCCATGTATGATATAGGGTATAGGGTATAGTATAGGGTATGGTATAGGATGGCATAGGATGGTATTCCATACTAAAGCCCCACTTTGAGGGTGGAAAATGCGTTGTCTGAATGATTCGATGGAGCTCTGTCTATCTGTCGTTCAATTTCAGAGTGTGTGTGTGTGGGTGGGTGGATAGATGGGTGGGGAAACTCAATTAAGGATACATTTGATGGCACACTCTCAAACAAACGTACGTATATGTAGGTTCGTTCGCACATACATACAAACGGGGACCAAAGCAAAAGCCAAAGCCAAAGCCAAACAAGAACAAACAAAATCGAAGGGAAATTCGATTTTAGCCAACATTTTCGCCAGCCTTCGGTTGTCCCAATCTCAATCCGCCTTTAAGTTGCAAAATATTTGTAGGTACATATAGAATGAAATCCGCCTAAAACTTTAATTATGGAATACAAATAGCCATGGTCAAAAGCACACACACACATCACACACATACATTAGCCACTCGGCCACGGCGGAAATATGAAAATTAAACGTATTCAAATTGAATTTACTTTCAGCATTTAATCAAATTTAGCCGCTGCCAACGTTTGTTTTTTGTTCGTTTTTTTCTGGTTTTTTTACTTGACAACGCTTAGAGTTTTTATCTCGATTTTTCCCCGCCTTTGTTCCATTTCTCGGATAAGTTAGATTAACTTTTTAGCAGAAGGATGGGTTGCTGCAGGTTGCAGACTGCAGATTGGAGATTCCATGACCTACAAATGCGAAAGGTGACTAATTGCCAACTTGATTTACACTCACATCTCTAAAGGAGAGCCTGTAATTTGACATTTACGATGGCCACTCCCCATGTTTACTGCAAATCGGCGAGAAATATCAAAAGTTCTCATAACAAGTGGCTTTTTTCCCTTTAAAAACCCCTCAAAATCAATCCAACTGGCGCCTAATTACCGCAAATAAATAAACACTGATGAAATCAATATTCTCACGACTGTTTGCTTACGCCTACCGAATTTCTCGTTTACTCTGGCTACTCGTCTTTCTTTGCTTATGAAGATTATCCCCTGATGTCTATACGATGTTTATTGAACCATTAAGTCATTATCAAGAGTTTATATCATATCACATCATATCATTTTTTGCCATACTAGAACTTATATAGGAGGTTTGAAACTGCAATGAGTTATTAAAGCAGTAAACTGCTTGCTCAAAACTGTTGAATTATTTGCTAAATTAATTTAAAGATATTCTTTAATGATAATTCATTTTAATTATAATTTAAGCAAATCTTTGATAGGATCTCTTTGAATTACAGCTTTTGCCAATAAAAAAAATCTTACATTGCGATAAAAGATATTCATTTAAAACTTCTGTTGATAACGACAACAAAAATACAGCATACTTTTCAGGGTGGCCAATGGCTTATTTAAGTTTTTTGATTTTCATTATTTAATGGTTTTCCTAGATCCTTGTAATTATAATCTATAAATTGTTATTATTTATGGACAAATGTTTTTGGGTGTAATACGTTTTTTTTTGTCTATAAACCTTAGTCTCGCTCATTAAATACCATAAACATATAGTTACTGAATAGGTCATTCGCACTTGACAAGTGAATGCTAATGCAGTCGAAAATTTGCACATGAGACATGAAATTCCTGGCTGATGGATTTTCCAAACAGATGTGCCCAGGAACGCCCCCTTTCCACGCGCCCCACGCCCACCTCATCATCCTCATCACCATCATCATCTCAATTTTCCCGTTTTCAGTAAAATGTATACACGACAAATTTGTCAACACCAACACGACGATGTTTTCGTTGCAGGGCGCTGAGTGCCAGAGTCAAGTTGCGAGCAATCGTCGGATTACCAGGGGGTATATCCCTATAGAGCTGCAAAACTGGAACGGCGGAGGGGGTAGAGAATCATCGAGGCAGAGAAGGGGGTTGCATGGTAAATATTTGAACATTTGCTGAAAAATATGGTTTATGCGGCGATAATGGGCCGACAAGGTTCTCTTTGGTTTGCAGTGTCTAATTTGACCGAGAACAGTTGTTTCAAAAAATAAAAAAAAGGGCAGGGGCGGCAAATTGATGTGCTGATTATAGCTTTCTAATAATTGTAATAATCTCGCATGATTTCGATCAGTATAAAAAATATATATGCGCCACATGTCTCACTCTTATCAAGTTGGAAAAGCTTTTAGATGGGAGTATTACATAGCCTTCTTGAATATGATATAACATTGGTTTTTTTATATATTCTTGATTTAGTATCTATAATACCTATTGACACGAAAACCAATTTAAAATCGGACCATTAATTAACAAGATATGAGCAAGTAATGGCATGGACCTCAGGTGGCATGTCTGCAAGCAGTGCAAGCAGTGTACTCCCTTTAGCTGAGTACGTGGTATCTGATAGTCGAGGTGCAATCAACAAATATTAATCAATTAGTATGCCTTTATAACCTAAAATATGATTAACTCTATTTTATTTACAATAATTTAAGTTAAAATCATATCATCTACTTTTTTTCTCATTAAGGGTTATTTAGCCTAGAAAAATAGAAATCCCCTGTAATTCGACACCGCAAATTCGGGAGTTCTTGGTTTTGGACGAACATGTGACATTGCTGATTGGGCTGTCAACCCTCCCCGTTTTGGTTCTCTCACCCTTACCCTTACTCCCCTGCAATTCCCATTCACCACCCGCCGAAAACTCACTTGTCTAGCAGTCATGATAAAACTATAAATTAATTATTACCGCGGCGCACTTGAAAGCGCAGCAGAGGAAAAACCATCGAACCATCGCAAACGGACCAGGGGGCTTTTGAGGGATTTCTGCGATTTCAGGGGTTCCGTTCCAGCGCTTTAGATAGAAAGACTTGAGAGCAACACCACTGCGAGCCAGTCAGTCGGAATAATCGGCCGCTAATCGGTGACCAAGATCACAACCAACATCGGCGGTCCATCAGCAGGATATATCATCCCAATAGTCGGGAATCTGTTCGGATTATTGTGACTCTGGCACGAAGGAACAACTGTTGAAATTGAAATTCAAGTAATTGGCTACGCTCCTTTCGAGTTTGGTTTGGGTTTTCGGATTTGGTTTCTGTTCATAGGTCTGGGTCATTGTGGAGCTGCCGGACTCCCTGCTTATAGCTTATATCGTATAGCTGACAATTTGATGGCATTCATTACTCACTTGAATCCGCGCCTCGTTCAGCTTTGTTGTTCGCGCCAGCTCTTCGCGGCAGTAAATATCCGGATAATGCGATTTGGCGAACGCTGCCTCCAGTTCCGCTAATTGTTCCTGAAATTAAGCGGATTTTAATTAGGCAAATTCGGTGTGTGGTGCTTTATTTCCCCGCTCTGCTCGGGGCTCCCCTGTTTCCCCCCATTTAATATCCAAGCTTTTGGCTGGATAACCAGAAACCTCCTGATTTCGTTTACAAAAGTAAGCTAAACTATTTTGAAATCTATCATAAATGGTATTAAAGTTGGATAAATTCATAGGGAATCTGGCTAGTAGAAAACGAATGATATATATTTTTCACATATAAAAAATATTCTTAAAAATGTAATAATACTTCCCATGGCTAAAATAAATAATTTTTTATGATTGATATTTTTTTTAGATTTTTCAGTCAAGCCGTTTTGACTTCAGCAGCTACTTCCCGTTTTTTTGGGGTACTTTTTCATTAGCTTAGATTTCTTCGTTCTCAACTTTGAAGCAATTGTGCATCTATTTATGAGAAATATGATCCTAGATTATTATCCTCACCACTTGCATGTACCTAGCTTTATTTTTAGTATCCCAGTACTCATCGTCTGGTCTTGATTGAACACCTTTCTTTATAGGGAATCTGCCTAACAAGATATATATTTATTTAAATATTAAACCAAATTTTTTAAAAAAATAAATAATGTATCAAATGACTAAAATAAGTGATATTATATGTTTGGATATTTTTTTATATTTTTATTTAAAGCCGTTTTGGCTGCAGCTGCTACCGCCCGTTTTTTTGGGCAACTTTTATATTAGTTTAGATTTCCTAAATTTCTCAAATTTCATCTACTTTTGTCTATTATCCTTGATCCTTGATAATCATTCTAAACATTTAGTTTTATTTTTAGTATCCCAGCATCCATCCATCGTCTGGTCTTGATTAAACACCTTCCTTTGCCTTTGCCCCTGCCTTTCGCCCCCAAAAGTACTTGGCTGCCCCTTTGTTGTTGTCTCCTTGGTGCTCTTGTGGCATCAAAGTTTTTAATTACGAGTAACCTTCACGAAATCCAATTAAGATTTCGCCATAGCGAGCAGGGGGAGGGGGTTGGGTTGTTTTAGGAGGTATATGGGTTGCCCTAGGATCCCCAGGATCCCTAGAAAACTGACCTGTGTGAATGTGGTGCGGTGTCTCCGGCGGGCGGGCGTGGGGCAGGACGCTGTGGTTGGGGTGTGGCCGGCGTGCTGGCTGAGCGATGATAATCCACTTCCGGGCGATGTGATGCCGGCGGAAACCGTCGACAGCCCGCCGCTGTTGGGTTCCGGCTTCAGCTTCTTGAAAGCGCCTTCCGCTGCAAAGACACCAGTGGACCGGAAAGCAGAGAGAGGAAAATAGAAAACATAAAGCACATAGAGCACTCACACGTGTTTGTAGGGACAATTAAAGATAATAATAATTATAATTCGCCTGTTTAATATGCGTGGGGCAGTGGCCAAGTTGCCGCAAAATGCTGCATAATTGCCAGGACACCGGGACATTCGAGGACATTCCAGGACAACACCGCAGCTGCGGCCACAAGACGTTCGCCATTGTCGTGAAAAAGGTGAAAAGGTGAAAAGTTTCGACTTGGACAGACGATGGCGATGGCGCGGCGGTCGCATGAATATGCAATATGGGATAATTTATGCAAATTTCTGGCACATTAATCGAGGTAGCCTGGCTGGCTGGCTTTTGGCTGGCAGACAGGACCTCACCTCGCAGGACTCTCTTGTCACTTGTCACTTGTACGCCATAAATGAACGCGTGCCCATGCAAAAAGGCGGCTAAAGGTGGCTAAATATGGGGCCAAAGGTCAAAGTAGGGCACTCTCTCTCAGCTAAACTCCGCCACTTTCCCCATTTTCCGTTTCTGTTTCTGGATTTGAATTTGAATTTTTGGCTTTTTGGCGGCTAATTGACGCGCTTAGCTCGTTAACAAAATGCAAACTATGTAGAAAATGTGTTGCGGATACCCCGACGTCCTAATTGAATCACAAAAACACAAATAAATTGAAGCGAGTACCGGTATTTATGTTAAGTAAGGACCTCTCGTCCTTCGAGTCCTGCGAAACCTTCTAATGCAATTGACCTTGCTGTGATCGTGGGTGTGGCTCTGTTGGCTGTCGCAAGAGGAATGTTGGATGTTCAATGCCTGTTGCATAAGCAAATGGGGTCAAACAGTGCCTTAAATTTAAATACAAAGTGTTTCGTTTGCCTAGTGGTTGAGATATTCTCATTAATATTTTTGAAATCGAAACTTTTTAATACATTAAACGTTTTTAATTGAAAAAGGTCAAGAGAGATTTGAGAGCTTTTGATTTTAGACAATTATATAATGCCTAAATCAACTATTTTTGAATGCAAGCTGATCAAGTTAGTTAGATCAATATGTAACTCTAAATAAAACTCTTTTATATCATACAAATACACTGATAGTTATCCTTTGGTAGTCTGTTTTAAGGACATCTGATTTATACATTTACCATAGTACTTTTTTATTCAGCATGCTACAAATCACATTTTCAAATCTTTAAACTTGTCATCATGAACACAAAATATTCACAGAAATTATTTTCAACCAGAGACATTTTTGTTTAATTGTGATTATAAAGAGATTTTAGTGTATAACAAATATTAGTTTTCCAAGAGCAAATGATTCAGTATATAAGATGTATTATCTGAAGAAAAAAGCAACTTATAAGAAATGTAATAGCTCTATAAGCAACTGCGTTGGCATAATACTTTGAACAATTAGTTAGTTTATAACTAGAATTGTATTCCAATCACTCCTAGTTATAAATCTGTGGATGAACTACCTGCCATATGATAGGCCGGTCAGAAAAGTGGTCTTATTTAAAGATCATTGGCATTTTTAAGGAACTTCCCTTTAAAGGATATTAAAAAGTCACTCAAAATAATTAGACAGAATAATTAATGTAAAATATATAGTTTTCTGTTAAAACAAAAGTAACTAACTTAATTAATGGGCAAATAAAATAAACCTAGCGTTTTAAATACTATATTATTGAAATTTTATGGTACATCCGTCCGATCAGATTATTCCTATGGCAGATATAACATATATTACATCAATCTGATTAAAAGTAATGAAATGAATCTGTCTAACACTATGTATTGATAACTTTAGTTGGTACTGTGCACTTCAAAAATTAAATAACATCGGGGGTTCCCGGATTGAAATAGAACGTTCCATTTATCTCAATCTTAGCATTTTTTTACTTTTTAAGTTGATGAGAAAGAAAAATCATTTTCCTCGTATAAATGCAACCTAACACATTGTAATTCCCGACACTGCCATTGGAAATTGTCTATACTCGTCTTAAATTATATTAAAATAAATTAATAATCATAAATTAATTAAGGAATAACAGCTCTTATCCACGCTTGCTAATTCTTAACTATTTAACTAATTAAAGTTCCTACTTTATTGGTTTCCAATTAGTTATTAGGAATAACACACAAAACACAATTTTAACCATTTTTCAACATTTTTAATGTAAATTTATGAACATTGTTAAAATTTATTTTAATACTTTGATAATATTAAAAATTTGCCAGAATCTTAGACAAATGATAAGAAATATGGAACTCTTTTTAAAATTTTTAAACTGGGAATACAATCCAAATACGATACTTAAATACCATTGCAATTCCAAGGCAAATTAGTTCTAACATTGACAACTCTCAAACGCCATGTTAAAATTAAAGTAGGATTCAAACCTTGAAAATGCAAGGGAATTCAGAGCTTAAAGCATTCTTTAAATTAAAAATGCGGACAAGAAAACGGCCCTAAAAATGTCGGTTTTTTTATATCTTTATATCTTCTTTCTAAAAAAATATTCATCTGAGAACCTATGAAGTATTGTATTTATGACCTTTTTCTGCTCTTTAAACTAATCAATCATTCAAGATTTGTTCAAGGTCAGAAGTAGTATAACTAATTGGCTGAAATTGTAGCTGCATACTTTGTCAATATCCAAATTGCTTTCATTTTTCAAACGAGTTGGGGGGATCTATCCCTCCACTAAAACTTATCTAGTTTTATTTGGTACTAATCCTGCCAATTGGGACTGTAACATTGAGCAATTGAGAAAAGTTTTACATGTTTTAAAAAGGCTACTTCACCGGGGTAACCTTTTTGAAATTGAGCTTATTAAACGAATGATAAGTAACATCTTGAGGTCATTTAGCTATCATATCAGTCCTTATTGGTATCCTTTAGTATATTGGAGCTGCTATAAGCAATGGATCAACCTAAACAAATGCCCCCACTATGTGTCTACTATTTTGCTATTAAAAAAGGACACAAAGGAGCCAGCTTGGTTTCAAGGTTAATCGTTTTAGTTTAGTCCTTAAGCCATCAACACCCCGAGATTTTCGCTATGCATTCTACCCAATTCGACTGATAACCCATTGGCTTTATTGAGTGTTTATAGTAAGTGTGCTGTGGATTAGAGGTTGTCCAGCTGTCCAGCTGTGTAATCCCCACAGGAAAGGGGGACCCAGTAACCAGGAACCAGGAACCAGGATAATCCACGGACAAAGGGAGTCGGTAATAGGAAGCTGCAAAGGAGCATCAACAAACAGGCGGCTGACAAAGGCCAAAGGACAAAGGACAATGGCGAAGAAAAGGGGTGCCAGAGTGCGGGTGCCAAAGGATAATTTCGAGATAATAGCTAATGGATAGATTAGAGCAGTGGTGGGCAGTAAAATCAGCAATCTGCTTGTCTGAGTGATTTGCCCAGCGATCGCTGTTCTGTGAACAGCGTGTGTGAGCTGCGCCTGTGGCAGCGCAGCGGCAGGGGCATTCTACTAGACTAGGATTAGAGATCGGAGACCAACTCACCCGAGATCGTGTGATCCGAGAGGCGCGAGGGCGGCGTGTGGGCCGGCGTGTGGTGGTGCGAGGACGAGTCCATGCCCGGCGTGGGCAGACCCGAGTAGAGGGCGCTGAAGTCCTCGGGCGTGCTGCTGCACTTGCGCTGGTGGTTCAGCGACGAGGAGGAGGACTTCTCCAGCGTGGTGATCGGCGACCTTGTGTCCTGCAGGCTGAGCAGCCGATTCTCATGCGCCGATCCCCCGCCAATGCCCATTAGCCGCTGATCCTGAAAGGACATGAACTTGGTGTCCTGCCCCACGCCGCCAACGCCAACGCCGCCGCCGTGTTGCTGCATCTGGCTGGCATGATCCTCCAGCAGGCCCTGCTGCAGCCCCAGCAGACCGCCCACCAGATTCGGACGCAGCTCGTCCATGCTCAGCCCCTTGCCCGCCTGTCCGCCGCCGGCCGCTGAGAAGTTCAGCTGGCGGCTGAAGATCGCCGGAAAGATGTTGAACTGCTGCGAATCGGCCGAGGACTGAGGACTGAGGCCCAGGCTGTGTCCGGGCGCCACGTGCGGCAGCGAGGACACGGAGACGGCGGAGGAGGAGGAGGCGGCTGCCGAGGAGGCGGCCGAGGCGGCGGCGGCTGCTGCTGCTGCGGCTGCCACTTGTGCCGCTGCTGCTGCTGCGGCGGAGGAGACCGAGGATCCCGGAGTTCCGCCCGCTGAGCTCGGTCCGTTGCCGATGAGCAGCGTGGGTGTGGCTCCGCCTCCGTTGTTGTTGATCAGCTGCTGTTGCGCTTGCTGTTGCTGTTGCGGCAACTGTTGCGGCAGCTGTTGCGGCAACTGTTGCGCCTGCTGCTGTTGCTGTTGCGCCTGCTGCTGCTGCTGCTGTTGCGGCAGTAGACCGTGATGACCGTGGGCTATCGCTAAAGCGTGGGCGTGACTGTTGTGGGCGTGGCTGCTATGGGCGTGGCTGGCGTGGGCGTGCGGATGGGCTAGAACTGAGTTGTTGCTGCCGTTGTTGCTGCCGTTGTTGCTATTCGTTTGCTGTTGCTGCTGCTGCTGTTGCGCCTGCTGCTGTTGCTGTTGCAGCTGCTGTTGCGCCGCCGCTGTTGCGAGGCTGTTGTTGCTGCTGTTGTTGTTGTTGCTGCTGTTGTTGCCGCCGACGACGACGGGTCCTCCGGCGGAGGCAGACGTTCCACCGGAACCAGGGCCGCCGGCACAACTCTGATGTTTGAAATCCAACTTGTGGCCGGCGTAGAAACGCTGCGTATCGATATACGTCTTGAAGAAATCGATTGAATAATCCAACTGGAAGCTGTCTCGCGGCGAACGCGCTCCCGTTTTGATTGATCGAATTTTGGTGGGGGGCTATATATCCCTGCGGGGATATATATACGATATGATATATATATATAGTTAGCTGTTCGATGTTTCGATATTTCACTTGGTTTGGCTTGCTTTTCACCGACGGCAAATCACTTTGGCACGACACATTCAAAAAAAAAACAGACGAGAACAGTCTTATCCAAAATATCCAATATCCTAGATCCGCTGGGGATTCAGATTCAGAGGATCGGTAGCGCGCACCATTAGATCGTATATTATATTGTTATTATTATTATTACTATATCGTATTGTATCGTATAACCGCTTCGTGTGTACCGCTTCGCCAGGAGCCGCTGGAGCAACTATGGCTGTTTGTTTTTTGACAGCTCGTCCTGCTCCCCAGGAAGGAGCAAGAGGAAGAGCAGGAGCAAGTGTGTGTGTGTGTGTTTCGATGAGTGCGCGAGTTCAAGATGATAACACAAATTTTTTTTTATTTTTCTCCTCCTGTTTCTTGTTGTTGTTTTTATTCCGCTCAAAAGTTCCTTTGTTATGGTTCGTTGTTCTTATTGTTGTTGTTGTTGCTTGATGGCTAACACGCTGGCGATACGGCGATACGTATTCTCGGCCGATCAAACTTAAAATGATATACAATTTCAGGCAACATACAAAATTATAACGAAATTAAGGATCATGTGCTCGACAACAGAGACGCCGCCGTCGCTGCTCGCTTTCTCGTCCTTCTGCTTTTGATTTTCCTATCCCTGTTTCGTCCTGGTGGTGTGTTCATATGTGTGTGTGTGAGTGTCCTGCTGCTGCTGCTGCTGCTGCGGGGACATTTGCGGGCTGCGCGCGAACGATTGGTGGTTTTCCCTCCGCACACTGCAGCTGTGTGTGTGTGCCGATGTCTGTGTGGCTGCCGAGACCACGAATCGTTAGTCGTACTAATAATTTTCAAAAAATAATGAAGAGCGAGCGAGACAGGCAGACAGAGTGGCGCACCACTCGCCGTCTCGCTTTAACTTGCTTGGTTAATTCAGTTAGTCGTTCGCCATTGCTTTGGTATCTGTGTATTTGTATCTCTGTATCTGTTCCGGTCTAACTGTAGTAGTCCGAAACGGCATTCCGAATCCGAATCGGAGTCCGAATTCGCATTCGAACTCGAAACTAGTGCCCTTTGGGCCACATGAAAGCCAGGATGCGGAGCAGGAAAAGCTCATTGATCCTTCCGGCGGCGCAGGAACAGCACTTGGAGTTCAACCATCCAAATTTACATCGAAATCCGAATGAGATCGAGTTGAGACCTTGGCGAGAGGACCCAGTATCACAACCAGAACCACGCCAGGCGAGTCCTGGAGAGACCAGCTTAATCCTGGCCACTCGACTCGAATGCCGAGTTGCGCCATGCTGCCTGGCAGGCTGGTGGGGAGTGAGAGAGACGGCACTCTGGACACGGCGAAAGAGATGGCAGTAGGTGCATGCCAGGCGACGTCGGCAGAAAGCTGCGATGTCCTGCCAGCACTGAAACACTAGTTGTCTCGCTCTAACCCTTGGCCACGTGTGAACACAGGGCTTTGGCCAATCGTAGGCCAGCAAAATGGAGTCAACTTTTGTTGTTATTTTTGCCGCTGCTGCGCAATGAATTAATCCTTGTTAAATGTGTCGATGACACAGGACGACGCAGGACGAGCGCTGTTGCCGCTTTTCTTGCCACTTTCTTTCGGCACTTTTGAGCGCAGAAAAGCGATGGAAAGCGGGAAAAGCCAGGCAAAGCCAGCTGTCTATCCGCTTCGTCCTTCGTATCCCTGCGAATCCTTAAAACAATACATTCAGCTGAAAGTCCCCAAATGCCTGTCTGCTGCTTCTTTGCTCTCCTTTCCTTTCCTTTCGTTTCGTTTCATTTCGTTTGGCAAGTTCCAGCTCCTCGTTGAACATTTTTCCAGCGGGGGCGTCCTCCGAAGGATGAGGAACTCTCATCGCCGCTTTAAGGCGGTCCGCAAATGGGGCCCAAATGGGCCACTCATCGGATCTGTTGTTCCTTCCTCCCTTTATATTTCTGTGTTTTCTGTTTTTTTTCGGCCTGGGTCGAAATGATTAAAACTTTTTCTTGGGCAAGAATGAAAAAAGTGCTTAACTGGGTACAATACACAAACACACACAAAATGATTTGTATTTTAAAGAGCGAGTGCCAAAACGAAAATATCAGCTGAAGAAAGAGAAAAACTGAATTACTGCAATAATAGAAAATAGAAATTGCGGCAGCCAGATAAACATTTAGATAAATATAAATTCTGAGGGAATTACCGACATTTTGGCTTGGTTTCAAAATTAAATGATAAAGATATTCACCTTTTGTACAGCTACCAAGAATTAGAACTTTAAATCTTAAATAGATATTAATTAAAGGGCTTAAATAGTTACTCTTCCAATTTAAAAAAGATGAGGGCAATGCCGCAAATTCACTGCATGATTATCCACCTTACTTTTGCGAAAAATTACCAAAAAGAAAATCATTTTCTATTTAAAAGAAAATCTTTCGGAAATACAATCGTAGGCGCTCAACTAAAATACCAATTAACATTAAAAATAAAAATTAGGGAACACACCTGGTGATGATCTCGATGCACTTCATCTTGGAGTCCAGTTCCATCCAGATGACATCCCAATATTTGAATCTCCATCTCCCGAAGTCACTTTACAGCCACCAACACCCACACCGACTTCCGGTCAACTGATTTATCGGAGACCATAGCACCTAGGTCGTGAATTTTTAGCTACAACTAGTTGGGAATTATAAGTACCCACCGAGAGTATCTTTTTAAATTAACATTTTCGATGACGTGGCCCATTCAAAATCTAATTAATTTTACAACTGACAGTCGTAATTTGGACAAATCAAGGCCTACAGCTAAAGGACCGACTGTTTTAAGCAGCTATCAACCCAAACCATCTATTCCCATCACTTTTTGGGAAATTAATTTTTTGATAATTTTTCGCAATTTTTTGCGAAAAATTACAAAAATTGAAAATTTCTAGGTTTAAATGCCAATCGTTAAGGAATTAAATCACGAGTTCGACAAGCTACGACATTTTATATTTGGACCTTTATTTCCAACGTTTCGGCCAAAAAACTAAAATTTTAGGGTGGAAAATATGTATTAGAATTTTACATAAAAATAATCCGTTTTTTTTTGAGGTTTTTCAGTCGTAACTTGACCAAATCAAGGCGCACAGCTAAAAGACCGACTGTTTTGAGCAGCTAATAACCTAAACTAACAATCCCCATCACTTTCTGGGAAATTTATTTTTTGATCAATTTTTGCATTTTTTAAAAGGGGTTACATCACAATTTTTTGCAAAAAATTGACAAACATTAAAATGTTCAAGTTTGAATGCCAATCGATTGAGAATTTAATTACGAGCTCAACGAGATATGACACTCCATATTGGGATCATTACTTCCATCGTGACGGCCAAAATACTGATTTTTTAGGCCAAAAAATCGGGATTTAAAGTTTATACAAAAATATAATCTTTTTTTTCACAATCAGCTCAATATCAAAAATATTGTGCTTACACTGTTTTTAAGAACGAATGTTCTTAATTCAACAATAATCTACTTTGATTTTCTTTCTTTGCATTTGTATTTTAGCACATTTTTGTTTACTTTAGTTTTTATTTAAGAAATATTGTAAACTTTAAACATATTTCCATGAATATAATTCGATGGTTTTTTCTTGTTCCAAATAAGGTATGATGGCAGATATGGTAAGTAAAACTGCAGTGCGGATAGCACACAGCTTTAAAGGTTGCATTTAAGTGCAGCATGTGAGGTCAAAGGGCGCCCGCCGACCCGGCACACATACAACTAAGTGTTCTCCGTGGGCGAATGTACGTGGGCCAGTACTTTCCCAAAGTCAAACAGGCACACACACAGCGATGAGGAGACTTTGGGGTGGGAGAAACGAGGAGGCTGTGAAGCAGGCTATTAAGCATCCATTTAGGATACTAATTTGTGTATCATTACAAATTGTATCTGTGCTCACACACACACACACGCACAGCCACAGCCACTGCACATCCAGCACCCAACCACCACCCATTATCACCCATATAGAGCCCCATATAGACCCCATATAATGCCCCCCTATAAACCCCCTCAATGGCCACAGGCAAGCTTGCCTTTGCTCTGCTCTCGCATGTTACTCATACGCAGCGTTGGCCACAAAGAACATATCACTGAACACAGGGATTGCAATGGCAAACTGGCAAACAGGCAAACTGGCAGAGGGGGCGGAGTTTCAGTGGGTAGATGGTTGGTAGATGATCATCATAACATCAATTAAGGCTCCTATCCATCTATTCCATTTCATTTCCAACCAACAAAGCAAAAACCAGCAAAAAGCCAAGGAAAAACCTAAAACCGAAACCCAAAAAGGAAAAGCAAGCGAATGGACAGGAGACAGCGTTTTTTGCCTTATTTATTGATGTTGTGTAGTTGTAGTTGTCCAGCCTGTGAGGACATCTTTCAATTTTTCCCGAAACGACAGAGGAGCTCTTTCCAAGCAAAAAACAAAAACAATTGCTGCTGTTGTTTTCACTGATGATGGCTTTTCTTTCACACACACAGGCATATGGGGGTCGAAGAAAAAGAAGAAAAAAGAAAAACCACCTCGCCATCACTTTGCAAGAAAAAGTAAGAAAAATGTATCTCATTGATGTGGCTTTTTAACTTTTCATTATTTACCGCTAAAAGCATCTTTTAAAAATTTTCAAATAGCTGCCGCAACAGAAAAAGCGCCCGACAACGAAAAAAAACAACGGAGAACATTGGTAAAAAGGGAAAAGTTCAAGGAACAGAACAGAACAGAGAGCAGGGCTAAAAAATGCGAAAGACAAAAAAACAAGGAAAATAAAAGAGGGAATTAAGGATATACACTCGAGTGTTGCGACTATCAGCTACCCTACAGAGCAATTAAATATATACCGAGGAGTTTTATGGTTTTATCTCTTATAATTTGGTTAATTCCATATTTTTGTTTATCTTTTAATTTGGAATAAAGGATATACTTAGGTATTGCGACTATGAGCTACCCTGGAGTGTAATTAAATATTAAATATACCTAAGATTTCTTTTAGCCACGTTGGTTATACGTTTTTATATAATATAATTAAAAACCTTTTAAAACATATTATATAAAATATGCTAGATAAATAGTTATAATTCATATACCCATTAGCCGACGTTTAAGGGGTATGAAAAGGAAAGCAAAATGGTTGGGTGCTTGGAAAGTGCTCGTTCTACCACCCCCCTACAAACCGCCAACCCCCCTTAACCCTCCGCCTCCCCCGCCTCTGCTGCCGTCAACCGGCTGACGCCATTTTGCCAGGACTTTGATATCACCCCCATTCGCCTGTTTCGTCCTTCAACTCATTTAGCTGATGCTGCTGTCATTTTTTGCTCGCTCCTTGCGGCTGCACCACGCCCACTACTTGGAGCACTAGCTGCCGCCCCCTTTTAGCCGCCCCTTTTTATATTTCTTTTGTGATGTCTGCGTGCGCCGTTAAACATTGCTGAAAGCCCCAGCCCCTCTTTCCCCTTCTTACAAGTTCTGTGACTCCTTTTTTTCCTTTACTTTTTTGACGTTTTTACTTTGATTGCAAAACGCATTTTTATTCCTTGTCGCGCTTAAACGCGCTTAATTTAGCCTATTAGTTTCTTGAATGCTTTTAAACACAAGCACATGCACACGCACACGCACACTGAAGGAGGAAGTTCAATTACGCTGGCCAAGATGAAATTCGAGCTCCTTTAAGAGGATTCCTCATGTTAGCCTTCCCCATTTCCACTGAAAGAAATATGTTACAGCTTACACCGAACAAAAAACACTGCTTAGTCACAAGGAAATAGATTCAGAAAGGTTCCTTAACCAAAATAACCCATATAACAACGATTTAGAAAGTAATTAAAAACATTTAATCGATGTAAAACTCCCCAATCACTTAAAGGTGTCGAAAAGTATGCAATAAAAAAAGGAACGTCCTTTTTTAAAGAAATTAAATTTTGTAGCATACTTTTGAACGCCCTTCAACGCGATTTAAACTCCAAAGGTTTCTTAGGAAAATAACATTTACAAACTTATTTCTCTTATTCGTATAGCTAAAGGGTATTATGTTTTCTGCACAAGTTATGAACATGCTACATAACCCCTCTTGCTATGTGAGTAACGGATATCAACGGAAATGAAAAAGTTGTGTGAAATCTAAAGACTATTATTATATTACCTCAAAAACTACTAAGCATATTGAGAAAATATTATTAAAGTTTAATTATAACGTCGACTTTTCGTGTTTGGGGGCTGAACTCTGATTTTTAATAATTGAATTAAGTAAATCTGTTCATTCC